AGTGGCTCGTAACTCTAATTTCGTTGATTTGACTGAGGAGCAGCGTGATGAGTTGGGCGGTATCGAATACCGTGCGCTTAAGACGTTGGCTGTCGTTCTCATCACCTACTATGTCGGGTTTCATCTCATCGGCATGGTCAGCATGATCGGCTGGATCATGACAGAGAACAGATGGGGCGATGTTGTCCGGGCTGCTGGAGTTGGGCGGCCGTGGTGGGGGATCTTTACCGCTGCGTCCGCCTTCAACGATTTGGGCTTCACCTTGACACCTGACTCGATGTACTCTTTCCAAAGGGCTGTTTTCCCTTTGCTGATGTTGGCGTTTCTAATTATCATTGGCAATACCGCCTTCCCATGCATGCTTCGTTTGATGATCTGGGTTCTTTCGAAATTCACTCGCCAGGGCACCGCGCTATGGGAAGAGTTGAAGTTTCTTCTGGATCACCCCCGTCGATGCTTCACTCTATTGTTCCCTCGCAATGCCACTTGGTGGCTGTTTGCGATCCTTGTCTTATTGAATGGCATTGATATGATCTTCTTTGTCGTCCTGGATGTAAGTTTGTCAACTTTCTCTCTTTTATGCGATTTTCACTGACCATGATGTTGTAGCTCAACGACTCCGCTGTCACTGCACTGCCACCTGGAATTCGAGTTGTGGACGGCTTCTTTCAAGCTGCCGCGACGCGAACGGCTGGTTTTGGAATCATCAGTCTCTCAGAACTTCACCCCGCCATCCAAGTCTCTTATTTGATCATGATGTACATCTCGGTCTTTCCCATCGCTATCTCTATGCGCCGAACCAACGTCTACGAAGAGAAGAGTTTGGGAATTTATGATGCCACGGACGAGGATGACGACGAAGAAACAAATGCTCCTACCTATATCGGAGCTCACTTGCGACGCCAACTGAGTTTCGATTTGTGGTACGTCTTTTTAGGTCTGTTTATCATCGCCATTGCGGAAGGATCAAAATTGCAGAAAGACGACCTGTCCTTCCAGGTGTTCACTGTTTTGTTCGAAGTTGTTTCAGCATACGGTACTGTGGGTCTTTCGTTCGGGTATACAGATGTCAACACCTCCTTCTCGGGGCAGTTCAATGTGGTCTCCAAGTTGGTAATCATTGCCATGCAAATCCGTGGTCGCCACCGTGGCCTACCTTACGCGCTTGATCGTGCCGTCCTTCTCCCCTCCGACGCCCTGAATCGACATGAGGCCGAAGACGGAGAGCGCCGCATGCGCCGCCGCACATCCAACCTCAGCGGTGGTGGATCTTTCGCTCAATCGCAATCGCGTACCTTATCCCAAGCGAGGAACGATGCTGGTCTGTCTTCGGGTATGGAATCCCGCGACTGGCAGACCCAGCCTGCTCCCAATGCAGACTCTCTGGTGCATCGTTCCTCGACTGTCCGATCCAATCGGTAGAAAATGAATGCAGCCCTTTTTTTGTTTATACCTATAGATGCTTAGTGCTCTATATACTTACCCTGGCGGTTCAATTCTAATTCATCTACATAATTATAGACCCGTTGAACTTGAATTCTACCACCCATCTAGTAAAATACGTCAAGTTCGAGGGTTCTTGTCTTAACTAATTGTAGGGACAAAACTTTACACTTTTAATCAAGATAACCGCTCTAGATCATGATATAATAAGCAGGGATCTATTCGATACATCCGTACCTGAACCTTGCATGGTAGTAGTCGTACTAGTCGATATACGGCGAAATAGACTAGGCCATTTATAGCGAAGTGATCCGTGGGTCCGCAAGCGGGAAGGATCGGCGCTTTCCCATTGTAGGACGGAGTAGATATCCATGACGACAAACTACATAGCTCCTTTTTATAGCATCACAACACTGTAATTACGTAGAACATAGAACAAAATCCATCTCCAAATCCAACTACATTAACCTTGTATCTCAACTATATCAACTATCGCCATGGCCAACCGACAACTACCATATCTAAATCGATTCAGCGGGACCAACCCGAGTCTCCCCACCCTCGAAACCAAATCCCCAATCACAACCTCCAGCCAACCGGAAGGAGACAGAGACACCCCAGCCCAAGAACCCTGGTATAACCCACAAGGCTGGTCCCTACGCACGAAACTCATCGCCAGCGCTACAGCCATAGTGATAATATTAGCTGCAATCCTGATCCCCGTCGAAATAATCAAAAACCAATACCCAAACTACACACCTTTGAACTATACCCTCGCAGACGAATACTCCGGCCCAACCTTCTTCGACCAATTCACCTATTTCACAGACGAAGATCCAACAAAGGGCTTCGTCGTTTACGTCAACAAATCAACCGCCACACATCTAAATCTCACCTATGCATCCGAATCATCAGCCATCCTACGCGTCGATGCTTCAACTTCAAATGCCAGTTCCGGTCGGAACTCCGTCCGCGTCGAGTCGAGGAATACCTACGATTCAGGCCTCTTCGTCTTCCATATCATTCATACTCCCTTCGGCTGTGCGACCTGGCCTGCCTTGTGGTTAACAGATGGTTATAACTGGCCGATGAATGGCGAGATCGATGTGCTGGAAACTACCAATGTTGGAAGTCATGGGAATGAAGTCTCAATTCATACTACCCAGGGGTGTCATATGGATGTCAAGCGTAAACAGACCGGTCACGGCATCTTTAACAATTGCAATAATGCCACGGATGGAAACTCGGGCTGTGCTGTCATCGGTGATGAGAATAGTTATGGCGAGGCAATGAATAGCCGCGGCGGAGGTGTTTATGCCGTTGAACTCCGTGACGCTGGTATTCGTGCCTGGTTCTTCCCCACTGGAACTATCCCTGCTGATATCACGGCGGAAACTCCGGATCCGAGTAGCTGGGGCACAGCGCTGGCGGATTTCCCGAGTACGAATTGTGATATTGCGTCGCATTTCAAGAACTTGAGTATCATTGTCAATATTGATCTCTGTGGTGAGCTTGCTGGGCAGAAGCAATATTATGATACTTTGTATCATTGTCCGGGGACTTGTTCGGACTTTGTTGCTAGCAGTCCGAGCAGTTTTGCTGATGCTTATTGGGAGTTTAAGAGTTTCAAGGTTTATCATGCTTCTTGAACTTGAAGGAATAGTTCAAAGCCGGGGGTTTTCCTTTGGTTTCTTTTGCTATTTGCTACGTGATATGATTGGAGTAATCCGAAACAAGAGGAATGTTTCTAGTTGAAGCGTGTGTCCTTTTTTTTTTGTTTTATGGGCTTTTTCTGAGGGAGTTTGATACTGCGATATACCGGGGAAGTCGATGTACGCAGGCGTATAGAGGCCAAGGACCTGATGCGGTTTGTAACGGTATTGGTGCCTGGAAATTTCGGATGATGCCTGCATTAAAGATGTACCGGAAATTTTTGGGTGACTACGGAGTACCTAGGTAATGCCAAGACTCGTCAGTATATATTAGGACTAGTCTCGTAATATCAATACATATATGTATTGCTGTTTCAAATTCAGTTTCGTAATTTACTGTAATAAAAATACAGCCCTGTGTCTAGTACTGTATTCTTGGAGTCATTAAAATCCATGGATATTTGCATGAAATATTTGAGGGACAGCAGCATTTAAGCCATACGATAAGAGACACACAGATCAGAGTTGGGGATTTGATATGGGCGTTAACTTGACCGCGTCATCTTTTGTATAATTCCCACAGCCCATGTACCTTTTGATTGGTCCATCGGCGTTAACCCTGACTTGACCCGCTTCTATCGGTGATAACCGAGCGCATACGAAAACGGAAATAGAAACGCTCACATAATTGAGAGTTGTTGTACTGTCCATTGAATGTTAACGCGTCATAGTTGCCATAGGGGCCTATAGTAAACCTGGGAGGATCCCTAGCCGTAGCATAACGCCGATAGCTTTGGGTTATTTAAACCTGGCGAGATTCGACTGTTGAAGAATATCAAAATCTTCTCAATCCAACTTCATAACCAGTCTTCATTCAATTCTTATTCAAATGCCTTCCCACGGTCAATACACCACTGAAAAGATCAAATATCCTTCTCATGGGGAGACTGTCAGTGGAATCCTCTTTCGTCCCACGAATGTCACGAAACCACCCGGTGTCGTGATCACCGGTCCATATTCCTTTGTGAAAGAACAAGCGCCGCTGCAGTACGCAACCCGTCTCGCAGATGAAGGCTACGCAGCCCTGATCTTCGATCCGCGCACTGTCGGTGAAAGCACCGGCCAGCCCCGACGACTGGAAAATCCGAAAATGAAAAATGAGGACATGGTCGCAGGACTAGACTACCTATCCGCACGCGACGATGTCAATCCATCCCAGCTCTTCTTAGTCGGGATCTGCCAGGGCGGCCCCGAATCACTGGATGTAGCATCATACGATAGCCGAGTTGCAGGCGTGGCCTCGGTCTCGGGATACTATCGTGACCATGAAACGGACATCTACATGATTTGCGCTGGGTGTGTTGCATGGACGCCTGGCGCGGATATCGCGGCGATGAAAATGCCCACTCCCGAACAAGGAGAAGCCCTGTACAAAGCACGACTTGAGCGTGCTAAACAAGCCCGTGAACTGTACGACACCACCGGCGAAGTGGTGTACCAGCCGCTGGTAGATCCGAAGCCCGCTGACCCTGATACCGGGTCACTGGCCGGCCTTCCAGGACCAGTCGTTTGGTCCTGGTATGGGCCGTGGACACTGAAGGGATTTGAAAACCGATATGCGGTTATGAGTGACCTGGACCACTTTGATTATACCACCGTACCTGGTGTGGCGAAGCTGAACAAGCCGGCGCTACTGATACACGGCGACAACTGTATGAATGCGGCGGCTGCTAAGCGTCACTATGAGTCTATTCCCACAAGTCAGAAAAAATTGATCTGGAACAACGAGGTTTCCCACTTCCAGCACTACGACCAGCCGGATTGTGTTGATCGCAATGTGGGGGACATTGCGGCCTGGTTTGCGGAGATCAAATAGAGTGAATGCAAACTGAAGACAGATTTATTTCAATGATCAAGCTCGTTTATCAAACCCCAAAAGCTGGAATCTGAAAAGGTACCTTCAAAATTCCAACTATCTGTAAGGTTCATAGTAAGCGGGTCCAAGGGCAAACTGTCCGGGGTATCCATGACAGGGATTTGTGAACTTGAGATATGATCGAAGAACAGGTCGTGGATGGGACGCGGAGGTAGAACGGCATCAAACGGGAGGTCCGATGAAATCCCATTAGAGGGATATGTATCTCTGTTGGGAGAGGTCCATTGGGAGTCGCTGAAAAATGCTCTAGCATCTTCGGCGGTTTCGGAGGTTCCGGGCCGATATCTAAGGCGACGGTGCAAGCTGCAAACAACGCTATGTGCTGACTTTGCCATGTAATTCGATTGACCAATGATGTCTAGTCTTTGTATCCCTCTTTCAATGACGTTGACACACTCTGTTCGTCGTTCGTGATACATATTCGGAAAGACGAGAAAGACTGCTGTAACAAGAACAATAGCATCGAAAGAAGCGTAGACTGGATTAAACACCTTGCACTGGTGCGGCTCTGTTTGTTGAAATAGTCGTTCCTGTGCACGAAGAATAGATATTCCAGCCTCGAGGGCCTTTGTGCGACTGTCGGCAAAAGAGAATATAAAGGGTCGATGAAGTGCGAGAAGAACAAGGTGAATGAGCGAAGATAGTCCTTCTCGGGCACTAGGTAGCCATTGACACCCGTGTAATCGATCGAACTTCGTATCTGGGTTTTCCAGACGGCACCAAGAGGGTAAAAGTTCTAAATTTTTCTTGATTGCGGCATGAATGCGTTCGACTACGGGATAGTCTTGGGCCTCAGCACCGTTATGTTCCATTTGGTGAATGTCCTTGAAATATCGATAGGCCACATTATATCCGGCGAGAATGATGTCAAATGGTCGAGGAAGGTCAGTCTCGGTTTGCCAATGCGAGAACAATTCCCGCCGTCTTTCATCGTCTTCTATAGTGCGAGCGAAGCGATCTATTTGGAGATCTGTTGAAATGGGTCGACCGAGAACGACAGCCATGTGGACGTCCCAAATATGTACAACTACCCAAATTTTGTGACCAACGAGACTGATATTTTGTCCCGCGTGCCTCGGCCGAACTGGGAATTGCCCGGATACAATTCGCCCGGTATGTAGGCCAATTTCTTGTGCATCACGGATTGTTGTCCCAAGTGCATGCCAGGCTTCAACAACTTTGCCACTACTCTTTAAGAAAGAGGCTCGTAGCAAATCTGCTTGTACCGTGGCGATTGAGATATCTGTTTTCCCCAAAAGTGCAAGTAAATCAGCACCTATATCGCTATATTCGGACCCAAGGTCATAGAAGGTCATGTTGGCCATAGTCATGAGAGAATTGATCGCTGCATCATGAGGAGGGTGAAAGAGAAGCGCGTGTGCGAGGACTTGGAACAGTAGTGCTGGAAACACAATGGTTTCTAGCGCCAATCTTCGGAAGCCCCTTTCGAGGTCAGAGTATGAGATCTTTCGCCATTCGGCTAGGTGCTCTCTAAAGGATTCTTCGTCGAGTAGGTCATACTGCCAATTGATATCGGAGAAAAACGTTTGGATCAAGATATCAATGTAGGCCTGTAAAGGCAGCCGCCGGACTAACCCTTTATACTTATGATCTGCATCACTTCTGAAACTAGGTATGTTTGTGGCAGGTGAGTTAAATAAACCAGTACCCTGGCCTCCACACATCTCCGTGGTGCGCAATAGGCTCATAGAGTGGTGATTACCGTGGCAGGAGTATCCAAAATCTCGGATTTGGTCCCGAAACTCACTAGTCCACTCAGGGTCTGGTCTATCAAGTGGGCACAGAGGTACTATATCGGTGCTAGAGTTGGTTTCTGAAGGGCCACTTTCACCGGAACGGCTCCGCGTTGCCTGGCAGCCCTTCGTTTCTGCTTCATAATGGCAAAGACCCTGCGGTCACCAATCAGCCCAAAGGCAATGTTACGTTTAGAAACATGATTACCTGCGTTCCTCGCTTGATGCAGTTGCAGCATGGATACTGGCGATCACACTATTCAATCTTTAGTAATTTTCTTGTTTAGCGTTTTCGTGAGGGTTCATACTTTTTGCTTGCGCCGATGGCATTCGGTACAGGACATCACAATTCTCTTCCTTTTCTGGGGTTTTTGTTGTCCGCTGATCAAATTTGTCTTTGACTGGGGTAGATTTGTTGCCATATTTGCACGAATATTCTAGCAATTCTCAGAGGGTGGTGTTGAGAAGGATAGAGGCCAGGAGAGGCTGTTTTAAAGTTGGGAGGTATGAAGGTCTCCGATCCACTTACAAGCGAATACATGTTTTAAGATACAGCGTAATGTAAGCAAAAAAACAATACACAGTAGAAAATAAGACAGTATCTTAGAAGAGCGTTGGATCGCAGTGAGAAATAAGTTTAGAAATAATGTCAAATAAATGTCAGAGATAGATTTTCACTTTCACTTCATTGCCAAATAAACATAGAATGGGTATCTCTAAAAAGATGAATTGTCCGTCAAGGACAATCGGCTATCAATAATTCATTTCCTGGTCAAAAGACAAGGGATGCATCAATACTGACGAGAGTGGACTCAACCCTACAGTTTCATAGTATGGGGAGCCAGTAGCCCAAGTAAATAAACCCTAGGTATACCAAAAAGAGAATCTCGCGAAATAACAATCATAATCGTCGTAACAACAAATGTGACAAAGAGATGACAAAAAAATCAAAGTAAATGCAACACAACTATAGCTGTCGTAGCAGACTACCATCTGCAAAAGGATTCTCCGGGGACATATCCAACAACGGCCGCGTGGCATTGCGGTCACCCGTTGCGACACCATGTCCGCTGTGCGGTTTTCGATGGCTAGCCGTGCTGGCTGAGTGTGCCAGCAGGCTGTTAGCGGTGAACTTGTCGGCGGGGGGTGCCGGGCTTACTTCACCAGAAACCGGGGCCGTGTATTTGTTTGAGTGGTGGCGCACGCTGCGAGTGGTGTTTCGCCGCTGGGGTGTGGTTTCTGCGGCCGGTCGTCGCCACGAAGTCGCGGGTGGAATGGAGATTCCTCCTGGTGTCTGATCTGGACCAGTGGCGCCGTCGATTAGTTGCATACCGGGTTGGACTTTGACGCCCCGACCCTTGCCCTGGCGACTATGCTGTGGTGGCTCGGCATAAACGGGAGTGAGGTCAACCAGAGGTTTTTGTTTGAGAGATAGGGTTCGGGTGAAAGCAGAGGTATCGGGAGCACGAGTCATTGTGTTGCTCCGGCTGTTGGGATTTGAGTCGTGGCTGTGTATGGATCCTCCGCTCATAAAGCCAGTGCCTGAAAAGGCTTCCTGTTTAGCTTTCTTGTCACGATCATCCCGTTCCCGCATAGCGGTTTGTCGCTGGGTGTAAGTTCGGCCTAGGAGTCCGGATGGTGCAAACGTAGTGGAAGTTTCTGCTTCTTCGGGTGAAGTGGCTGAGAGTAATGCCTTATTGTCGGAGAAAGGCCCTTCTGTATCGGTATCGAGCGTCAGGGTCTGGGGATATGATGGTGGAGGAGGCGCGTGTCCACGAAGGGTTTTCTTCCGCGCAAAGACGTCTTTGGAGCTTGTGGGCCTCCGATGGTCAGAGCTTTCGGTCGAAGTCTCTCGTTCTAGGAGCGGAACTTCGTTATGCACATTTCTCGGCTGATTAGTCGACTTCTTCGTCCCAGCACGCTTCGGAAGTGTCTCGGTCTCTGGTTTCGGGCCTGTGCCCTTTTTACTGACAAGATACCAACTTCTCCACTTCTGAACTGCCCGGTACCATGTATCTGCAATAGACTTGTCGCTGGTAGAGAAAAAGTGCAAGAAGTTTTCTGTGGACAAAAACATGGATGACTTCTGCTGGCTCTTAATTGCGAAGCATAGCTTCTTAGGCGGCTTGATATCCTTGTTTAGCGCTCGAGCGCTGGGAAAGTAGATATCATAGTCGGATATATGGCAGATATTGGTCTGTTCCTCGGCGTTCTCTTTTTTTGAAATTGTCACTTGTCCGTCCGCACGTAAAGTGACATATCGCTTATCCCACTTGCGACGACGCTGGGAATGATAGATATGCACAGTCACTGGAGATGGTTGCCCGCTGGGGGCATGCCCAGCATCGAGCTGGGTTAGGGCTTCCACGCTGGAGGGAGGAATAACAATGAACTGGTTGTCCGCATCATGTGACCAGGAATTCATGACTTCCCGGACATGCTCATAGCGTCGGAGAGGGCGCTCTAGGCCAACTTTAGAGTAAGACTCCATGAGAATGAATCTCTCCGCATCAATATCGCGCGATAAGTGCTTGGTGGCATCTACCAATATATCCCGGACTTGAGTTGACGGAGTGACAGTAAGATCCGCAGTGGCATCTCCATATTTGACGAGCGCATGTCGTTCTCCGGCGTTGACAGCGCTGACAGGAGCATCAACTCCTGGAACCACTCCAGTTCCACCTACCCCAATGTAGTTCGGGAGGGGCTCCTTTTTCTTGGCGGATGTTGCAAGTTTGACCTTCTGAAAGAAAGACTTGCGGTTCCCATCGGTTTCTGAGTTGGAACTGCGCGAGGGATGCGCCGGCGCAGGTTGCGATCGGGGTTTTTGCGCAGGCTGTTTTGGCGAGACGGACACCTGAGGCCGTCCAGTGTGTTGCGCAGAGTTATCCCCTCCAGTCAATTGTTCCATCGCACCTTGTCGATGTAGCTCGCGCGTGTGGGCTTCCTCCTCATTTTGTGTCGCCAAAGGGTGACTGGTTGCGGGCCGTTCACTTTCTCGTCCCGGTCGAATTTGCGCGTGGCCCGGGATCGCGGGAGTAGGAGGCACGATATGTCCATTTGACGATGGCCGATTGCGACGATATCGAGATCTGCTTCGAGCGAGCGAGGGGTTCTGCTCGACGCTATTCACCGGCGCAGGTGGTGTGGCCATTTCGACGTCGGTTGTCCCACTTCGCATGCTACGATAACGAGACAACTTTTGGGGTACAGCCTGCGCTGTCACATTGTTCTCACTCATGCTGGAGATTTTTTTTTTTTTTTTCACTTGACATTCGCCCCTGGGAGGCCGATGCGCGTAAGTTTCGTAATCTGAGTCGAGTTCTATCGGAATAAGGTTAGCGTCGCCTTGACACCGGGAATTTCCCATTCAGATCGGGCAGTGCTGCGACTCTGCGACTCTGCGACTCAGCCTCTTGAGAAGAGTTCAGTGCAGTGGAAAATACACAAATGTGGGAAAAGGTGTGGGACTGGACTAAATAGAATCCAATCTCACGATCAAACCGGCCTGTTTTCAATCGACCATTCGCGCCTTGGGGGAAACAAAGTGACCCGCACCGATCGTCAATTGGGCGGGCCTAGGCTGGGGGTTTGCATAGGGTTTGCTGATTTGGATAGACCAAATTGGATAGGTGTGATGAATGGAACTCACCGAAGTACTTGGCATAACAAATAATCGTGTGAAATTGGGAAATAGAAAAGGATGAAACACAATTTCCCAGTGAGTGTCCTGGCAATTTCGTGGGGGCTAAACATATCCGGATCTACGCGCCGCATGCGTTTTCATGCGACGGGGCAACGATGTGTATACAACACAATACGATTGACCTGATAGAACATGTGTGATATATGATCGACAGGTACTATATTGGCTTTATGCTTTATTCGCACTATTACGGAGTACCTAAGTAGATTGTTTAATGAAAAGGATGAAACTATTATTGGAGGATCTCCAAGGGTCCACAGGGCGATCAGATCTGAGTGTTTCACTCCAAATTTACTTCCAAGGTTGGGATTCTTCACAAATGGGGACATCATGAAGCTTGAAGTCTCTTGGAAATCCTTCGCATCATGTTCTATACACAGAATATACGAGTTCTGTAGGGTTATATAGTTCCAGGGTTGTTACTGACCCAGTCTAGCTGATCACCTTGATAGGCTTAAATCTCCTTTCTGGGTTTCAATCGGATCTATATCCTTCTATATTTGAATCCTTCTTACAACTTGGATAGTTAAGTTAAAGCCTATTTCTTATAAGCACCCAATTCCCGGCGCCTGCGAGTCGTTAGCACGGATCTAAAAAGCAAGGTATATAACTAGTACACCCCCATGAAGAAAACTTACCACCATGCGATGAAATCCACTGTCCGCACATCAATCCCAAGCTCAGTCAGGGCCTTGGTGGAGAGATGTGTATCATAAGGTCGCACAACACCCGCATTGGGATCATTACCCTGCTTATTGGGGATCATTCCGGGAATAGCGACACCCAACACCTGAGCCAACTTCTGACAAATCTCATACTTGGTCATACGGTCCTCGGACGAGAATTGCAGGATACGAGGGAAATCCTTGCGCTTCTCCTTCTCCCGCAGGTACTTGATGACGATGTCCCGACACACACGCGCAACGTCTTCGGTGTTGGTTGGGTACCGTAGAGCCCAATCGTCCATCTTTACACCGGCATTTTCATCAGTTGCCTTCTGGACCGCGTCGACGAGCGTGTTGACTGCGCTCTCCGAGTTCTCCTTGGCGTTGCCGTACAGCACCGGCACGCGCAGCACAATGCCCATGCCTGACTCCTTGGTTGCTTGTAGTACGGCCACCTCGCCATCACGCTTCAATTGCCCGTACAGGTTCGGTGGCTTGGTTTCGGAATCAGCCTCGTAAGGTGCGTCGCCTTCGGTACCGGGGAAGACATAGTCGGTCGAGATGTAGATAAGGAAGGCACCGCGAGCTTGGCATTCGTTGGCCAGTGTGCGGGTAGCGTCGACATTGACCTTGCGGGCTTGGTCTGGGTTCTTGTCACAGAGGTCTGGGGACTTGTTTGCGGCACCTGTGAGCTGTTAGTCTATGAATTGGGGGAGGGATGATCCAGTCGGGCTCTAATTAGGTAGCTTACAATGGATGACAATCTGAGGCCTGGCGATAGTTTCAAAGCTGATTAATGTCTATGCTCAGAGTCTAGATGGAAAATACATACTTGATTTCATCGAAGAGCATGCGAATGTCTTCCTCCTTCTCCAAATCGGCCTTCAAGATAGTAGGCGGGGCAGGACGGGAGAATCCCTGACCAACAACCAACACGCCCGAGTGCTGGAAAGTGTTGAAAACAGCACGACCAAGGAACCCACTGGCTCCAGTAACTAGAACTGTGGATGTCATTTTCGATGTAGTTATGCAGTTATGCAGTTATGCAGTTATGGGGTTAAGTCGGGAAGATGGTGGGATACTCTTCTTCTTTTTTTTTTTAATGACGCGGGGCCAACTGTGACGTAACTGACTTCTCCCAGCCCTGGAGTGGATATAACAGTTTGAGACCATAGTTAGAATCATATCTAAGGTAGTTGGATTCATATGAATTCGATCAATTGAATCAATTCAATCAATTGCACTTGGTTTTGTGTTTTGTGCGTGTTGAGATATACCTAGTGATATCATGATCAGCGTGTACTTGAAGGTCGATTGGTTGACGCAATAAGGTACAGTATATATATATATATATATATAGGTATGTATATATATATAAGTTTAACTTCTATAGTATATTTACTATATCAATATGAACTACCCTCACTAAACCCTTCCAGTGTTAAATAGAGAAAAGCCGAAAATCTCCGAGGTCGAATCAGAATCGGTGAGGACCTGGGAGCTCTCGGAGGCAGATCGGAGCATCGAAGAATCGGAGTATCTCCACTTGACATTCCGAAAATTGTTCCTTGCTAATTCCTCAGTCATGTCTGGTGCCAGGAATATCACAGCCGCTTTGCGGCGGGCTCGAGTGCCTCGTCCTCGTTTTGCCATTCGTACCGTCCAATCCATCACACCCTTGACTACACGCACCTTCAGCGCCAGCTCCACCCGCAACTCCGATTCCCGCCAGATCAAGTTCACCAGCGACGCTTACCCCAACCTCAAGCGCAACCCCAACTTCGCCGAGATCTCTGCCGAAGATGTCGCACACTTCAAGGAACTCCTGGGTTCCCAGTCGGCCGTGGTCGATGGCGTGACAACCGACGCGACAGACGATATCGAACCCTTTAATAGCGACTGGATGCGCAAGTACCGTGGCCACACCCGGCTTGTTTTGAAGCCCCAGAATGCACAGGAGGTTAGCAAGGTGCTGAAGTACTGCAACGAGCGCAAATTGGCTGTCGTGCCGCAGGGTGGAAACACTGGTCTTGTCGGTGGCTCAGTGCCGGTCTTCGATGAGATCGTCATCAACACTTCGCGTATGAATCAGATCCGCTCTTTCGATGCTGCCTCCGGTGTCCTGGTCGCCGATGCTGGTGTCATCCTTGAGACTGCTGATCAGTATCTCGCTGAGCGGGAGCACCTCTTCCCTCTGGACCTGGGTGCCAAGGGCTCCTGCCACATCGGTGGAAATGTCTCCACCAATGCCGGTGGCCTGCGTCTCCTCCGCTACGGCAGTCTTCACGGCAGCGTGCTAGGCCTCGAGGCGGTCCTGCCGGATGGGACTATCGTGGATGCACTGTCAACTCTACGCAAGAACAACACTGGTTACGATCTCAAGCAGCTGTTCATCGGTTCGGAGGGTACCATTGGCCTCGTGACTGCTGTCTCTATTCAGTGCCCCCCGCGCCCCAAGGCGGTTAATGTGGCTTACTTCGGTCTGGAGAGCTTCGAGCAGGTCCAGCAGGCTTACCTCGCTGCCAAGGGTCAGCTCTCGGAGATTCTCTCCGCGTTCGAGCTGATGGACGGCCGCAGCCAGAAATTGGTCATTGAATCTACGGGTAACAAGCACCCTCTGGAGGGTGAGTATCCTTTCTACTGTCTGGTGGAGACCAGCGGTTCCAACGCCGAGCACGACATGGCCAAGCTCGAGTCGTTCTTGGAGAGCGTCATGGGCGACGGCATTGTCGCCGATGGTGTACTTGCTCAGGACGAGACCCAGTTCCAGGCCCTGTGGCGCTGGCGTGAGGGTATCACCGAGTCCCTGAGCCACTTGGGTGGCACCTACAAGTACGATGTGTCGATCCCGTTAGCGGATCTGTACCTGCTTGTGGAGGACTGCAAGGCCCGCCTCACGGAGAAGGGTCTGGTCGGTGACGATGACTCTTTCCCTGTTCGTGCTGTTGTTGGTTACGGTCACATGGGTGACTCCAACCTGCACTTGAACGTTGCCGTGCGACAGTACAGCAAGGAAGTGGAGAAGGCGATCGAGCCGTGGGTGTATGAGTGGATTCAGAAGCGCCAGGGCAGCATCAGTGCTGAGCATGGACTTGGCGTTGCTAAGCGCGAGTTCATTGGTTACAGCCAGAACGAGACGATGGTGAAGCTGATGAAGCAGTTGAAGAACCTCTATGACCCGGTAAGTAGAGTGTGACTGCTATGTGTGAGCAATTGCTAACTTGGATTCTTAGAATGGGATCATGAACCCATACAAGTATATTTAGAGCATGTTGGGGTGCGTGTTGTATATGGATCGTTGGAGCATAACAAAAGCCGTTTACCGAGATCAAGTAATAATCACAATATGCACAAGCATGTACAAGCATGTACAATGCGGAGCCCCCAAGCAAATAAAGTAAATGAAGTAAATGATAATCTATTCCAGGACTAAATAGCTCTATTCGAGGCAAATCGTATCAGCTGAGTGGACCCCTTGCAGATATACCCCAGTTGGTGCCTTAGGCCATCCGTTGCCATGTGAGACGGAGCTTGTTTGGGGATTTATGCTCCACCCCTTGCCCGCCATCCCCGAGGGTCTCTTTACGCTCGTCTTGTCCTCTCGAAAGTCCCAAGCTATTCATTCATTACTTGGATGAGCCCTGTCGACATTCCCTGTCTGACCGGAGTAGCTAGCTGGGCTAAATTATTGCACAATGGACGACATGGCAAGTCATTACCAGGTGATGGAGGAGCTAGGGAGTAAGTTGACCAAAGCACTGCTTTTTTTTGAAATTTTTTTTTTGCACTTCCGTCGGCTAACTGTATTCTCCGTTTGCAGGTGGTAGTTTTGGAGTGGTTTACAAAGCCATTGACAGGACTGACGGCGAGATCGTTGCCATTAAACACGTACGCTTTCATGATATTCGATCTTCGAGTTTCAAATTCCCGCCTGGAGTTCGATTGTTGACACCCCTTTCAGATCGATCTCGAGTCCAGCGAGGACGATATTCAGGAAATCCAACAGGAAATTTCTGTTTTGGCTACCTGCGCTAGCCCCTACGTTACACAATACAAGGCCAGTTTCCTTAAGGGGCACAAACTATGGATTGTTATGGAATATCTCGGAGGTGGCTCCTGTTTGGATTTGGTACGTTCCTTGCTGCTATTTTTATCGTGATGTATATCGCTAATCGTCCCAGTTAAAACCTGGATGTTTTAATGAAGCCCATGTGGCCATCGTCTGCAGAGAACTTCTCCTAGGCTTGGATTATTTGCACAGCGAAGGCAAAATCCACCGTGATGTCAAGGCCGCCAATGTTCTCCTTTCTCAGAGTGGAAAGGTGAAGCTGGCAGACTTTGGTGTCGCCGCACAGCTGGTCAACATCAAGTCGCAGCGCAATACATTCGTCGGAACTCCATTCTGGATGGCACCGGAAGTAATCCAGCAGGCTGGATACGACTTCAAGGCAGACGTTTGGTCCTTAGGTATCACGGCAATCGAGATGATCAACGGAGAACCCCCACATGCCAGCACACACCCGATGAAAGTACTGTTCCTGATTCCGAAGAACCCCGCCCCTCGCCTTGAAGGCAACGAGTACAGCAACACATTCAAGGACTTCATTGCACAGTGTCTGACCAAGGATCCGGATTTGCGGCCGAGCGCAAAGGAGCTCCTGAGACACAAGTTCATCCGGAATGCGGGCAAGGTTGAGTCGCTTCAAGAACTGATTCTTCGCAAGCAGGACTGGGATTGTGGCCGTGGGGAAGGGAGAGACGTGAAATACTATGCCGAGTCTCTCAACACCATGACTAGACCTGAGGATCTCGATGATGACGATTGGGTCTTTGACACAGTCAAGGCTCCCCCAATGTGGAAGCCCAAGGGCACGGATTGGATGACGTTCGATGAGGAGGAGGAAAACAACACGCCTGATCCCGCCCAGATGCTCGAAGACCTGCATATAAGTGCACCACCACCGCCGCCTAAGCACCAGGCAAACTCCACCGTCCGCCGAATCCCCACCGACCGATCTCCGTCTGTCAGACGGGCTAACACCAAGCGTCGTTCGAGTGGCACCAAACAACCCCTTGGTCTAGACTTGAGCTATGGCAACAGCCCGTCCACAGTTCGACAGTTCCGCCGGGTGTCAGACAAGGTCCCCACCGACCTCAACCCAGTCAAGGAGGGATTTGACGAAAATCAAAGCCCGAAGACGGTATCCACCGATACTTCAAGCAAGGAGGCTCAAATTGGACGCCGTGCATATAGCAAGGCCGTGGGAATGTCCTGCCAGGAAGTCCTATCAACAACAGGAGATGGCGATAAACGGGAGGCAATCTCCAGACTTGCCGAAGCCTGGAGCGACCTGGAAATGGTCGACCCCGAAGGTCTTTACCACATCGTCAGGATCATGAATGAGAAGCTCCAAGCCGACTCCCGCCTCTCCACTCTTCTCCCATCCACACAACCCGATTCCCCCTCGCGACCACGCCTCGTGCTGGCCCAAAACAACCCACACCTCAAAAGCCACCGTCGTCGCCAATCCTACGTCCCCGAGCCCCAACCTCAGTCACCCCCATCCGTCCCCGCTCAAGCCGCACCCGGTATGGAACACACCAAACAACTCTCCGATGTCCTTTACCAGCGATGGTCAGAGGGTCTCCGCAACCGCTGGGGCGGCATCTAGTCTCCCCCGTCAACCATCCTCACGCTTCCAACGTCAACCTCAACTCATCCTGCTCCTCTTTCTTCCATTCGCTGTATAGATCCAATTTGGCGTTCTGACTCTTGTACAACTCTTTGCCATTGCCTGCATCCTTGGTGTCCGTTCGTTCGTTCTGTTTACTGTCACTTACTCTGGTGGGACTGGTCCCGGGGTTACTAATGATCTGGTGTAATCTTTTTGCGCTTTCTTCTGTACTCTCTTTTTTCTCCGATAGAATGCTGCCTATGCTTCTGTCTTTGTCTATTGGCCCTTGGTCTTTTGTGTGATTTTTTTCTCAGGTATTTTCCAGGAGTACTAGAACATACTATGTCTGAAATGTGATAAATGTCTTGATTTTTGTATCGCTTCGTACTTCAATACGTCTGTACTTGAAAAACTAACATGAGTGAAGCACCACATGGGAACATACGTACCTAATCTTCTCCCTATTCATAACCTGAGAGCAGCTGCATATGTGGTTGACATCCCGAGGGATACCAACTAGGCTATACGGTGGTATCTTTGAAATGCTTCTGTTTATGTGAAACAATAGTCGGCAGCTCATGCGGCCTCCTTGACGACGTAATAGTCTAATACTCTAGTGTATTTGGCCCAAGATGATATTACGGGCGTTAGGTGTAAGAATAGGTCTCTTGGCTAGAAAGGTAGCTTCAAGAACGACGAGAAAGGGTGAGAATAGCTTTAGCTTCAAGAACGGTGAGAAAAGGTGGGAATAGCTTCAGAAGGAATGTGGAAAAAGTGGACCTCGGGATTGTGAATAGCTTCATGATCACCTAATTGAGACTACCTAGAATCCAGCCAATCAGATGACTAGAAAGACAAAAGAAGCACGGTTACCATGAAGATCCAGAGTAGTTGTTCAACTCCAAGCCCCACTTAGCTCAGTGGAAACAAGCATCCGTTGGTGTCAGACCGGAAAACGGTTACTAGGCGAGACACCTTCCGATTGACTGGGATTGTAGAGCGCGTGTGTTCGAGCCAAGGGCGAGATCTTCTAAGAAAATAGTTCCTAACAGGCGTTTGGCCCGCCTGGCCCCGACCGACGGACGAGGCGTGGGTCTCTCTGGCATATAGGGGTAGGAGCGATTGAAGGTTCGCTAACAACACACCGTAAATATCTACTTCCCAGCCGGTGAAGACGGGCTCGAGCTATCCCTTCGGGGCCCTCGCCTGTGATACAAACGGGGTTAGGCCAATGATTTTTTTTAGAAATCTTTTTGAAGAAAACCAACTTCCAAGTTGTCCTTGATATAGACCCACAGACGTACACAGACCCACTTCCCCAGATTTTGTTTATTTCCCCAGAAAATATTTCCTCTGTCACTTCTTGGCGTTCCCTTTCCGTTCTAGTGCTCAGACCTTGCCGCTTTTTGCTCACTGAGTAGATCTGAGCACGACCCTAAGCACCCTGATTCGCTCACTAAGCCTAAGCTGAGCCTAGGGGTAAGTCCACGGGTAGTAGATTCCGACCCCTGGCCGGGACCTCGTACACCTGCGCAGCCGGAAGAATTTTACATCCACTCAATACTAGTAGTAATGGAAAGGCGGTAACCAGGGCGGTCAACGATAGAAGTATTGGGGTTCAAATACGCATGAAATGCCACTATACATGGATGTCATATTGATGAATCTTCCAGAGCCAGAACCTTGGAAACTTCCTGAATCCTACCTACCTAATTCATAACCGGCCGATTACCAAGTCTACTCATCTACCTAGGTACCTACCTAGGTAATCGGTCTCCTATAGTTACTTTCTTTCTTTAATTCACTCTCTTAGACAACACCTGTGTACTTTGACTATGATTATGAAGACTCTGACTCGTGTTAAATCTTGCTTTACCCGGCCGAATAAGGCGATCAGCCCTTCTGAAATCCCCCGTATGACCACGCTTGCCGGACTTCCCCCGGAGCTATTATTGTCAATATCCGACTTCCTTCCAGTTGTTGATCTTGTTTGCTTTTCCCTTTGCAATCGCCGATTTTTTGCACTGTCTCAGAGACAAATAAAGCGACTACCTCCTCGCACACAAGATGATACTCTCTCAATCTTAAACCGACTGGAAAGAGATACTCCAGAATACTTCAGCTGCGAGATGTGCAACATTCTTCATCGGTATGATGGATCCGAAAGTTTTGGACTCTCCGTATCAGAGCGCGAAAAAGCTTGCCGACTCCCGTGTGTCCAGAATAGAAGGTGGTTCTCGAATTCGTGCATTATGAGCACTCACTTTGGAAGTACTTATACACAATACGAATTTTCTTTCCTCCACCTTAAGCTTGCAATGAAGAGGTTTCACTATGGTCCGAGATCTGGGATTAGCACTGATTCTCTATCCTACACACAGGTTCGCCACTACCCCATGCAGTCTGATTACCCAGAGCTACTCTCGCTATTCTCAACGGAGGCACAGATATGTCCTGACCCCCTCGGTCTTTATATCAGAATGCAGGACATAGTTGTCGTTGAGGAGCTAGACGATTTGATTTTTCGTCAAGGCAGAAGCAGAATCTATCCGGATCCTCTTGACAACTTGATGCCGTGTGTAGACAGCTTTCTTCTCAGTTTTATCACTCCCATTGTGGAGTCCTTACGCAACGGAGGGAAGGCCTCTTTCACCTATAACTGCCAAATGTGCAATACGGATATACAGATTGAAATAGGTGAATTTGATTCCAAAATAGCCGTCGTCTTGACAAGGTGGGTTAATCTGGGCCCTGGTCTAACTCAAGATGACATATTGTGGAATACTCAAGTCGCTGCGCCATATTGGGACAGTTGGATTGACTTAGATGACCCAAGGCACTTACTTACAAGTCCCCGCTTGTGTTTTGAAGAGATGGCACCTCAATCATTTGAGGACTTAAGGTCTCGTAACCTCTCCTATCTGGAAAACCAGCAATTCAAGAATGGCAAGCCTTTCACTAAAGCAGGAGGGAACCGTTGGTATATTGCATACAAAGAGCCTTCAAAGAAAACGGGAAGTAGATTGCTGCGATCTTTACTAAGCGTTTTGGCCATATCTCGAGACAAGGGGACTGTCACACAAAGAAATAGACGAAAATTATATTCGTGACTCGCCTTTACCTAGCAACAACCGGAGCTAGGATTGGAAGAGTTTTCACTGCCGGAGATGGTAAGTTCGCTTTGAATAGAGTCCATGGCCTCAAACTAATATGCTTCATATTATAGCCAGCCATACACATAGTCTGAATGTAAGTCTCTATAGTAACCCTTCGCTCGAGTCTTACAGTCATTGACAATGAATTCAGGCGAGACACGCTGGCCAATTTGATAGGTAGCCCACCAGTGGAGAGCATCCTCCTTGGGTAGGAGAGATTATGGTTTGATCGCGTCGACAGTTTGTTCTGGAATCCACTTGAGGGTAAACTTATTTCTTCGCAGCCGCGCATTTTCAGACTTAACACCCTATGTTCAATTGGAGTTTGATCACTCTCGGGAGCCACATCCTCAGGAATCTGAATGTACAGCTGAGTGAGTTATTCGCCCATGGAGACCATCTCTCTAGGGATAATTATAGCCTGGCCGGCAGAAGAATGAACACCGCAACAGCGACGAATATCGGAAAAATCCGTCTCAGCAACCATATTAACCACAACCAAAATGATGCAAAGACTCTCCTACCAGCCGAGCTTCCCTCGACGTTATGGGGCATACCATGAATGAGAATATTCCTTGGAATATGGTCAAGTCTGCAGTGTGATTCTTATCCCCAGCGAGCTTTATCCTGTGGTCACGACTCACCGGGACCAGGGTACAGTATGGATGATCGTTCTATCAAAGTAAATATGAAGATAACAAGGTGAAAGCAAGGTGAGAGCAAAGTGAAAGCAAAGTGAAAGGAATGTCAGTATCAATTCAAAATTCAAAGCAAAAGGAGAGTGGATTCTTCCTGAGGGCAGTCACGAGGTCTTACTCATACATAGTCCTACCTACCTAGGTAGGTATGGATAAGCTTTTGACAGAACGCACAAAAACTGACTCGCTCTTCTTTCCTTCTTTCCTTCTTCTCTTCTTCTCTTCTTCTCTTCTAATCTCTTCTAATCTCTTCTAATCTCTTCTAATCTCTGCAAAATCAAGCACTACTCAATTGCCCAAGATGGCTAAAAATACCTCCTTCTTCATCTCCCTACTCCTCTTGGTAAGTAAAATATGAACCTCTGAGTAGACACATGTACGCGGGTCAAGCTTGAATGTGTCACTACCTGGAAGCACCTCTGGACCCCCATCTCTGGAACCCTACCTCTCACCAGTTACTAACCAAATGAATATATAGATGATCCTCAATGTGGCTGCGGCCCTTCCCATCCCCAGGCCCGGCCCTGATGGCAACTATACCGTGAGGCCAGAGGACTTGGCAAAATTCTGCCAAGCCCTTCAAAAGCGTGCGTATTAGACCACGATTTGTGGCCCCTTCCTGTCACCCTTCCCTGTTATTAAGTAGACGCCAACTAACTGTAATTGTATGATAATAGCAGAAGATAAGATGGTACTGGAAATGGATTTCCAGACCAAAGTCTTTGGCATCACACTTGTTGTGATGCTAGACAAGCCTTCCCGCGCCAGAGGTCTCCCTCACCCGAGCCGCCGAGCCCAAGACCCCTCGCGCCGCCCCCTCCAACAAGGGGCCCGACAAGACTCCAGGACTGCGCAGCTCGCCGAGAGGGGCCTGCCTGCCAACACTCCATCAGGCCCCTCTCGGCGAGGGCTCGCTAATTCCCGGTAGGCGGGCGTGGCTTCGGGGACCCTTCACCAAGGGGCGCGCCCCGCCCCCCCAAGCCCGCGGTCGACTGCCCCTCAAAATGCACCACCCACTGGCCAAAACGCGCACCGGGCTCCTCAAAAAGTGCTGCCCCCCCTAAACTAGCGGCCAAGAGATCTGCTAATTTTTTTTCGGATTCAATTCGGATTCAATTCAGATTCAATTTACTTTAGTAGAAATCCATATGTTTCGGTGATTTCAAAGCCTCTGGTGTTGCTTACGACAAAGTCCCGGACTGCGCCCTCATCGCCAAAACCTCGCCCGTCTTGCCTAGGCTTAAAGCTATAGGAGAACTAAAGGTTCCTTGGGTTAAAGAGCACAATTTCACGACCTACCAACATCAAATTCCAACCTTTGCCATCGTAAGTCCATCCAGCAGTCTCTCCAGCACTCTCCCTCGCACACCTCGCACTCCCACCAGCACTCTCACCATCACTCTCACCTCACACTCCCACCTCGCACTCTTATCAGCTCTCCTTCTAAGGTATATTTATACTAACATAGCATGTTTTATCCAAGATATCTTATATATACGCCACGCCAGTTCGCGGGTGTCCCCCGCCCACCGAGGACATTGTCCATCCGGGGTCTATCAAGAGGCTTTTCTTTCTCTTTTTCGCCGTGGTGGCGACATTGCGCCTGGACTACTTTCCCAAGCGCATGATCGACCGGTATGCCTCATATTTACGCTAAACCCTGTGAAGCCGGATGCTTATAGAAAGCGAGTATCACATGCGGAGACTGCTAGCCCAGCCCATTCAGTATATGTTGGAACTTGACGTTAAGTTTGGATGGCTGTCCACATACCACCAGTCAATCTTCCTCAGACAGACGTACGTGAATCACGCCTGAGGATTAAATACTCACCGATAATTTATCCTACCACACGATAACTATACCCTAACCGGTGGTAACGCAGATGTTTCTGCAAAGCAGTGTTACTTCTTTCTGGCCAGTTTGGCAAACGCCCACGGTCCTGTGGGAAACTCGACACCTGCCAGTCAGTGGATTAGACCGGAACAAGCATCAAATTTGACTGGTTGCTCAGCATCTGATCATGTTCTACTTTCTTTCTATGTTACTTGTTCTTGTCCTGCTTGTTTTGCGTTTCAAATCCACCGCATCGACAAGCGTCTTTCTCATCTGCAACAAACCCTTTCTTGTGCTATTGCTATTCTCTCGTTATCAGTTTCTTGGGCCTGAGGGCGTTGCTTGTTATACTATAAAAAAAGAGGCAGTACAGATGAATGAATGAACTTGATCTTTGTTTGTGAATGTATGGAGTAACAATTGATTTCAAATATGTACGATCTGAATATACACAACCAACCATAAAAGTCTCTTCACAGGGGGTTCAAAAGATATTTCCGTTCGGCCTGCAGACCATGAACTAACTAACTAGTCAATGGCTAAAATAAACTAACAAAGAAGACAAAAACCAAGAAAAAGATGTGCATCATCCGTGAATCGAACACGGGCCTCGTCGATGGCAACGACGAATTCTACCACTAGACCAATGATGCTGAGAAACCAAGTGGATCTGAATGCTGATTCGCTGGTCATATTTTAGTAAGACCATATTAGAATTATACTGGTGCTGAGGATGGGATTCTAACAAACACCTTTCCATTTTCGACTTTTATTCCAACAGGCCTCTGATTGAGTGGAGTTTGACTGAGTGGAGCTTCTATAATATGTACATGTACTTATACAGGGCCACAGATGGCATCCAAAATGGAAAATTCAGACCTGGATACTCTCATCGGACACATCCTTACCCTCTCCCTCCACAGGCTTCGTCTTCCGGGACATCCACTCATGACGCAAGAGCCCTAGAGCCGTGGGCCGATGATCAGGATCCCATTGTAGCGCTTTTCGCATCCACTGCAAGAAGCCTTCCACATCCTCGCCGTTGACATTGCCAGCTGCTAGGCTCTCGAAGCTTCGATCTGGCACGGGAGCTTGGCCTGTCCACTTCCCGTTTTCGTCCCAAAACATGGAGCCTAGTCGCATCTTCTCGCGGAACTCTAGTGGAGGCGGGCCAAGTAGAGAAACCAGCTCGGCGATATGGACCCGGTCATCAAAGGCCCCGTCCGAGTTTCGTCCGTCGATAAGCCCTTGGGAACTGGTGTAATTCCATGCCTAGACAAACTGCATAAGCACAGTTCTGCTGACTCGGGATAAAGTACTCACAACTAGAGCAGTAGCCCAAATGTCTGCCCTATAATCCGATTTCGATTTCAGAACCTGTTCAGGAGGCCTGCAATGTTTTTCCTCGATATTGGACATGTCATCGTCTGGGAAGTCCAGACGAAGGGGAACACCGTCGCCGGGGAGTATCATTGGGGTGATAATCTCGTCATTGCTGGGTCCAGCAACTAGTCTATCGCTGGAATCGACGTTGAACTTTTCGTTTGGCATTATGCCTACTCTGGAATCAGTCATTCATCATTCAAAGACACTGAGGTTGTAAGGGAAGATACGGGCAGTTAAATAACAATCAGTGTGTAGGAAATCCATCATGATCAGCATTTGTTTCATTGTAGACCTCACCGACTCGAGATCCATCTTGTCTCCCGCATGCATCTGTTCTGTGTCTAGTGAGGGTGCCTCGTGAACAACACAAATATGAGAACCACGAGGACCCTTGATAGTAAAACGATCGCTAACCTCGTGAAGAGGGCATTCGCTTTGCTGGTATACTTTTGGTGGATGGACCCGCCCATAAGTCTTGAGCATATGGTCCACAACATAGATCTTCAAAACCACCATTCTGGGCTGTCTGTTGTTGACTCATAATTAGAGCAGTATCGTTCCGGTTCGGATAAAATACTCACAGTAGATCAACGGCATACCAAACAGTCGCCGTGGGCCCATATCCGATTTTGTGCATAATTCGGTACCTGTCGTTCAGGGCTTCTTCCTCTTCGGCGGGATACGTGTATGTCTCGTTAGGCTCATATCCCACAGCAAGCTCTTCCTCAATCTTGATAGATGAATCCAGTAGCCCGAGGTCAAAGACTGGGAAGACTCTCGGGTTGGACGTCCACTGTGATGAGCATCTACGCGACCAGGCTGTTTTTCGGTCAGAGGGGGAGATCAGTCGGTACGCGGAAATGGGAGGGTGGGAAGAAACCCCCATCTTCGGATAATTCCAGCGTTGGAGCGAATACGTAGAGCATTCACTCTCCAGTTCATGACGAAGACGCGGTTGTTGGTGAATGCGCGCTTGGCAGAGTAGGTGCGGTTGAACGACGAACGACGGGTCACCCCTGCATATTCCCGAAGTCTATTTATATCTCGGGGGTTTTTTTTTCTTTTTATCACTTCCTCAACACTAGATGGGTATGGAGTTCACTTTTTCGAAGCAAAGAACCATCTTCGCAGTAACCGAATAAATAATCGTCGCGCCAATCCTTAGTGTGCAGCCGCTAAAATAAGCTTAAACGACATTGGCTATCAGGGCCTCCCGATCTCCCGAATTCGCCTTCAGCCCGGAGACCCCACAACAGTCGAGATCCCACAGCGAAGTGCCTCCATAGGCTGAACTCAGGCTTGACCTGCCACATAAAACCACCAGCCGGACAGTAATCTAGATATGGAAATAACCTAGGTATGAGTCGGAATATATTTTGGTGACTATACAATGAAAGAGGATACGATTAAACACCCCCCATGTATTCCGTGGGACTTGTCAAGTGACTATGGTGCCCAAACGCTTAGCCACTTGTCAAAGAACTCGCACGAGAAAGCCCGGTTTGATTTGGGTGTGGACCTGCATGGGCCTCAACAATGTTGATGTCTCATGCATAGGCACCCGTTTTGCTACGGGACCCTCCACCTGCACTGTCTCATGGGGGTACGGGGAGATGGTGGTCAAGAGGGTTGGGGGGAAGAGTTGGTGAATGGCCTTTTATACCCTCAACAACACGTACCTTCCTAGAATGGGGGCCCTACTTTCCTAATCTGTCCATCTCGTGACTCGGTTGCACCTGCCTTAAGCTAAAACAAAACGCTTTTCTTGTTCTTTCCAATTTTATGGGCTTCCTTATATGTACTATAGCAATTTCAATACCAACTTCAATATACCTAGGTAACCTCGATGTTAGTCAGTCTCATAGTCAGCTCATTCAAGAACTTGCACTTTAACGCCAGTGTAAGTTGTGAGCAAGCTCCAAAGCACAAGCTTAATTGAAGGTTACTAACATACTACTGATATACTACTGTTGAAATAGTGTGAATTGTACATACAAAATGTTCCGATGTAGATCTATACCCAAACTATACAGAACGGATGCCAAGATTAATACGCTAATATTAAATTCTCCCCCCTGAAACACAGCCCGTGGACTTGGACTCGTGTGGGACCCGCTGTGGGCTGGACTCAGGAGACTCGGAGCTATTATTTTCTCCCCTTCTCAACTCTCCTCTGTTATTGTTTCTATTGTTTTTGTTTTGTTGGTTTCTATGACTTTTTGAAATATCTTGATCTCTCCTACTGGCTGGCCCATAATGGAGAGTCTTCCGGGAGCGGAGAACCTTCTCCATGGTCCATTTCCGGATAACCAGAATTCCACGAATTCCACCGTGCCACAACCGGACTCTGCTTCCGAGTTCTCCAATCTCTCGCGCTCATCCTCTCTCGCTCAGAAAAGAATATCTTCATTACCTCGTGTTAAGACGGCCCGTCATGCCAAACGGCTCACCTTAAACTTCCCTATCAATCTGAACGAAACTGGGACACTCGATAACGTCACCTCACCCAGCCCCATAACCCCAGTCACACAGTCCACAACCCGCCCCTCCCCCGCTCAGCCTCCGGGAACACCTATGGCATTTGACGTCCCGGACGATGGCTATGATTTTCTGCGGGCTATCGCCTCGCAGGAGCGAAAGGTCATGGAACTTCGCGAGGAGCTCACTCGAGCCGAAGCAGACCTAGTAACAATTAAGAAACAATGGGCACTGTCTGAGAAGTCTAGGAAGCGGGCAGAGATCAACCACGCGGAGCCACTTGTACCCCTCCGCTCGCCCGATTTCTCAACACCGGAGGTTTCGAGTTCACATGGCCGGGAACAGAGTATGAGCTCGGTTACGAGCTCTACAGTGTCACAGGAACGGATGAGCCGGGATCTAGACCGACGGTCTAGCGTGCGTGTTGCCGCGCCAGGAGCCAAGTATGGGAGTAATGGTCGGCGAGTGTTTCACGGCACACATACACGGACTTTGTCTCTCTTGTCGCCAGTTTCAGGTCCTAGCATTTCTTCCCGCGGTGAACAAGGATTCTCGGATGCTGCCAGTGAGCGCGTGGGTCGTACTCCGCGGTCTGCGACATTACCATCTGTCGACCGCACTAATGCAGCTCTGATGAGTGCGCAGCTCGACGAGAGCCAGGTACCAGAACATCTACTCGCGCAGTGGCAGAAGACTCTTCCTCCCCCTTCGCGGGAGGCTTTGATGCGCACAGGCAAGCAAATGGCGTCTGATCTCCGCGAGGGTCTGTGGACATTTTTGGAAGATATCCGACAAGCTACGGTGGGCGAGGAAGGAATCAGCGGCACACAGACACGAACCTCACCACCCAACTCATTGGCACCACCAAATGGTCGCAAGCGGGATTCGTTGGCAGGATCCCGGAGTCGAGAACGGTTGTTAGCGGACGGCAAGCTATCACGATCATCGTCGTCATCGTCTTCGCGGGGGAGGGGGCCAGCGGCCGAGACAAAAACTGGTAAAGACACCAAGCCGGCGGAAATTTCCACATCTTTCTGGAACGAATTCGGCATTGATACACCCGCTCAGAAGTCTCCCAACGCTCCGCGCACCCCTCCGACAGCAGAGCCGCCAACCGAAACGCGGCGACCGAAGCCGAACACCGCGACCACCGCTCCAGTAATTCAATCGATGCGCAGGATGAAGATCTCGACAACTGGGATAGCTGGGACACGCCCCTATCCGCACAGAAGACGCATACGCCCTCATCGAGCCGATCGACAGTTGCATCCAAACATGATCAATCACCCACCACACAGGGTAGCAGCCCTCGAACTAGCGCTAGGTACCGTTCGACCTTTTCTGATTTCATCTATGACAACCTCGTTATGCGCTGACCACGCTCCTAGCTTTGGTGATTTGAACCCGGCTCCCTCTGCACTTGATCCTAGTGTCTCTGAAAGCATCCCCTGGCCTGCAATTACCAAGCTGGCTCCCTCGAAGCTTCAACGTACTGCATCAAATCTGATGGCAGAATGGGAGCGCTCGCTGTCGCCTACTCCTGAACGAACTGCCTCTCCTTCGCTCACTCGCAAGGACAGCAAGAAGGACTAATAGGGTTCTTTCTCTCCTTTTCATGTATATACTTGCTACCTCTTCTTCGGCCCTATCTACGGGATTACGTAGGGCTACGACCTTTGAACTATGTCATACGAGAGCGTTGCTTCTTGTCTTGTCGATACATTGCCTTCCCTTTGCTACTTTTGAATTTGAAGTTTGTGCAGGCTTCCATTTACTTTCAAGATCTGTTGAAATACCAGTTTGATTTGATCACGATAAATGCGATTTTTGGTGCTTTAGCTTTACGAATACAACGAGTTTACATTGTTATGTCTTTGTTTTTTTTCTTTGGAATGTAACGTACACAACAGTTCTTCCCAGGTTCAATAATAATGCATCCATGTATACATCCCTAGGTATCCACGTTGTACCGATAACGGCACGTTGATTTGGGGGAGCCGGGATATCACGTGCAAGACTGCGTTTTAGGATTTTCTGGTTTCCCGTAAAATAAATTTGCGGTTTAGTTACTCGCCTCCGCAAGATCTCCGCGTTCTATATTTTACCGGATCACGCGATTTCTTTTCTCGCTGAGGTCCAGCGGATTGATCATTCAGGCCAGCTTGGATATAATCCAGCGAGTACGATCTACGACCATACAAATTCCAATCCTTACCTACGCCAACTTCCAAAATGGCCTTTCCAGGTACCACAGGGACCGCGATTCCCATGACCTCCCTGGGAGGTAACCCGGGCACTCAGGGAATGGATGAACAAGAACAGGCTATGGTCAAGATGGTTCGTCCTCCATTATAACATGCATTCGTCCAATTCTAATAGACCTCGGTATAGATGCAACGTGGTATGGAGTCCTGCCCTATCAAGACAGTCATCTCAGGTACCATGGGTTTCGGTCTTGGTGGTGCTTTCGGTCTCTTTATGGCCAGTGTAAGTTGGCGATTGAACACTTGACGTGCAAAATTCCATATCTAACATCTACCCACTCTAGATGTCCTACGACTCAACCTTCACACCCCAGGGCCGCGCCATCGCCGACCTCCCCTGGCGCGAACAAGTCCGCCGCGGTTTCAAGGACATGGGCGCCCGCTCCTGGTCCTCTGCTAAGAACTTCGGTATCGTCGGTGCGCTCTACTCCGGCACCGAGTGCTGTATCGAAGGCCTCCGCGCAAAGAACGATCTTACCAACAGCGTTGCCGCTGGTTGTGTCACTGGTGGTATTCTTGGCGCAAAGGCGGGTCCCCAGGCTGCTGCCTTCGGTTGCGCTGGTTTCGCGGCGTTCAGTGCGGCGATTGATGCCTACATGAGAATGCCCGGTGATGAGTAAACGGTCCATTCGGATCCGACTTGAAAGCACAAGCTTGTTCTGTCGCTTGGCTCTTCTATTGCTGGCGGTGTTAACTTGTTGCGCTTTTCGGCCTGTACATTTCTACGGCATCTGGCGTTCTGGAATAGAACGGAAGCATTGCGGGCGTTTTGGTTGTTGTCTATTTTGCTGGGAGCATGGTTCTTCTGGCCTGTTTCCCTTGCGTTGCATGTCTTGTTTGATGGCTGCATTGAATGGCCTCGGCATGGTGGTTTACTCCATATTAGATCCTTTGGGGTCTGACTCTTTACTCTTTGTACAATACCAAGCGTGGATATATATATACTACTGGCTTTTTCGAGACTCACCTCTCACAATTGATACCAACTTACTTCATGCTCATATGTATTATCAGCTAACTTTTGAAGAACCCCTAAAATCCCTCCGCTAATATTTAAATAATCGACTTGTACCGAATCCATGCCCCCTTCTCTAGTAGACGATATACTATGTCCAACCCAAATGCAAACTCGAACAGGATCAGCACTCAATTACTATACGCTCCCAATCTACTCCTTTGAGGCCCCAGAATCTGCACGAGGATAGTTTGTTCAATTTATATGTACACAGTTTAAGGCAACACAATATACTTCTCGAGGTGCTTGGGAATGGAAGAACGCAGGTTCTTGCTCTCGAGCCAGGTGCTGGAGAACAAACGATCCGCATAACGGTAAGCACCGTCACAAAGAATGGTGACAACGGTGTTACCCTTGCCCAACTTCTCGGCAACCTCCTTGGCGGCGACCACGTTCATCGCGGAGCTGGCACCAAGGTACAGACCCTCCTCATCCAGACAGCGGTACACCATTTCGATGGTCTTCTCATCACTGATGCTCACCGAGCCATCCAGCAAGTCGATGTCGGGCTGAAGGTTGTCTGTCACACGGCCCTGGCCGATACCCTCAGTGATACTGCTGCCAGAACGGTCGATCAGAGTACCACCACTTTGGATGTAGCTGTGGAGAACACTGCCCGGAGGATCGGCGAGGAAACTCTTAACACGTCCGCCACTGGCAGTCTTCAGATATCGGGTGGTACCAGCCAGGGTACCTCCGGTTCCAGTAGCGCAAGTAAAGGCGTCGATCTTGCCCTCGGTCTGCGCCCAGATTTCGGGCCCGGTAGTGTCGATGTGTGCTTGACGGTTGGCAACGTTATCGAACTGGTTGGTCCAGACTGCGTTGTCCAATGACTCGGCGTGTCGGCGCGCCTGGTGGTTGTAGTTTTGGGGGTTATCGAAGGCCACTGCGGGGACAGGGTATACTTCAGCGCCCAGCAGACGGAGCAAATCAATCTTGCCTTGTGACTGGGTGTTGGGCATATAGATCACTAGCTTGTAGCCCTTTGACCGGCACACATGCGCCAGCCCAATGCCAGTGTTGCCGGCCGTCCCCTCAACCACGGTACCACCGGGCTTCAGGAGTCCCTTCTCCTCTGCGTTTTTAACCACGAAGAGCGCTGCTCGGTCCTTCACGCTACCTCCGGGATTTTGGAATTCTGCCTTTCCAAGAACATTGCAGCCGGTCTGCTCAGAGAGCTTCTTCATTCGGATAAGCGGGGTATTTCCAATCGCTGCAGGACCCAAGTCAGCTTAAAAGTGTATGCAAGGGTGCTCGGAGCTAGACATACCCTCGGTCAATCCATTGACAACGCCCTGGGCAGTTGACACCCGGGTGCAGTAGGCAGTGGACCCCTCGGCAGCAGCACGGGACGCCGCAGTGGCGAATCGCCGGACACTTTGACGAAACATCCTCAGTTAACTTGCAATGCAGGAACAAATGATCGCATCGACCGTCGGGGAATGACGAGCTCCCGCACCTCCGATGGTCGGCATTAGTCAGCTCACGTGCGTCTACTACCCTTATCGGCTATCAGCCACCCGTTTTGGGCTGTTTGTTTACCGCCTCCACTCCTTTGATCGGTCCCGCAGTCTGCGATGCTTTTCGCCTCTGAATAATCAACGCTTAACAACAACACAACAATGCCTGGCAGAGTCGCCGCCCGTTCGACATCTGCGACGACACGCAGGTCGTCAGCACAGCCCTCTGCATCTGGGCGTGCTGGCTCCGTTACTCCATCGTTTGCGATCCCCGAAGAACCAACAGAGCCAGCATCATCCCCCACTTTGCGTCGGGATGTGTGCTTGATCTTTGCGGATGCTCAGCGCTCGACTACCGGTCACCGAAAGCTCGTTGTGCGCCTGCGCAAGCTCCAAGAATTTTCCTGCGGTATCTCACAAAAGAAGAGCAACAAGGGAAAGGACCAAGAGCCTGAAGAGGCATTGATTCCTGGTGAGGAAACGGAGGCCGAGAAGGAATTCAACGTGGAAGTCGGCCGCTGCATGCTTCGTATTCTCACAATTAAGAAGAGTGAGCCTGTTGGAGACAGAATTTTGCGCTTCTTGGGTACTTTCCTTGGTCATGCCGCAGAGAAGGATAATGAGATTTTTGCTCCGGGTGAAGATGAGGACCACAATACCGAGACACCAACCGCCCGCCTCACATCTAATCTTATTGCGCTGATGGGACCCGTCATGGGTGCCAAGGATAAGATGGTACGATTCCGCGCAACCCAGATTACCGCCCACATTGTGAACTCGCTTGAATCGATCGACGACGAGCTATACCATACAATAAGGCAGGGCCTTCTGAGACGTCTCCGTGATAAGGAGGCATCTGTCCGTGTACAAGCGGTTCTAGGATTAGGACGTCTGGCGGGAGACGATGGAGAAGAGGGCAACGACGACAACTCTGCCCTTCTTGAAAAGCTGATCGAAATTATGCAAAACGATACAAGTTCCGACGTTCGCAAAACGCTGCTCACGAATCTCCCCCTCGCTCCGATGACGCTTCCTTATCTTCTTGAACGTGCCCGTGATCTGGATGCCCCTACCAGACGCGCACTGTACTCGCGTCTTCTGCCTACCTTGGGTGACTTCCGTCATCTGTCTCTCTCAATGAGAGAAAAGCTCCTCCGATGGGGTCTACGTGATCGTGATGAGAGTGTCCGTAAGGCTACGGCGAAATTGTTCTACGACAGATGGGTCGAGGACTGTGCTGGCACAAACAATGACCCGAACCAGGGACCGACTGGTCAGCGGTCTGCACCCGACATCAACGCGCTACTTGAACTTTTGGAGAGAATTGACGTTGTTAACTCTGGAATGGAAAGCGGAGTTGCACATGAGGCAATGCGCGGGTTCTGGGAGGGCCGTGCGGACTATCGTGAAGCTGTTGTCTTTGACGAGCCTTTCTGGGAAAATCTTACAGGTGAATCCGCGTTCTTGCTCCGGTCATTCAACGACTTCTGCCGCGTGGAGAATGAAGGCAAATACGACAGCCTAGCAGACGACAAGATGCCCGAGGTCACTGCGATGGCCTATTTCCTAGGCAAATACATCACTAATCTTTTGGAACGGAAGAAGATTTCTAAAGAGTCTGGTGAAGCGAACGATGATGACGCAGTCGAGCACGAATTTGTTGTGGAACAATTGCTCCACATCGCCATCACTCTAGATTACAGCGACGAGGTCGGTCGACGAAAGATGTTCTCGCTCCTGCGAGAAACTTTGGCCGTGCCAGAACTCCCGGAAGAGAGCACAAAACTCGTCGTCGAAACACTCCGCTGTGTCTGCGGACCTGATACTGCAGCTGAGGCCGAATTTTGCAGCGTTGTTCTCGAAGCCATTGCCGAAGTTCACGACACCATCACCACCGAAGATAGCTTTGTTTCTGCTAGGTCTGAGATCAGTGACGATACTAGCAGACGATCCGAAACTCCAGGCGATGAGGAGGTCACTCCCTTTAATAAAGAAGAGGCTAAGGCTAAGATCGTCCGCGAGATTGTTGTTAATATGAAGTGTCTGTATATTGCTCAGTGCATGTTACAAAATGTCCAGGGCCACCTGCAGCAGAACATGAACCTGGTTACTATGTTGAATAACCTTGTGGTGCCCGCTGTTCGCAGCCACGAAGCTCCAATCAGAGAGCGTGGTCTTTTGTGCTTGGGTCTCTGCTGTCTCCTTGACAAGGTTAGTATCTTCTCCTTTTGATCGAAGATGAGGTTCGCTAATGATTGATTTCTACAGAATTTGGCCGAAGAGAACATGACCCTCTTCATTCACTGCTACAGCAAGGGTCATGAGGCATTGCAGGTCACCGCTTTACAAATCCTCTGTGACATGATCACGACTCACCCATCCCTACTTGGTCCCGTTACCCAGGCTGATGGCGAGACTGTAACGCCACCCCCCATGCAGAAGCCTCTGCTCAAGGTCTTCGCCCGAGCTCTGCGTGCCAACTCTCCCAACAGCGTGCAATCCGGGGCAGCCGCCGCTCTCTGCAAGCTGCTACTCACCAATACCTTCACACCCTCTGGGCCAAATGTCCCACCCGCGATCCAGGAGCACAATCAGAATGCTGTTGAGTCTCTGTTGTTGTCCCTAGTGGTCTCCTTCTACCACCCGCGCACTCGTGAAAATCCAGCACTACGACAGTCATTGGCTTATTTCTTCCCTGTATACTGCCATTCCCGCGTGGAAAATACGCAACACATGCGCCGCGTGGCCGTACCAGTGATCCGTGCTGTAATGAATGCCGCGGAGGAGCACTACTCACTCGAGGCCGAGGAAGACAGTGATGGAGAAATCGATCCAAGCGTCGGCGAGCGCGAGGTCAAGGCTCTTATGACTGGTGTTGTTGGTATGCTTTCTGAGTGGACTGATGAACGCCGGGTCGTTGGCCTTGGTGGTGAACGAATTCTGGCTGGCGGTGCTGCAAGCTCCAATGTTTGTGGATGGGTCCACCTCGCCTTAGTTAAGGAGATTCTCGAGCGTGTTCTCGGTGTCAGCGCTGCCGCAAATCGCTGCTCACGCGAGGAGCGCAAGCTTCTCTTCTCCCTCCTCAGCAAGCTTTATTTTGCCGCTCCTACATTACCCGCACGAGCTAGCTCTCGAGCCCCCGAAGGCGATGATCAATTCCGGAGTAGCATTCGCAGTGGCACAGGTGTCGAAATCGACCCAGAAAACACTGCCCTCGCGACCGAGGTCAAGGACCTATTGGATCAAACGATTGAAGAGGGTCTCGCCGCCGAAGCCTCCAGCCGAAATGCTCTCGTCAAAGCCAAGAACGCGATCCTCAAGATCCTTGCCGTTGCACAAGATGGTCGCGCTGCCAGTGCTCGTCCTCGTGAAGGCACTGAAGACCCTGACAACGATGGAGCTAGTGTACGCTCTGGTAGTGTTCGTCGCTCTGTGGACCCTACCGGTGGTTACAGCCGTCGTCATTTCTCTGTTGAGCCAAGTATCATGGAGGAAGACGAGGGTGAGGGTGATAGTCGTCTTACTTCTGCCACAGCTAATCGGCCCATTGTCTCCATTGAACCCAGTATTATGGAAGAAGATGAAGAAGATGACCATGATACTAGTCGGGGGACAATAATCAAGGAAGAGACGGGTGATGAGTGATGATTGTTCTGATTGTTCCGAAGTTCCGAAGTTTGGTTGAAGTTTGGTTGGCGTTGAAGTTAGGGGTTTAGGGTTAGGTTTCTGTACATATTTTGAGTGTCTTGATTTTTCTTCGAATACCTTTTGTATGAATGTTTGCATGAATTGCCATTATACAACAGTTGTATGAGTTCTTCATATTCATGTTCAATGTATATATATCTCCACGTGATGGGCCACGTGATGATATATTTTTGACAGCGGCAGAGAGGCCTCCCAAGGTTGATATTTGGAATTGTCTTATTTGGACTATTTGGACTATTTGGACTATTTTGTCCATCTTGTCCAGATTTGTCTATTTGGTCTATATTTGTCTCAGTTCTAAATATGTTTCACTGTATACTCCGCTATATGTGTCCTACCTAGTACTTGCTTTTGCCTTTTGTGTACTTATTTGATATCCTACATATTTATCTGATAGTTCTAGAAATCTCCTATCAACAACAATTTTAACCATTAGAAAGAAGACATATTTAATATAAATCAATATACATATCTATCTATCTATATATATCTATATAATCTACTGTATTTATCCTCGACTCGTTCCCCTAAATCCGAAAACCCGTACTAAGACAGGGATCTGGACCCGGTTGGGGTTGCACGGTCAAGACCAGTCCGAACACACAATTTCCAGGGGAATTTGAAGGATAGAAGATTCGATGAAAGTGATAGACAATAAAGAAGGGATTAAATTTCTTAATCTCTTGAAGGATAACATCTATATAATTCATTTTGTATTTGTATAATCTCCGTCTCTCCCCGTGAGCCCCGAAACTTTTCATTTTCTCTCAAAACTCCACCGAGTTGGCTCTTTTCTTCTTCCCCCCCCTTTCCCTTCTCTCCTCCCCCGGGCTTTCTCTTCTATTCTTACCACCCTCTTCTCCGGTCTTGTCTTTGTCTTCTGCTTTTCCCGCAGAGACATCTTCCCCCATCTTCCCCCGGGATTCCCTTGCCGCTCCGTTGGCACCGGACAAGTCAGCGATGGCGGCCGTTTCAGCACCAACCCCCAAGCTGGATCGATACATCGTCATCCACGTTGCAACCACTTGCGACGAACATGGCGTATATGTCACCAAGGACTCGGCTGAGGTCATTGAGTTAGGATGGATTCTGTTGGATACTAAGACCTGCGAGGAAGTCCGTTCCCACCCAACGTCCTTCTACCCAACATTCAATTTACTTTTACTCCCGAGGCCAACCCGAAAAGCTGACACCTTTTTTTTCCCCAATTGTTTAGTTGCACCGTGAAAGCGTTCTAGTCAAGCCCGTCAATACTCCAATCACCCCGCTTTGCAGTAAGATCGCCTTGAAACTAGCCTTGGATTACATTGGGTTTTCGCTAGGAATCAATTCGTGGCTGACAATTCTTTTAAAGCGAGCTTGACCACTTTGACATGGGAACACGTTCGCTCCGCAGGTACTTTCCGGGATGCCATCTCTCGATTCGACGCCTTCGCCCAGGAACACCTCACTAGCAAACATCTCGAGTTTGCTTTTGTGACGTTGGACTCGTGGGATCTGCGGGTGCAGCTGCCCCGCGAGGCCCGCGACAAGGCCGTCGTGCTGCCCGCATACCTGCAGCATTCCCGCACTTTTGACCTGCGAACTGAATATCAACGCTGGCAGACCCATCACCCTGAGTCACTGCCTTTCGGTCCCAGCTCGCTTTCCAACATCTGTGCTGCCCTCGAGGTCGAGCCCGTTCAGTCGTCCGCCCCGATTAAGCATAACCTTCCTTTCCACTTGCAAGCTTTGGCACCCGCTTCGCCCCGCCGTGCTATGGAGGAGTCTGTTACTCTCGCCCGTGTGCTTCGTGGCTTGATTCGCAAGTCGCAGCCGCCCCAGGAACACCCTGAGATCCTCACTCGTCCCATGGATGCTCATGCCGATGTTCGGGCCTTTTTGGCGGAACGGAGCAAGGTCCTGCACCTTAGTGGCCTGCCCCACGATACCACTCAGTCTGAGTTGGAGAGCTGGTTCACCCAGTTCGGCGGTCGTCCCATCGCCTTTTGGACTCTGCGGACGCCAGACCAGCACAAGCCCACCGGCACTGGCTTTGCCGTCTTCTCTTCGCACGAGGAGGTGAGATTTTTGTCTTATTGTTCTATTACATAGAACTTCTTATATTTTATCCGCATGTTCCGCCTGCTAACTGTTTACTAGGCTGCTGAGAGCCTGTGCATGAATGGTCGTGCGCTCAATGAAAAGGCGATTGAGGTCTCTCCCTCTTCCAGCCGGGTTCTGGACCGGGCCGCCGAGATCCTCACTCCTTTCCCGCCCTCCAAGAACCGTCCCCGTCCTGGTGACTGGACTTGCCCATCTTGCGGTTTCTCTAACTTCCAGCGCCGCACAGCATGCTTCCGCTGCTCGTTCCCCGCCATGGCGGCCGCACCCGACCCAATGAACTACGGAAACTACGGCTATGGCCCGCCATCAATGATGCCCCCTCACATGGGCCACGGCGGCGGTCACGGTATGGGTGGTGGTCACTCGCGTGGTATGGGTGGCAACGGTGGTGTTGTCCCCTTCCGCGCTGGTGACTGGAAGTGTGGTTCAGAGGGTTGTGGCTACCACAACTTTGCGAAGAACATCAACTGCCTACGATGTGGTGCCCCTCGTTCGGGCGCTGCCGTCGTGGCAGACTCGGCATTCCCGTCACCGATGGATCCACCGTCGCAGTTCAATATGGGTCCCAACTCGATGGCTAGCACACCTGCCCCTGCTCCGTTCGCCTCTACCGCTGGCGGATTCGGTGGTTTCAGCCAGCAGTTCGGTGGCCCGCCCAACAACTACGCTCTGCCCTCCGGTGGTCTGGGTAACAACACCCCCGGTGCGTACCCTCCCATGGGTCAGATGAATTCGGGCTACGGTTCTTCCACCGCCTCGCACTCGGCCGCCTCCTTCGCCAACCCGGCCACTCAGGCCGCTTTCACTGGTGCGGACCACGGTGTGCCCTCCACCAGTGCTTCCAACGGTGCCTTCTACGGTACCGATGGTGCCAGTGACCCCTTCGCCTTCTTGTCGAGTGGCCTTGGTGGTCTGACGGTGTCTGATGACCCCCACTCTCGTCGCAACGGCTCCGGTGCCAACAAGTCACCCGCTTAAATATGGGTCTAGTTATACCTACTTCACGCCCCACTCACGAACTGGGCGCTCACACTTATGTTGTCCATATTGCAACCCTGCATTGTGGCGGGTTTCTGCGTTGGTTGATATTCGTTGATACGCATTTGTACAAGGGATTCTGCGGTTTTGGTGCATCGGGTTGGAAGGAGCAGGCGGGTTAGCGTTGTCGAAGATTTCGGATTTCTTTCTCTCTCGCCTTCGCCGCCCTGTGCTTTTTTGCGTGATGCTTTTTTATCGTTGGGTTTTGGTCTGTTTTTTTCTTTTTCTTGTGTTTTTCTGTGTTTCTTTGTCATTTGTTCTCACTTCTGGTTGTGGGATCTTGTCTTTTTTTTTTCCTCCATATTTGTGATTTCCATCTTGCGCTATATGGTTTCGTTATCTTTCTCGAGGGGAATAAGCCCCCTAGGGGTGTGTGGTGCATGTATTTTTGAATGTTCCGGCCATCTCTTTATTGTCTGCAGGCATGGACACATTTGCGTTGGGTTTGCCCTGCTTTTGGTATTGCATTTTAGATATTTTGTGGGCTCCCTTTCTGCACTCTTTGGTCATAGGAAGCGTCGGAGAATTCACGGTCTTGATCTGGGTGGGGATATACTGGGACTCCGTTTGGGGTGTTGGGGATTTACTTTGAAGCTTGGGCATCGCGAGGATTTCTTCGGGGTCGAAGCACTGTGAATGCAAAAAAAATCATTGTGTCTATATTTTCTGTCTCGTTATTTAGGTGGTTTGACTATATAAAATTTTAGGAGATTCGTTTTATATATCCATGGTTGTTATAGGTTTATAGACAACATAGGTGTACCTAGTTATATAGTTACTATACTGTAGGACTATGTAGTGTATTAATGAACCCAACACTGATTTGAGTATTCATCCCCCAAGAAACAATATAACTAGTTAGTTATATATTGATTCACTTTGAAGTAGAAGACGGTTGGAAAAATAGGTCAACAGCTAGGTACATGAAATTAGTATGGTGACTCCATACTTAACACAAGTACCACAAGAGTGTTTGAGGCAGCCGTAGGCTTTCGCGTCCACCGCCCGGAACCCGTCATTGCTCCAACCCAATTGACCTCAGCTACTTGACACTCTGCATTGCCCTTATTCTACCTCATTGCTTCCTTTAAACTTGTTATTTACAGCAACCTTTAATTACCACTCATCCACTTACCCCTGATTCACAATGTCCGGATACGACCGAGCTCTTTCAGGTAAGCTAGCTCCCCACGTCTCCAGCTCCCTTTGCTCCTGACCAGGACGAAAGCTGTATCATGCTAACTTATCGCAGTCTTCAGGTATGAGGCCTTCAAGCTACACTTCAGCTCCAGAGTTTGTTTTCTAACCCTCCCCCAAGTCCCGATGGACACGTCTTTCAGGTTGAATATGCGATGGAGGCTGTGAAGCGAGGTAAGACCGCTTTTATCCAGTTATTTGCTTTCCAAGCAACTTTCTCTGCTCCATTTTTTTTTGGCGTTGCTCCCATTTCATCCATCAAAAGACACATTTGCTGATGGTAGGTGATTTCTAGGAACTTGCGCTGTTGGTGTCAAAGGCAAGGACATCGTCGTCCTCGGTTGCGAAAAGCGTTCCGCCCTCAAGCTCCAAGATACCCGCATTACTCCCTCCAAGATCGCCCTGGTGGATGAACACGCCTGTCTCGCCTTCGCTGGATTGAACGCCGATGCCCGCATTCTTATCGACAAGGCCCGCTTAGAGGCTCAGTCGCACCGCCTGACCGTCGAGGACCCCTCCAGCATCGAGTATATTACGAAATATATTGCTGGTGTTCAGCAGAGATACACACAGAGTGGTGGTGTGCGTCCATTTGGTATCAGTACGCTGGTGGTTGGATTTGACAAGAACGACTCCACCCCGCGACTGTACCAGACCGAGCCATCCGGAATCTACTCAGCCTGGTAGGTGTTTTCCGAGCTCATGATTTCGTATTGCATGCATACTAATCTCTTTTTCTCTCTCGCAGGAAAGCCAACGCCATCGGTCGTTCCAGCAAGACCGTCCGCGAATTCCTTGAGCGCAACCACCTGGAGGACATGGACCGTGAGCAGACAATCCAGCTTACAATCAAGTCTCTGCTTGAGGTTGTGCAGACGGGTGCTAAGAACATCGAGGTCGCCATCATGGCGCCCGGTAAGACCCTTGAGATGCTCCCAGATGACCAGATTGAGTCGTACGTGAAGAGCATTGAGACCGAGAAGCAGGAGGAAGCGGCCAAGAAGAAGACCCGGACAGGGACTACCACAGCGGCTATCCTCACCCGGCCGGGTGGCGGCGAGTCGACCGAATAAGTGCTAGACTGGGAAGGATTCAGAGCCTGAGAGGTGACTGGGTCGTTGATTTGTTTCAATTTACAGTAGCGTTGGGTCTCTTCCTGGACGAGAATCCAAAATCATGAAGTTTTAAAACACATCTCCCGGTTTCTTTCGTATTGTATATTGTACACCAACGCAGAAAAGGGTATTGATGCAAAGGGAATCTCCATCTGCCTTGAACTATTTCCAGAAACAGTAACCATCAAATCGTCAACATCATGAAACGGCACCTGCCAATTGTCTTTTTCCTCCCCCAAAGTGCACAGTTTAGCCCATGCGGTCTGACACATCTCTAATATTGAAGAGGGAGCGCTCCTTGTCGCGCGCAATGCGCTCGTCCTTGAGCATACTTGATATGGTCAGCACCCTGCCAATTAGAAGATCTTTATGTGCTCAACATACCGGTTGTCCATACGAGCATCATCACCCTCCACGTGGAGTCGTGCCTCGGGCTCGCGTGCCTCGATGACAAAGTGATTATCGCAGTGAGGGCAGTATTCGTCGCTGAAATCGAACATTAGCTCGCTGCCACTTGGATTTTTGAACCGTTCCTTGCATACGTCTCATCAAACTCAGCTGCGTCTTTGCGGAAACACTTCTTGCACTTCTTGCATGCAAAGATCTACCCCATGGAATGTTAGCCTGCTAGACTTGTGCTAACCGGAGAATAGGGACGTACCATCTCGGCGCTCTTCTCGAGATTGTGTGACTCGGTCTCCTGGTGGCATTCGGCACAATCAAACCATTTTCGGCCTAGATCTCTTCGGTCAATCCCCTGTGATCAAATGCGAGGTCGACTTGAGCGTACAGCAGTGCGAGCGGATGGCCACTTGGGCGTTCAAAATGTGTTTACTGCAAAGCAGGGAGATTGTATTAGCTATCAGAATTTTGGACGAAGGGGATTGATGGGGATCACGAGCATGAACATGCCCCAGAATACAGCAAGGAGCAGACTTACCACATGGCTATGAAATGCGAAAGAAAAGTGACGGCCAAGTGCGAGATGTCGATGCTCAAGTCCGAAGAAATGCAGAGACAAAGTGATCGCCAACTCCCGTGATTCCCTCCACTTTCCTCCCCGCCACTCCATTTCATCGACTTTCACCTTTCACCCCCTTTTACCCCCTGGATATCCCTCGGAATTCCTCGAACTCTTGACGGCCCAGCTCCGTCTTCTCTTACTGGGCTTTTGCGCCGCTTACGTCGTCGCCTCTCTCCATACTCCGAGCCCCACGATATCCCTGTAGCCTTAGTTACGTACCTACGAACACCTACTCTACTGCTTCCGCACCACCACTCGACCCCCAAGAGATATCTCCAAGTCTATGATCCATTTATCCAGCTGGACTCGGCGACGGATCCGTGATAATGGCCATGGCGGGCACAGGGAAACAGCCGGACAACAATGATGATGCTCCTCCCACTGTATGCATACGTAACTGTTTTGTTGCACACAATGAACTAACATGAACCGCAGCCACAGAGACCGGTGTCCTCCTTACTGTCTCACTTTGAGAACCTTTCTCACCGCAGATCTCCCTCTGCTGCTGTAGCTGCCAGCCCGCGCACTTCTACAACCCATTTACTGGCAACTCCGGAGCCTGGCGACGACTTCCGATCCTCCAGCCGTGCTTCGCTCGATTTGCCCCGGCCGCATTCCCCATGGGCCCCAGCTGAGGATAGGCCAAACCCGCTTCAACAGTCGAATGGTGATAACTCCCGGGATCGTGGGTTCTCCGGCAGACGATATGGCCGGCCCATCTCTATGAACTTCCACCGTTCATCACCACAGCTACCGCCAACCTTGACAGTACACTCGCCCCAATCGCCGCCTCACGGACAGGACCGTGATGAAGTTTGGACTTCGTCTGGTGACAGCCGCAAGACTCGGAGTCCAAGCCATCGCCCGCGAGAGTCGATGTCCGTTTCACCGGCACCACCTCGCCCGCGTTCTCCGATACCAAAGTTTGGACCGTCCGTTAATGCAGGGGATGCAAAGCCTCCGGCGTCGCCTGGGTCTCTCCGCGTCAATCTCACTGGGCCGGCGGACCGGAAATTAAAAAGCGCCTCTTTACCACCCCCAGCTAACCGCGCATCAAAGCCCAAAATCCCGGCGAAACCGGCTATGTTTTCTCATCCGGACACCAGCTCGTTAACTCCCAGACCAGGGCGGGTGTCACCCGATCGAAGTGTTTCACCTTTTAGCACCCCTCCTGGTAGCCCGGAGAAGCATATGGTCCAGCCGCAATCTACTGGGAAGAGCAGTGCTAGGCCAGGACCAGCCCGGCCAACGACGGAGCCACCGACTCAGCGTTTATTCGACGAACGATCACCTATTCCGTCTGCGACCGCCAGACATGACGCCAGAGAGATGGGATTCTCAAGGATCCGTCCTGGTCCAGAGCCCTCACGGTCTTCCAAGCCCTTGATGGTGCAGATTCCATCTGCTCCCGTAGATGCTCCTATGTCTGCTGCCACTGCTCCCCCTCTTTCAGCGCAGAGATTCCGAGCCAGCGATATTCCCTACGACCGCCCAGGCCTTCCTCCTCGACCTTCTGGGGCTCCCCGTCGATCTGGAGTCTCCCCAGTACGAGAGTCTTCCAGAAAGGTAAGCGGCTCTGCACAACTGGCACCGATTTCCAGATCTGCACCTTCTTTCCCGCGTGCTAGCGAATCCTCAGCCCCGAAACCAATCCAACGGCAACCCTCTCTACCCCGTGAATCTCACCTGTCTTCTTCTCTCCCTGAGCGGCGCATTGTGCGTACCGACACGGAGGAAGAAGAGCCATCGGAAGAGCCAGCTATCTCACGGACTGACTATCCCGATGCCTCAAAAGCTAACCGTCGACCCCCACGCTTTAAATCTGGACCGAAAGATATTCTGACGAAGTATGATACCCGTCTGCTGGCTGTATGCGGCAAGTATGTGTGCACAACTGGGTATTTGACCCGGGTGTGGGATCTTACAACTGGTGATCAAGTGATGAGTCTTAGTCACGGCGAGACTGTGAAAAGTTTATCTCTTGCTTTCAAGCCAGGGAAATGTCTTGAAGACGAGGGCGAGCGTATATGGCTCGGTACCAGCGCTGGAGATCTTCACGAAGTCGATATCCCAAGTCAATCCATCGTGGCTACTCGGGCTTACCCCTCCCGCCGAGAAGTCATTCAAATCTTGCGACACAAGAAAGAAATGTGGACGTTTGATGACGAAGGCCGGCTACTTGTTTGGTTGCCAGACGAGACCGGCACACCCAACTTGCAATACAGCTATCATAGCCCTTCCGAACGTGTAGCCCGAGGCCACACATTCTCCATGGTAGTTGATGACAAGCTGTGGCTAGCAGCAGGGAAAGACGTCCACGTATATCGCCCTAACGCGCGGGATGATGTCCCATTCAAGGTCTTCAAACGACCTCTCGGCCTTCAGCACTCTGGCGATGTGACTTCTGGATCCTATACTACACGAGATGGAGGTCGGGTATATTTGGGACATGCAGACGGCAAGGTTACTGTGTATTCCTCAACCGATTTTAGTTGCTTGGCGGTGGTAAACGTCAGTGTGTACAAAATCAACTGCCTAGGGTTCGTCGGAGACTATCTTTGGGCTGCGTATAAGACCGGCATGATCTACGTCTACGATGTGTCCACCAACCCCTGGACCGTGAAGAAAGACTGGCGTGCCCACGACAGTCCCGTATCCAGCTTCGTGTTAGACATGAGCAGCGTATGGACCATGAATCGCCTGCAGGTGACCTCTCTCGGCACTGATAATTGCATACGTCTCTGGGACGGAATGCTTGAGGACGATTGGTTGGGTAAGTAAAATATTTGTTTTCATCTGTTGATGGCTTGCACTAATACACTAGTAGATACGCGGATGCAGGCTAGAGATGTGGAGTTCTGCAACTTCCGAGAAATCAAGGCTGTCGTCTTGACTTGGAATGCGGGAGCTTCTACCCCCGGCAGTGTGCGAACTTCGGATTTCATTCGTGATGCGGTCACACCCGAAGACCCGCCCGAGATCGTGATATTTGGGTTCCAGGAGTTGGTTGACCTTGAGAACAAGAAGATCACAGCTAGTAAGTCATATACACTTTTTCTTCTTCTATGTGAATGTCCACTGACGTTGCCACAGAGAGCTTGCTGCTTGGCAGTAAGAAGAAAGAGAACGGTGAGAAGGAACATATGAGTCGTCAGTATCGAGTGTGGATCGATCATCTTACTCGTACTCTTCACGAATGCATGCCTCTCGAAGAATCCTACGTTCTTTTACACTCTGCGAATATGGTGGGGCTGTTTACTTGCGTTTTTGTCAAACACAAGGAACGCCATAATATCAGAAACATTAGTGCTTCGGAGATCAAGCGTGGGATGGGCGGTTTACATGGAAACAAGGTTTGTGATGTTCCCGGGACTTGATAACTATGGCTTTTATCTAATTCTACTAGGGCGCCCTTGTTTTGCGTTTCGTCCTGGATGACAGCTCGATGTGCTTTGTGAACTGCCATTTGGCCGCCGGCCAAACCCAGACCGCAAACCGAAACAACGATATCGCTGCGATCTTGGAAGCCGAGTCCTTACCGGCGGAAAATAGCATGACCCTACGGACAGATCAGTTTACCAGTGGTGGTGATGGCTCCATGATCATGGACCATGAAGTGTGCATTCTCAACGGAGATCTGAACTACCGAATCGACTCAATTCCTCGCAATGTGATCATCGACGCAGTTCGCCAAAACAACCTACCCAAACTCCTGGATCGAGACCAGCTACTTGCTTCCCGGCGGAAGAACCCGGGTTTCCGTCTGCGCGCCTTCACCGAGTCTCCCATCACCTTCGCCCCGACCTACAAATACGACGTTGGCACGGACGAGTACGACTCCAGTGACAAGAAACGCTCCCCGGCCTGGTGCGACCGCATTCTTTACCGTGGTCTGGGTCGCGTCAAGCAGCTCGATTACCGACGACACGAGGTCCGCGCCTCTGACCACCGGCCGGTCAGTGCGGCGTTCAAAATCCGCGCTAAGACGGTCCTAAGTCAGGAACGGAACGCGACGTGGGATGCGTGCAACAAGGAGTTCCAGGATGAGAAGCGTCGGTTGGCTTCTGAAACTAGCATCGAGTATCTCATCACTGTCCTCGGAACAGATCCCCGTCAGGCCCGTTCCTTGATATTGGGAAAGCAATAGCCGCTTGCATGATCGTCCCTCTCTTTCTCCTTTCCAAGTGAAGCGTACTTCTCTTTAATATGCATTTGGGTGGAAGCATGGCGGTGTATATTGTACGACTAATGATTTTACGATAGATATGTATCATGATGGTTAGAAATAAAAAGGTTTCTTTTTCATAGTATACGAAAGCAGTAGAAAAGAAAAGCATACCGCGCGAAAGAGACTTTTCGATGTATATATAACCTTTGATACTGTAGTATATCTTTCTCTCCTTTACCTTTTTGGGCGGTCCTTTCCTAAGGACGTGACCTCTTAAGGGGCCGAGCCATGAACATTCTTTCAGCACCTTGATTGTTGGCCAATGCCTTGGATTTATTTCTCGGTCGTAATCTGCAATTAAGCTCTCGCCTCAACTCTTGGAATATCTATACCACTCGATAGTGAATCCAAGTTGCTCTGGCTCCCCCAAAGAAAGCATATGAAGAAGTTCACGCTTCTCCAAGCTCTGACAGAACTCTTTTTTCGAAGAGAATGTTTCGGCATTGGTCTCCCTCTTGTTGTTTCTTCCAGGGAGGAGCGCTCTGTGTATACGGCCAATTCCGCAATCGTGGTATAATTGTTGTGCCAACATTTGTAGATAATGTGGTCAATTAACGGATTACCATCTAACTTCGGGAATTCCATGTTCTGCAGTAAGTCCACAACCTTGCGTCCATTTTCCTTAAGATTCTCGGTGAGACATCGATCTCCATAATCCTCAAAGCCATAGTTCATGAGATAGAATAATGAACCGAGGGCGAATTGTTCGGTCCGAGGACCTAGGAAGCCGGAACTTCCACGTCGACCTTGGTCCTGCTCGTCGCTGTTGAGTACTCTTCCATAAGGCGCCATACAGGCTTCAAAATCTGTCCCGATTTCCGCCGTACAATCGAAATCTGACACTTTCAATCGATACAGTATACAAGGATCGGACTTATTGTCTGTTTTTATTTGACTTCTTTTCCTTTCCCCCGGAATCCCATCTCCGTCTCCGCCCCCCGCCCCCGTCCACCCCAATTAGGAAGATTGGAAGGCGGCACTGAAACCCGGGGAAACCATCTCAAGGGTGATTATCCACAGGCAATGCAGTGCATATTAACAATCCCTTCGATTGATGCATGTAAGTGAGCCTACTGTCTATATTGTTAATTTAATCAGGGGTGACATTAACTTTTCCCCGCACGAGACAGAAGCTATAAAGGGCTGCAGGTTTAGAATATTTCGTTGATATCGACAAAGAAACGAAGTATAACTCGAAGAAATGCTAGGACCATTGACTCTTGCTGTTGCATTGCCTTTCCTGCCAGCAGCAAATGCTCTGGTTAGGAAAAATGATGTTGTATGTTCTCTTCTCTTTTTTCTTTTTTTAATATAGTCACTGACTCGAAATAGGGTAGATTGCCTGCTCTAGGATGGAATTCCTGGAATGCTTTCGGATGTGATATCAATTCTACCAAGGTCATCATCGCAGCTAATGAGGTCGTCAATCTTGGATTGAAGGATCTGGGTTATGAATATATAAATAGTATGTACCGAACTATCATACGAAAATGGTGTGAATGTGGACTAACTCCTTCCAAGTTGATGACTGTTGGAGCGTCAAGAACACCCGCGACAAGAAGACAAATCGCCTCGTTCCAGATCCATCCAAGTTTCCCGATGGTATTTCTGGTGTTGCAGAGAAAGTTCATGATTTGGGACTCAAAGTCGGGATCTACAGCAGTTAGTATACACCCCATACTCTCTCCGATGTGCTGATAGAACCTCATATCTGACATGTGCTAGGTGCGAGCGAGGTTACCTGTGCTGGATATCCCGCCAGTCTGGGATACGAGACAATCGACGCGCAGTCTTTTGCTGAGTGGGGGATCGACTGTATGTTATTCCTATTACTATTCCGGTTAATCTGTCTCTACGATACTGGATACTGAAACCCTCAGACCTCAAATATGACAATTGCGATGTCTCCAGTAACTGGACGGATACATATGCATACTGTGTCCCTGATAGTGACGGCGATCACCCTAATGGCACCTGTCCTGATATCACCAACCCCGCCCCAGAAGGATATGACTGGAAAACGTCCAAGACATATCAGCGGTATATTACAATGCGCGATGCCTTGCTCAAGATTGACCGCACGATCCTCTATTCACTTTGTGAATGGGGACAGGCTGACGTCAAGACCTGGGGCAATGAAACTGGGAACTCGTGGCGCATGTCTGGCGATATCACGGGTAAGTGGTTCAACTGATACTGGAGTGGGAGGATTAATGGCTGACTCTGTATTCAGCGGATTGGGCTCGTATTGCGCAAATTGCCAATGAGAACAGCTTCTTGATGGACTACGCCAATTTCTGGAGTTACCCCGACCCGGACATGCTGGAGATTGGCAATGGAGATCTTACCATCGAAGAAAGCAGGGCACACTTTGCACTTTGGGCTGTCATGAAGTCCCCTCTCATCATTGGCACGGCTGTATGTGATATTTTTTCAAAGCCCAATCCTTATGGCAAGATATACTAACAACTATAAAAGCTCGATTCCATCAACGACGACCACTTGGCCATTCTGAAGAACAAGCATCTTCTTGACTTTAACCAAGACCCTGTTATTGGCAGACCTGCCCATCCTTATAAGTGGGGATATAACCCCGACAGGACCTTTGACAAGGTCCACCCAGCAGAGTATTGGTCTGGTGCATCCTCTACATTAGAGGGTACTTTGGTTCTGATGCTGAACTCTGAGGATGCTACTTCTACTCGCACTGCAAGATGGAGCGAGATCCCAGAGCTTAAGAGCCATAATAAATACAAGGTTATTGATGCTTGGACTGGCAAGGATTTGGGCTGTGTGAAGAATGAGCACAAGGCTACCTTGAAGAGTCATGACGCGGCTGTGTTGGTGGTGAAGGGACGATGCTAGACAGAGATCGCCAAAGAAAAGTATCTCTGTTCTGAGTGTTTATTATTGCAGTGATAGAAAAATCTGAAATACATTACCATGGCTCATGTCTCTAAGTATTTTTACACCCAGAAATAGATCATGGTTGATCATGGATGTTCAGGACCCAAAGAGCCTAAGGGGACATTGGCGACAACAAAGGCATAGAAATACAATGGCCATGTTTAGATATCTATAACAAGAATAGGAATAGTATCCAGTCAATTAGAACTCGGTATTTGATCCAAGTTCAAGGGTCGTGTGTCGCAGGATAGTCGAGGAACAAAGAACGTTGGCGTTTAATATTCACCCGAGTATTTATAGACTCTTTATTGGCTTTGATGAACTTATTGGCATTGTTCAGATTCCAAAGAATCAATACCTTTGTGTGTGAAAAAGAGAGTGGTTTCTCGAGTATTTAAGATCCTCGTTATTCCGGCACAATCCTCATTCTTCATCACACTTCACATCTACAATCACATTCTCAGTATTTACTACCAAACACATTCAAACCAACTGACATAGTTTATTCAGAGGATATCTTACCGTAACCATGTCTCCCCATCACCATTGCAACACTCATGCCGGTCTGCCCCGCGTTTGGCTGGGTTGGGGTGAGCTGGGCAACCGCAAGGCTCAACTCCAAGAGGAGCAGCAAGAGTAAGTGACAAATAACATCCCTCCCAATAAAAAGGATATAGATACTAACATTTCCATAGCTACTTCGAGACCCACCAACCCGATTTCAAGCTGCGACACCCAAACACCGGCCGACGCAGTTGGAGTGTCCACTTGGATGTCATTCGCAAGTCGACCCGTTGGATTGACTGGCGAATTCACAAGACTGGAGATAAACAGAAGCTGTTTCTTCCTGATTTGGTACGTGTTGAGCAGATTGACAGCCTTCTCAATTTCTTTTATACTGGTGACTATTCGGTTGAAGAAGCCGACTTGGGAAACTACTCGATTAGGCCCTGCCCTGGTGGATGTGTGACTTGTCCTCAGATCTGTCAGCTCTTGCGCATTCACCTGGCCATGTTCCAAACTGCCCTTCTTCTGAGAATTACTGACCTCCAGGCTCTTGCCTTCCGCAGATTCCGTGATCTCATGGATACTGCTCCGGCTTTCGTTTTGAAGTATGCTGTTCAAGCAGTGTATAGTAGAGAGCCTATTCCTGACGGGAGCAACAACTTCCAGATTACTGGCTTGAAATCTGTGAAAGACTATCGCGCTGAGCTGGTGCTTCCTGCAGTTCTTAGGTATTGCGGATATTACCGACTGAATCCCCAGCAGATCACAAGAAATGGAAAGAAGGTGAGAGTTTTTGGCGAGTCGGAGTTTGCTGAGCTACGCCGAAAAAGCCCTAAGTTTGGTGGGGACCTGGCTCTGGGACTGTGGTTGGACACGATTGATATCAAAGTTCCGACGATTCAGTTCCCGGGTAACTCAGAGCCCATGAGGTCCCTTCATCCCTATATGCAGACTTCCCTCCCTCCACAGGTGGTAGACCCCAGACGCTCAAACTATCAGTATGTTACTTACTTGCAGCCATTGCCCTTCAAGGATTTTAATGACCAGCGACCTTCTAACACGCCTACATGGACCCCGTCCCCTTACAGCACCTTCACTGGGTCTTCTGTTACTCCACGAACCTCATTGCAACGCAGCCAGACACGTTCCGCGTTTAACCAGAGCAGTCAGGCTTCAGTGCAGCAGACCCAGGTTCTCCCCCAGTTGACTCTAGAACAGGAAGAGGAGTTTAACTTCCTTGATGAGGCTCTACTTGATAACACTATAGATTTGATCACTGCACAACTACCAGAGGAATGTTCCACAGGCCCAGCCGATTTGAATAATATTGACTGGACAAACACAATGGACTGGAGCGGAGCGGATGTACCTGATATTGACTTTAGCGCGCTTTTGAATGGTGATGCTATGGGCGAGCCAGACGTGAATCTACCTGATACTGACTTCAACGCGCTTTTGAATGGTGATGCTACGGGTGAGCCAGATGTGAATGCATTGGACTTGACACAGGTAATAAACTGGACGGGAGAGGACATGGCCAATGTGGACTTCACCCAGCTTTTAAATGATGACACTATGAACTTGGAGTCTTTCGATCCATCCTGCCTGGACCTGCCCATGGATATGGACATGGATCTGACAGTCCCCAACTCTTTTGATATGGCGGGCCTACCCGATATTGACTTCTCTGGACTGACATCACAGGATTCTGTGGACAGTGAATTCTTGACTCAACCTCAGTATATGGACTCGATCGTTCCCGGAATGGATTACTATGACACTATTCCTCAGGATATTGGTTTTCTTCCAGAAACATTGAACTCAGAGATGGTTGTAGACTCTACTGCTTCCAGCCTGGGAGCACCCGTTTCTACTACAGACAAAACTCGTGCATCGTCTTCGTCTACCCCAACCCGGTACAATTTGAGGACTCGCCCGAGCATGGCTGATGTGAATGTGGAACTCTAGAGTTGACCTTGGAAATGATGAGCTCAGGTGCGTCATCTGCTAACATTGCTTTTGAGCAGTATTCGTTCTTTCTACTCCTTTTTCTTTTGTCTGTATTTCTATGCATATAGAATTGTCTTTTGAGGTGTTATTATATAAAAGAGAGATATAAATCAAGAATAATCATATCATAATAATCATAGCATCATCGATTTTCATACTACTACTATATAGAAGAGGTAAAAATATATACCAGGCCCAGGAATCCAAACCGGATGAAAAGGGCATGACCTGTATATTCATATGTAGTTAGGTGTATCTCTACAACATGTTACAGCAAATGTTCCTTACACGTGATCGTGATTATCGACAGACGTTCAATTCGGTTGCCCCTTCCTTCCTCTCAACCAGCCAGCCCTTGGAGACTCATTCGGCGAAATGCTTCGTTTCGTCATCTCCTACTGGTCATTCATATACTCTTCTGTACATTGGATCACTTTCTATTCGATCGCATTCTTTCGTCAATCGGTTTTTAAGATTACAAGAGACCGAGTTTCAGACGCCCAAAAAAGTCCCGTAGGAAATACTCAAGATTTCAATGGTCCATCGGGCTATGCGGATACGTCACTTACGATCCAATATCAAATGGGTCTCGACATCATAGGTGTCGGAGCTGCAGGTCAAGTGTACGGCTGGCAACCTGATGACGAAAGGCGCTTTTCAAGTTGATCGGTCAATAGTATGTCTATCTTGAATATCCTTTTAATACTACCATTCTTGAATTGACTTTCTGACGCTAATATCCACACGAAGCGGTCTAGCGCACTATGCTTGGCTCTAGTTGGCTTTTGTCCGTTTTGAAAGCCTCAAGGTAACGACTACGTATATAGTTTCAAATTGCCGCAAGTTTCTGCGAATTTGATGATCGTAAGCCCTATGGATCCAGCTCTATCGGCCATCTGGGGGATGGTACTGTAAGGGTCTGACTCTATCATATCAAGATTAAGATGGAGCTTCGCAAGGGGGAGACTTGGAGTCATGTTAGGAGAACTCCGAACTCTTCTCGTGTGGAATTATTATCCGGTAAAGCAATATAATCTTGCATACATACATACGTATACTGTATATATATGCTCTGCCCTAAAAGCGGGTCTACGGGTGTATATCCCGTGCAGGTGAAGTGATGCTGACTAAGGGGTGGTTTGATACCCTAAACCGGAAAGGCAGCCATTTTCGGTGATATATCGTCAATTAGCCCTAGAGGTCATCGATAAGGTATGAGTTGATACAATTGACTAGTTTTAAATACAGACATATATATATATCTACTACCTTGAGATAAACTAATCAGTATGTGTGATCAACTCAGTACTACAGTATGCATAATAGTTATGTAGTACTGAATCTGATGTATACGTCGATGTACTATCAACGACCCACGGCATGCCGTTTGCGGTCTTGGTACCCCTCAGCCCTGAGTTTGTGCCTCTTTAAATAGCTGTGGATACAAGATTAAAGCATTGTTATTCGTGTATATCCCTGATAATTCGTACTTTTGTGTAAAAGATGCCATCTGCTACTTCCCCCAAGTTCGACACATGTAACCATGGAACATCCAACTACGTCAGTATGCCTGCCCTGTGTTATATTCTTCTTTCTGTCCTGAACTTTGTCTATTGTCCATTGTCTATTCTGTCCATTATCCCCTGTACCTCTTCTGTCCCTTTCATATAAATATAAATACAATGCAATGAGGTGGTTCTCTTCTCCGCTTCGGGATTGCGTGTCCCCCCCGCGATGTCAGTGTTTCACGATCGCGCGTCTTTATCTACCTCGGTCTAGCTGTGACTTTACTGCTTCTGTCATATCAATTCATTCTTGACCGAGGTCCGGATATAGGTACAAGCTGGACGGCCATTCAGGGTATCATTGTGGCCGGCGATGATGACCGCTTCATTCCCGATCCTGTACAACCAGCGGAGAAGGAGTTGGTTCTCGCCGCTATGCAGGCCAGCAATATGTCCTGGGTCGAGGAGAATCTGTCGGACTGGCAGGTGAATATCTATCGTGCTGATGCGAAACATGAAGACGTTGGCTTGACTGTCCCGGTAAATAAGGGCAATGAGGCTATGGTATATCTGACGTATGTTCTTGATATTCCGACTTCTTCAATCCCCCAAGCTTGGTGTCATATTAATTCCTCATTTTTTTTTCACCCATAGCTATATTATCGATCGTTATTGGTCCCTCCCTGAAGTATCGGTCTTCCTGCACGGCGGCCGCTACCAATGGCATGTCGATAACCCGCTCTACGACTCGGTTATCTCCGTCTCCCATCTCAACCTCGACTTCGTCCAGGAGGCTGGTTATGTGAATCTGCGCTGTGCTTGGAGCGTCGGCTGTCCCAGGGAACTCGAACCCGCTCGCTATCTCCGCGAGAGACCAGACGATCAAGGACACCCCACCGCGGTCGAGTATCCTGATCGGTTTATGGAGTTGTTTCCGCGCGCGGAGGTCCCGGAGGTTGTTGGGACGCCGTGTTGTAGCCAGTTTGCTTTGTCCAAAACGAAGATTCACGAGCAGAGTCTTGAACATTATGTTCGTTTGCAGCGGTGGTTGATGGACACGGATTTGGAGGCCGGCATCAGTGGGCGTATTTTGGAGTATTCATGGCATAGTAGGTCTCTCTTTTGCGTTGAGATCTTTTGATACTCTTTTTGTTAACCTCCGCCGTTTACAGTGATCTTCGGAAAACCGGCTCAGTATTGCCTCGACCAACGCGAATGTTATTGCCGGACATACGGTTATTGTAATATGACGGATAGCGACATCCAGAAACAGTGGGTATGGCGCGGTTTACAGCTGCCAGAAGGATGGCCAGAACAGAGCGAATCCGCGAACTAGCCACGCATGTATATCGCCCAATTATGCTTGAATGAAACTGAACATTTCCATTAGAGACCTGACCTATGTACTCAAATCATCATCATTTCATGAAGCGCGGTCCTCGTCCCGCTAGACGCACTTTTCTCCTCGAGTCAAATGCCCCCCAAGATACTGACCATTCCACACAGTAGAACTCATCCATATATAAGAACTTCATCGCCATATGTCCTGTTTGCTTGGCCGCATTTGGTGTCCCTGACTACTCATTGGTCGCTCTTCATCAGCCGGAACAGCCAGGAACCCACCAAACCCGTTCCCGACAAGCACGCTCTTGCGAGCATCGCCGCCCCAAGACCGGTTTAGCTGCGCCTCGTGGAAGCTCACGGGGCGCGTGCTTGAGTCGCGGCGTCCGGGCGCCGGGCTGGGGTCGTATGGTGTAAAGTTCCATTCAAACTCGTCCAGACCCTTGCTGTACACATTCAAGGGCTGCGAAAGACCGCCCCGCATCTGCGGGCCGTTTTCACCGCCGCCGAAGAGTCGTGGTGGGGGCATGAGCAACAATGTATCTGGGAATGAGGAATCACGAACATATAAGTCTCGCAGGGCTGGTAAGGCTCGGGACACCAACGACGAAATAAGATAGGTATAGTATGAGGACACCACTGGTGGCATTCCATGGTTATCGGTTTCAGATGTGAGTTCATAATGCAGGAGATTCAGCGACCTCGATGCCATGGGAGGAATCTGCTCCATGGGGAACGAGCGAGAGACCTCCTGGATGACAGAAAGAGTCTGGAGTCGCGGAGCGGCAGAAAGAATATAATGTAGTTGCGACGGAGCAACGCCGGTAGAAGCTAATATCAAAGATCCCAACGTCGCTCGGTTCGCTGGCAAGGAAAGGAACGCGGCAAGCCCGCTTGCCGTGACATTAGGGGTATTGCGAAGTGTAAGAGACTGAACTGACGGGAATGGCGGAAGAGGCACGTTCACTGCAAATGCGGAGTCATCAAGCCAATCGAGATCTTCGAGCGTGAGCTCACGAAGATTGGGGAATGAACCCAGCCCGGCGCGTAGTGTACTAGCCTCCATGTGAACTCCAGATAGCTCCAGCACCTCCAAATTCATCCATAGCTGAGATCCAGGCAGACGTGCAAAACTGCCCTCGGCACCTTGACGATAGGCCATCCGACGCAACTCGGGACATCGCGCCATCAACTCCTGTTTCAAGGATAGACATGATGCCTCGTCGCTGTACAAACCCACCGGCAGATCAACAAAGCGGAGATTAGGAAGGACCGAGATAGTCCGGGCCACGTTGGCTTTGTTGGCCTCGCGGGTCATGTATGGCATTCGGAGCGACAAGACCATATTCCCTAGCCCCTGGGACTCTCGCACTGTTCGCATGAACATTTCCAGACGGACTTGTGGAGCATCGATAGGATCGCCATTGCGGTCAAAGAACGAGCGGCGTTTTCGCTTGGCGGCTAATGCGATTTCAAGTTCACAGTAATGGACGGGGTCGATTCGGACGTTGGTATAACTAATGGCAAGACTATTAGTTTTGCACTTGTCAAAAGGCCTAGGGATCTCCTACAGAAGCGCCCGCGCATCCAAAAACCATCTCTTGCTCACGAGGGTGCAGTGTGCCAGATCGCGCATGTCGCATAACATACAGCCATCGCTGGCTGATTCCTCAGAGGTACCATATGTGTTGTCGACGGTGTGTGGACAAACAAAGGAGAAAATGCGTGTCAATACTGGCCGAGGTAAGTGTCTGGTGTAATCTCGGGCGGGCACGTTAACGCGGGGCGCTGGCGGGTCGGTCGTTTCCCGGTCATTTCGCCGTGAGCTTCGTCGTGAGCTTCGTCGTAGCTTGTCAAAAAGGCCCATTCTGGCTGGGAGGTGGGAAGAATGTGAATATTAAAAGAGGGGAGATGACAGGGACAAAGCACGTTACTGCAGGGTCCGTCAACCATATTCCCCCCCCTTTCAGTTCCCCACGAACATGAAACATGAAACATGACCGTTTCAGTCTAAGGGGTTTCATCACTTCTGTTAGATCGTGAAGATCCCCATATAAAAGACTTCGAAGACAAGTTCGAACGGATTAACTTCTTATAGGCCCAATATTAACCTCCAAAGGAGGTCTGAAGGAGATTTCACATAACATTACTGAGTCAACAGCGTCATTTTTAGGAAATTCCTGAAATTCAATGGAACAAAAGATGGGACATTCAATTGAATGATTCATTTTAATATTCGATACTGGATATTGGATACTGGTCCTATATATCATTGGCCATTGACTGACATCATCATGGTTATCATCCCATATATTCGAACCTCAACTCCAACTATCTCACTTGTTCAATTCACTCAATTCACTCAATTCACCCAATTCACTTACCAAAACTACACATATCATGGCGGAAATAAATCGCAACTTCATCGATCCTCTTCCCTGGCCGGCCCATACAAACACACTCCCAGAATCCACCCCCGAAGGACACTGGAAGCACCTTCCACCATATGAAGTACAATCCGAGGAACAGTTTGGTCCAGTCAAGTGGCGTGCAAAGTGTTTCTGTGGAAATATCACCTATCTCTTAAAGCGAGAGAAACCACTCAATGCCAAATACTGCCATTGTCGGGTGTGCCAAGTTACCCACGGAGCTCCTCTTCAATGGGCGGCTATTTTCCACAAGGACGATATATCATTCACCAGTGGTACAAGTGGTTTGGCATTCTATTCTTCTACACATGAAAGTAAGGACCATGTGTTGCCTACCAAGGTGTCCTGTGGCAATTGCCGGACACCTATCATGGATGAAGGCCGGAATATGTGTTTGATCTTCCCTGAATTGATTGAGCTCGAGGGATCTAGTCAGCAGCGAAGAGAGAAGAGGGAGATCTTTAAGCCGACGTATGTGCATGTCCTATACCATGCCATGAGTGCAAACTAATGATCCCGCTAGATGTCATATCTTCTATAAGTCACGCGTGCTAGAGTTTGCTGATGGTCTCCCCAAGTGGAGTGGAATGGAGAATTCCAGTGAACAAGTGGATGACCACGGTCACCGGATTGGAATTGAGAAATGATTGCGAGATACTCCAATGAGCAAGAGGTATGTTGCATGGCTACAGAATCAAAGGGGAGTAGCCAAATGGACCCGAGAGAATAGATGATTGTATAAATAGGTAACAATTAAACATAGGTACAGAAGTTGAACATATGTACAATGTTCCATCCAACCTGGTAGTCAACCACTATGAGGCCTCGCACACACCAGACTGCACCGACACCGGGTCACTGCTTGCGCTACCCCAATCAGCAGCCCCAATAACCTTACCCGCCTCTGTACTATCATCGGCTCGGATCTAAAATGGTATGAGTATTTCCTCCGCTTGCAAATGAAGAAACTTACATAGTATTGTGGCTCGACAAAGTACCACCAGTCATCGCTCCGGAATGCATTATCCAGTGACTGACTTGCCGGGTCATTCCACCCGGTATTACGAGTATCGAAGTGAGCATGCTTCGACCATGACACATACACCTTGGGATGGTCATTGTTCTTTACACCGTTTGGTGTTTTGGCAATTCCCGCGTTGACCTCGTCCGTCGTTAGGGTGTTTTGGATATCGCCCCAAGCCAGGTTGTGGTACCCGCTATGTGCAGAGAGCAGGGCGCGCGATGGCGCCCACATGTTGCTGTCATCTCGGGAGTGGATGATTATTACTCGCTCCCAGTCGCTGGAACAGATGTCAGAGGTGGGCTGAACGAGCGTCATTTCACCATGTCGAAGAATGGGCTACCTACTAGTCATGTCCAGTGTCGATGCCAATGAACTCTGCGCCATCTTTCTCGTAAAAGAGATTATAGACAACGCGCACCTCGGTATCGCTGCATCTCTGGTATGTATAATAAACGGGAAATGCAGGCCCCGCATTCCCGACGCCAACGCCAGGGTTGCGGCAATTACACCCGACGTCGGGGTAATCACACTGCGGCGCGCCCGGTGTCTTGTGGGCGTCATCATAGACATCTGCTGTATTTGGTGAGCCGCCATACGTCCAGGTTGGATAGCAGGGTGGTTGATTTAGGGCTTGGCCGAAGAACCACATAGGCGCATATCGGTGTGCTAGATCTACGCCACCTGCATCGAGCAGTGAGCCCATCTCGTCGTCTGTTATTTGAGAGAGAGCTGTCACATGGCTGGCCACCAGGACTGCCAGGCTAGCTCCTAGTTTCAAGTGCATGGTTGGACTTGCGTGGATGTTATGGGATTGCGACAGTGTTTCGATATTTGGAGTGGAATCTCACTCATTAAATATAAACTTGGGGACACTATAGCCGGGAATGTCACCAAACTACCTATTTCCAAATGGGGTTATGAGCTGCTAAGGGTCACATCGCGGCATGCAGGCCTGCATTAGCCCCGGAGTACCCCGAGATATCCCGCACGTGTTGTGCTGTAGATTGTATCAGTCGCTAAGTTGCACAAGAGCCATGTGGGTTGTTTTATCCCAGGACTTGGATGATGTGACACAACTTAGGAACACAATTAAAAGTAATTTACTTAGATGTACAGAGTATACAGTTTGGTCAATTTATGCAGCAGGTACATATTTCTTGGCATTATGAACCCCCCGTTCATCACAACTCTTGACTTTGGTTGCTCTCCAGGTTATATGATACAGGAAATCTGTTATAGACAATCTTGCCATTGAAAGACCGCCTCTTTCTATTTCGCCTCATAAGATTCCCTCTCGATCACTTCGAGGCATGTTTTGTTAAGACAATCTGCTTTCCATCCACGTCACGCGGCTCGTAAGCAAGGGCTGCAAATCCAGCTTCGAAAATGTCCCTGTCGTAATTCTCCATGACCCAATGAGCCATCATGTCCATACCAGCGCAAGCACCACCAGCAGTCCAAAATTTGCCGTCAACGATCCAATTCTTTTCGGCCGTCCACTTGACATTGGGAGCAAATTCCCTTGCAATCGCGATGGCTTCGTGGTTCGTCGTGGCGTTCAGGCCATCCAGGAGACCCAACATGGACGCAAACAATCCACCGGTGCAAGTAGTGAATACGATCTTGACTTCGTTGACACGTTCGCGCACAAAGCTTGCTATCGCTGGTGGGATGTTTTTGGTATAATCTGGCGAAGGCCCGCCGATTAGGAGGTAGTCAAGCTTGGGACAGGCAGAAATGGTGGTCGTAGGCTGTGATTGGAAACCCCCGTATGGGTTACAGGGTGCAGTCCATCGCCGATATGGTGGAATTCGATATCAATACCGCGGTCAGCTATGTCGGGATTGTTGAATCCCCTCAGGTAAGGAGCCGAGGAGCTAGATAGGATATCAAGGGGTCCTGCGACGTCCAGCATTTGAAATGGTATCATGATAATACCGAACTGGATGGGAGCCATGGCTGGTAGGTTTATAGAGGGTGGTAGTGGAGACGATTGGATGGTGGTAGAGATGAAGAAGACCTAGAGAAAGGGCCACGCCAACTATTTATATGTATCGAAACGATCAACAATACATCTCTCACTTTCTCCAAGTTCTGTGACAGGAGACTTTGGTATCATATGGCGGGACGGAAGTAGAATTGTGCTGCTTTTGTTCCGATCTAACTAGTTAGTTATATGGATCTACCCCTGGAGAGCGTTAATTATGGCTTAGTCACCGAAATCGCGGATCGGAGATAAGAAACTGAACATTCCGTTCCGTCCTTCAACGATGAGTTACGAGTATACCATTTGATTTTTAATCTCTTTTTTTTTGTACTCCCGTACTTTATTTTCACACCTGTTACCTGTGTATTTCTCTCAGAGGTAAGCTCAAGTCTCGTACAACCTTGAGGTCTCCTGCTTTTCTCAAGACCAATTAGAAACTAGACTCAATGGGCGAAGGGTCCAAGAACAAGGCCTCCCAAGCGTGCGAAATATGCCGCTCGCTGAAGGTCCGCTGTCTGCCTAGCTCCCAACCTGACACATGTCTAAAGTGTGTGAATTCCAAAAAAACCTGTGTATTTTTGGAGCGGCAACCACGGCAACCGCGGCAACGCCAGCCAAAGCATACCTCAAAAGCCCGAATTCGTGCGCTGGAGTCGAAGCTTGATAACCTGCTTGCCATCGCTAGTCAGTCCAAATTGAGTCACGGGAAAGGATCTTCACAGCGAGAGGCGGGGTTTCTGGAAAATGGCTTGTCTACCTCTAGTTCATCTTCTAGCGGGGAACGAGATTTCACCCCCAGCAGCAGCCATAACAGCAGCACAGGTTCAACTCCCCTCGATTGGCCTCTTGATAAGTGGGCTGGTTATCCTAAAATTAATGGCATATCCTGCCCTGAACTACTACTTGAGTGTGGCCTGTCTATTGATGCTGCTGATGGATTCCTCAACCGGTTTCGCACCATGACCTCTTACTTTCCATTTTTCGTGGTTCCCACTCATGTCAATGTTTTGACAATGTGTAAAGAACGGCCTTTCGTTCTCGTGGCAGCATTGGCGGCGGCGACCTCTTCGGACAGGAAATTACAAAACACCCTCGGTGAGAAATTTAGAACCGGCGCTCTCCACACTATTATGGTTCACAATGAAAGGAGCCTAGATCTCCTGAATGGAATGCTAGTATACTTGGCCTGGTGGGTAGACTGTGCTTATCTATCACTCTTGGTTCAAATCTGCTAACCAACGCTTACTTTAGGTATCACTTCTATTACATTCCCAAGAAAGAACAGTTCAACCAACTACTGCATATCGCAATTGGCATGGTCGGTGACCTAGGCTTGAACCTTACACCTGCCGAGGCAATGAGTAGGAAGATCGGACTTCGATTGACACATTATCGCAAAGTCTCTACACCTTCAGCGAACCACGATAAATTTTTTAGCCCAGAAGCCCGTCGAGCATACTTAGGATGCTTTTATCTTTCGACTCTGTAAGTATTTTCCCCAAACATAGGCCTTTGACTTTCGGATCACATTTCCTTGATGAACGTATCATCATTGTTCAAAAATGGAGTGAGTGTATAGCTAATTAAAGCTGTTGTTAGCACCGGCTGGGCTAAAATGAATCCAAGTGGTATTCAATTTCAAAGCTATATGATTGAATGTGCGACATCGTTGGGTCAAGAATTGGAACATCCAACGGACGCATTGCTTTTACCACTAGTCCAGCTTCAAAACATGGGCGAGGTGAATCACCGCAGTATTTCAACTGTTGACTACATGAATGGCCTCGATCTTGAAATGAAGGTTCAATCATTTCAAGCCGAATTTAAGCAGTGGAAGTACTCGCTTCCACTCGCATGTGAGCAAGCGAGTAAGTTCGAACGATCAAAAATCCAATAGAAACGATGCTAATTTGCCGTAGACTGGATGGACCTGGCTTGTGAGGTTGCTGTAATGCATGTCTACGAGATGGATCTCGTTAATGTCTTTGCATCGAAAATGCGACGAACGACAGATTCTCTGAAACATTCAACAAGCTTATCTTCTACGTCTCGAATTCCCCTAGAGGTGCTCTTTCTCTGCTTGAAATCGGCGGGCCAGCTTGCGCAGACTTTCCTCTACATCCCAACATCAGAATACGGCAGTCTCTCTTACATGCAGTGGACTTGCATCATATATGCTATCAGCATCATTTATAGACTGACAGTTGGGATTCCCCAGCTTCGTGACTGGGATGTTCGAGTTGCGCGAACGACCATTGACTTTGATTATATTCTAGATGCATTGTGCAGTCGCTTCGACAGTGTACCACGCTGTAATCATACCGGATTAGAGAATGGAGACCTATTCTCGATGATGGGATCAATCTTTGAAAACGTCAAGCAGACCTACGGCAGACTCCAGCTCTTGCCACAGGATGATAGTGCAGACGACACCGGCCCAGTTCATGCCACTAGCTTTGTGCCCTCTACGCTCAAATACCGACATCCGTGTCCTGCATTCCAGATCTGGAGGACAGGTCGACTCGGATAATATCAAAGTACTATGTGACTGTCTCATGTGAGCGGCAAGTTATTAATACTTACTCTTTATCGGGTTAAAACTTGTTCTCTAAGACTTGGCTCCGTAGATGTCATAGTAAGGCTACGTCACATTGACAGGTGGTCCTCAATGGTTCTTAATACAATCAACATGCCCAGGTGGGAATGTTTCCTTTCATACTAACACCCAGTGTGATTACCATCATGTCCTCGGACACAGAGTTGGAGCTAGACACCGAGACCTCTAGCAGCTTTCTCGGCGACCTAGGAACCCCGATCAAAAGGTATCCGTACAAGGGGCCTAAACAATTTCTAGAAACTTTAAATATGGAAAGGTGATAGACAGACTACAGATGGTAGGGTCTGGGAAGTAGAGAGGGGGAGAGTTGATTGCTATGAAGAGAGTACAGTCTTGAATGTTGATGCCTGAGGCACTAATGTGGGGCCTAAGGCCACCAATGGGTGCTCTTCTTTAAAAATATCAGTGGTCTCATTTCATCTCATTTCATCTCATTTCTGGTTTCTTGCTATCTCTCACTATTCTAGAGCCACGCTGAACCCATTCCGCTAATCCGAAGGCTGACATCCTGGGTCACTCCATCCGTCGACACAAGCCGCGCTTCAGTTGAATTTCCTTCTGGGAATATCTGAGCCGTCAAAGAGACCTCTCCTTGACCTCCCAAGACCTCAACACTAGACCAATCCACGAAGACCTGCAGGTTGATCCGTTTATCCGCGTTCGCTGATAGTGGTGCGTGATACAAGCTTGCAAACGTCTTGTCAAAAGATACATCTCCTGAATTTCTCCGATCCACAAAGACCTCTTTGCTGGTAAAGTTGTACCCGATGAGTGTTTCTTGCTTGAAGTCAGAGCTAGCATGGACGGCCATCGCAAAAGTCGATGCCAGAGACTTGTTGGAGTCATGATCAGCAAAGCTCAAGTCGATCTTGAATGCCTTGCCGGGGGAGTCCAGACTGGTTGATCCTTTCGATACAGATTTCCAGGAATGTTTCTTGGTCTGGTGATTGGCAGCACTCCGCCAGTTGTATTGCGGTTGTTGAAGGAGGGTCACCTTCCCATTAACCTTCTTCAAAGATAACTGACGGGGAACAGACATGGCGCTTCGCCAAGGGCTTGTCGGGATCGTCGCACCATACTGCCAGTTATTCATCCACCCGATCTGGACCACGTCATCTCCTGCAGGAAGTCCATTATAACTGGCCGCAGCATAAAAGTCCGGCCCCCAATCCATCCAGTTGGCAGACTTGTTGTCTGGATAGATGCTAGCAGGATCGGCCTTGAAAGCCGTTCCGTTGAAGTCGCCAATAAAGTATTGCGTGCCTGATCCGACGGTACCAGGTGGCCCACCAGGATTGAGTCCCAAAACCAATACCCATTTCTTCATTGATGGATGTCCCTTGACGGGCATTTGAAACAGATTGGGACATTCCCATACGCCGCCGACAGCATTGTAGGGTCCGAATTCGCTGACCAAAGACCACTCTTTGAGGTTGTTCGAACTCCATATTACAACTTTGTGAAGTGATGCCAGAACTGTAACGGCGACCCATTTCTGGGTATCGTCATGCCAGAACACGAAGGGATCTCGGAAGTTTTCGAATTCTGTTCCATAGGGAGAGGGTGGGTTGTGAATCACGGGGTTCTCGGCGTCATATGTTGTCCAGGTCTCACCCTCGTCGAGACTATAAGCGATTGACAGAGATTGCTGCTCTGCCAGAACGTGCTTTCCGCTTGGAAGCTCTTGTGAGATGGGATACTTTATGAAGAAAATGGTTGTCAATCTCCAGGAGTAATCAAGTGAAATAGTTCTGTGATCATACCGTTGAAGTATACATGGCGACCAAAGGAATCTTCCCATCCACCCCGAAGCCACTCGTGTTATTCACATCTGCTACCGCACTTCCCGTGTAGTACATCTCGGTGACATTCTCGGGATATCCACGAGCCAGTAGAGCAACAGGACGCTCTTCCCAGTGGGTCAAATCTTTGCTCGTTGCATGACCCCATGACATATTCCCCCATTCAATACCAGCAGGGTTATATTGGAAGAAAAGATGGTAGGTCTCATTGTAATATACCAGTCCGGCAGGATCGTTCATCCAGTTTTTGGCAGGAGAGAAATGATATTGAGGACGGTATGGTTCGGTATAGTTCAATCCGGATACCGTCCCGGCGAGAAGACCCAGGGCCATGAGGAAGATTCTCATCTTTGGAATTTGAAAGTCTCTACTCCGGATGTGAAGAAAAGCTATTTTATTTCTATTTCTATTGAGAGGGAAAATTCATACCAACTTTATAGCTCTAGGAAAATCCAGGTATCCTGAAGGCATCCCACATTTTGTACTTCTTGGCTTACCTCTTTAGGTATCCCACTTTATAAATCCTCGGGGAAATACAACCTCTTACCCCACAATTGAGGATTCGGCAGGCCCGGGGCTAAGTCGCTGAAACTCGGGAAGTTCTCTCGGAGTTCCAGGCAAACTATATACGGCCGTATTCATCGCTGTGCGCTTACCGCACACATACCAGAGGGGCATGTGTGGTCCTGAAGGTAAATTGTGATGTCATGAAGGGGACTATAAGGTACAAAGTACTGCTCACAGCAAATGAAGAAGAATCAATTGAGGGATTTCTATCATCCGAGAAATTCGGGCGATTTCGATTTACCCTTTGATCACATTAGATACCTGGATAGTACCTGGATATGGTCCGCTTGCTATAGATTCTATAAGCTTGGCATGTACGAGATCAATTGATATCCGTACAAGCCAATTCCCTCCAGATCGGCCTAATTCTTTAAGATTAGAAGCCCTAAGAACTTGACCGTACTTACTCGCTATTATAAGACATAGGAAGTATCCCCACAATATTCTTCATATGTCTCGGACGAACTATATGCAACTAACCAGAATTGTCTTATATGTCTCGGACGAACTATATGCAACTAACCAGAATTGTCTTAACAAACCATCTTTTCCGAAATAAGACCGAAGCCGAGTCGAGTCGAGTCGAGTATCTCTAAATTGCTCTATTATACTCCATGTATGACGGACAAAGCTGTTAATTGGACTCATCTTCCTATTAGGCAACACTCACTACTCAACTTCTTCTCATCGGGAACCTGATAAGCTCAATAAACTCCTTGCTCGAACATCCCCGGGTTAATGTCCCCCTCTCATTAACTTCTCCAACAACCCTAGTCAAACTAAAGTTATAAGCTGGCGTCCAACAAGATCGGCCCGGAAAGGAAAGAGAGTCTTCATTTGATTAAGTGGCACTCTAACAGCAAGCATGAAGTGCAGACCTTCACGTATAGTATAGCTTCCCATCAATAAGCTTAAAAGCAACGTCCTTGTCATGACCGAAAATCAACGTCGCGTTATACAATCTTTGAAGTCTGCGGATCATGTTGAGACTCCGTGGGGATGACCCAGCTCATAATTTTCTGCAACATGAAACTAGTCCGTAGTCCAAATAAATGGTCCATCATTGGCAAGATTGATTTGCATAATGCATAGTTCAGGCGTGTGACCCGGTGAGTGGTGAAGGGTTCATGCCTTGGAAAAGGTCAAGTTGTGACTCGTTGAAGTTTCTCTCCTTGGGGGAAGATCCACAAATTCCCCAAGGGGAAAAGAGGGGATTGGCCAATAATGACCTCGGGAAACTGGGGAAACAAGGAAACAGAATGGAGATTGGAGCAATAACCGACTTGTACGCGGGTCGGATGTGGTTTATAATTGTATTGGTGCCTGAAGATGCCTGAAGATGCCTGAAGATGCTTAATTTTATGACTTGGCATTCTTTGACTACATAGGTAGGTAGCCCTGTTTATTCTGTCTACTTCTTAACTAGATCTACTCTGTCAACCTTTAGACCTAGAAGCCTTGAACATCCCAGATTGTGTCTGCAATAACTTCCAGCTCTTGCTATGAGATTTCAATATCTCTTTCGGTGGGTATAGATGGTGGGCGGAGGAACAAATCTTCGAATGGGATAATTAGAGGGTGGTTTCGGATAGTTGTACGCTTTGATACCTTAGTCGCCTCGATCATCTAAACACGGTACGGTCTTTCATCCTAGAGTCTCTAGTTCTCAATGCGAATTGCTAGCTGGCGTTTATCTACTCTTAGAGTTAGACAAATCTTAGCATTTCCGTCGGCTAGATTTAGCCAGAATCGAACATCAGAATTCAATTTTGAATCTAAATCTGATTCAGACTAAGCGACCTCTTAAAATAATCGAGGGCCTCCTTTCGTAACCACGCGGTGATTGCGTCGTCTATGGTAGCCATTGCGGTCGAATGTTCGTGAGAAGCTCTTTGAGGAAGCTACCCAACATCCAGGTAGCCATTTTGCGTTTCTGATTCTGCCATTTCGGTTTTTGATATAATTATAAGGAATCGAGAAGTGACAGAGAAATAGATATACCTAGGTATATATATATATATATATATATTATATGTATTGGTGTGGAATATGTCTGAATACCTAGACTATAAGGTTAATAAAATCAATGCCTTCTAGATAGAATGTGTATAGTTAGGGATTTCTACTAAAGTAAATTGAATCTGAAGTGAATCTGAAGTGAATCTAAATTATATTATATTGGACCTCTTGTAATAAACAGGCACTTCAAGCTGTCAGCAAACTTCGTGTTGCTACAGAGCAGTTGTAACTAGTCATCGAATAATAGCTTTATTTATTTTAATCTAACGGCTATCAAGCTCAACTCCGTGAATAAATGATTGACATAAGGATGGTCGTTACTCGTTACCACCGACTTCAGACATTATTAACATTGAATTTATAACATGTGTGAAGAGCCAGGTCTACGAGCAAGGAAATCCATTATGCAAAGCAAGAGAGTACTCAGATTCAAAATACTAAAGCTATGGAAAGAAGAAGAAGAAAAGGAAAGCAAGATCTGGCGAGCCATAGATATAGCGAGACCTCTATGCAAACCATGCAAACCCCAGCCCTCTTGCTAAGCGAAGCAAACAAAGGAAAGACAAAGGAAAGCATGTGATCATAGATATGATCATAGAACGATCCGGAATATGACATCAGATCAGGATCGTGACAACATGCACTGTTATTAGAACCTCGCTCATATATTCCAACATTGCAACTCGTGCATTGCTATGTTTATTTCGCTCGCAAAACCTAAAGCTGGCTTTTTATCAAGCCCATCATGTGGCTTTAGTTTTCGTTTGCGATTTGGTGAAAGCATCCCCAAGATGGGCCGTGAATCGATGATCTCGGCCCTTTCAAAATCAAAAAAGACCACCTGTTTGCTTTCTGGATTGTACAACCAATTCCGCGGGGCCGGATCCTTATGAAGAACATTCAGACGGTGCATCCCTGAGAGTGACTCTTTTATCTTGGCAATTAAGCAATCCCAACTCATTTCCTTAAGTGCCAATTTAGGATGCTGTCCACCCGGACTCAATAGCATCATATGTGTAAGATATGCGATACCGTCGTAGCTGTATGGATGAGCCAAGTCAATGCTTCCAAGATAGAAAGGGATGTATATGCCTTGGATTGGACGTAGCTTGTCATATACAGCAGCTTCATGCCGAAGGCGGTCCGTGAACTCTGGAATGGTGCATTTTGCAGGCACGGTATATCCGTGCGAGGATAACGTAACTTTTAAAAGAGCACCACGAGAACCGTGTATTCCCAGTGCTTCACAGTCGGCATTGACAGTCTTAGCCAATTGATGCCGCAACAGCTTAATGAAAGATTTTGCGTTTATGACATGACGCGTTGTGCCATGACGCGTTGTGCCATGATCAAGGAAATTGGGGCAAGCCTGATCTAGCTCACCCCCATAGAGCAACCCGCGTAGACACTTTAAAGTGCAGTAGCGCCGGTTGTTTTCTCCTGATGATCCTTGGGTAGCTGGCGTAGATGTTGGATGAGTCGGCGGTGGATGCCTCCGTTCGATGTTACGAGAAATGCGCGGAGCCCGGCTCGGTGTATCGGGGTCAGGTTGGTTGTCGTCTGAATGGTCTGAATTCCCTTGTACGTCTATTGGCTGGCAACTACTAATGATCGGTTGTCGCTTGTGACGTAGTTGTATCGGAGACGTTCGAATAAGTCCATTCGACTGTGGAGGGCGATATTCGGACGAGACCTCCTTAGGTGAGATACCATCTAGAACATTTGCGACAACCACTTTCCACCTTGGCAACGACTTGCTTGTTTGCTCCCTCCAAGCCTGGTTCCGAGGCCGTAACTTGAGCGCCTGGAGGGTAAAGGCGAGAGACTGCCCTACTGCGGTTAAATGCAGACGATTTGGGCCGCTCGAATGGGGGTCCCAGCCAGTAAACTCCCCAACATCTCCCTTTGGAACAGAGAGGTAGTACAAAAGCGTCCTAGGATCTTCCCCAAGTCGTAGATAGATATCAGCTTCACCAGTACTTAGAACTCCCATTTCCGTGCCAGCGCGAATCATATAGTCATATGGCTGTACGAGAAGCGCAGCAATCGCGCGATGGCACCGATCTTTAAGGGTCTCGTGTTCTTTTTTCTCAACCACTTTATCGAGGTCCATATCCTCTAGCCCTTTATAAATATGGCCCAGTGTCACCTTATGCGGAGACTTATACTCCTTGACATAGGCTGCAATACTATGGATCAATTCGGATGATTGACTAGGAATGTTATAGACGCAGAATTGATCAGCACGAGGCCTTTGTACCGGAAGCGGGGTTCTCGGGTCATGCGTTGCTATGTTGCTTGATGCGCTTTTTTTCTCGGGCAGCTAAACGCGGTGAACGTCGCCGACCACGAATATCGATATTCTGCATTCCCTCCTCAAGTTCCCGCTCAGGGCTTAGTGTATTAGAGTGGTTTTCAAAGCGGATCGACCCTCTCAACCCAAATACTTGTCGTAGTGTTGGATCATTGTAGAGCTCTTCGATGATTTTCGAAACGTGGTCCTCAATATTCTGGCGAAGAAAGTGGTGAAGGTCAAGCTCGGAGCCGACGGGCTGCCGCCGAATGCCTTCTCCCGTTTCTTCTAGGGTATGAAGAGAAGTGAACAGTCTGTCTTCCACAAGCGATGAATCCATCAGCGATCGCCAAATATGCTCTTGTTCTTCCGGGAAAGAGTCCCAAGCTTTGAGTTTTCTAGGGCGAAGTTTTTCGGTCGCATTTGCGGGATCTCCACGCGTGGATTTTGTGCCATCCTTCTGAACTCCAAGGCCGAGGAAGAGGTGGTTATGGAGACCATCGAGAAATGTGGGTAGGTTGGTTTTGGATGTCCTCTCCCTCTCCCCCATTCGAAGACGTTCCTCCTCTGCACGAAGACGTTGTTCCTCTGCACGAAGACGTTGTTCCTCTGCACGAAGACGTTGTTCCTCTGTTAGGTTCTCCCTATCCTCTCTTCGAAGGCGTTGCTCCTCTGCAAGAAGGCGCCGCAGCTCGTCGATTTCTGTGGACATTCTGTATTCAAAGTGTTAGGAATGGTATTTTCGAAGTTGCGGGGTGTCCTTGTTTACCTTTAGGCACGGCTCACGTGTTGGTTTCACGTGACCTGATCTGACCATGGTGTGCTCTTGAGAGCTTTGCAGGGTTTGCATAGTCTCGGGTGCCTCAGGCAAATACGCCTTGGCTTGGCTAATGCCCGGGCCTTGGAAGTCAAGCGAGGAATTATATAACTAATTAGTACTGTATGTTAGGTAACTACCTAGCATCTAGTACTAAATATTAACAGAATCTCAGATCACCGATCTGAGCCCGTGTTGATATCTACTTAGTAAGCCTAAGCCTGCCCAGGTGAGCATCCTCATAAAAGTGGCGGCAGCTCAAATAGGAAAGCCCCACCCGCCAGGGAATATCCGGTACGTATAGGTATTAGTGGTGCGTTTAGTATTCGAATATTCCATACGTCCGGTTCAAATCCCATGTATATATATACTATCACAGTTGGAATTGCGCATCCGCATGTCTACAACTACTTTCTAACCTTGGTCAGAGACTGTATCCTGATCTTTTTAGCGATCTCCCCTTTTCCTTACACAAGCAATTCCCGAGCTATGTATATACGGAAAGGATAACATAAATTAGTATTGTAAGATGATTTCTCTATCTATAGTATAGAGTGTTTTCTGTAGCTAATTGGAGCCATTCCAGAAAAGGAAATATGCAATCTGCAATTTAACGGGAAAAGGAACTCTAATCCAAGTAGATGACCTTAAGAGAACCCTAGGATATTCAAAGTTTGTACTATAAAAGAGCCAGCTACTACCTTAATGGATGCGAGTAAGTGTAACTTACCCTGAACTCGCAATTTTCCCGATCCGTTATATCCAAAAACTCGAAGTTCTCCTGATGGATCTCGCCTTCCCGATTCTTGTCCTTCCTCCTATTCTCTAAAATACAGTAGATCCTTAGTCTAATCGTAAATATAATTGCTACCGAGATAGTAACAACAATAGCAATCTTAGTAGGAATATAATCCGGCTTATCCTTAGTGCGGAAAGTAAGTGGACTAAGGATATTTCCTAGACAAAACGATATAAGCAGGATAGCGTTTATAGAAACCTTCTTCGTATGACCGGCGATATTGGCACTAGCAAGTGAGTATATAATTAGAAGGGCAGACCTAGTAACCTGCGTTAGATAGTTTCCTATAAGTTGGGCGCCTTTTATATCCTTAGGCGAGAATGTAAGTAAATACCCGCCTAAAAGACTATACACTAGTGATATCACTACGTATAGACAGCGCTGATTGTACCGGCCTGCGAAGTACGATATAGTAAGGATGCTGACTATGCTGACTGCTCTATTGGGGATATTTAGTAACTCTGTTTCCTTAGTGGTAAAGCTAAAGTTCTTGATTATAAGCGAGGTAAAGCTGCTTATGGCTGTATTGGGGACGTTTATGGCTGTGACGATGATGACGATGAGATAGGTCTATAGATCACGGAAGACTTCGACGAATTGGTTACGCTTGAAATGCTTGTTTTCGATTCCTATTTGGTTCTCGCGGAGACGTTCGATTGCGAGGATTTTCTCGGCGTAGGTTAGACGGGAGGTTATAGGGTTATCGGGGAGGAAGAAGAAGATGCTAATTCCGACGGTAATAGTTATTAGTCCGAAGACGAGGAATATTATTTGCTAAGGCTTGAATTGGTCTAATATAGGCTACTAGAGCGCTTATTATCGACGCTGTTCCTATGCCTAGATACTATATCCCTATTCTTTGGGGTTGTTCTATTGCTGGTTAGTATAGTGCGGTTGGTATATAAAGATGAACGTACTATCTCTTTTATACCACATCGATGTGATTAGGATCAATCTGAAATGATATAAGAGGAGGTCTAAGAAGAGTTCTTAGAGAGTATACGTACGTAGGTGCAATCGTACTTTCAAAACATCTAAGCATTACGCGAAGGACCATTAGACCTAGAAAGTTCTTTACAGTGCAATTTAAGGTCGTTATAAGACCTTATATTATAACTAATGGGTCAGTACACTATATATTAAATCATGAACTATGACCTACTATTGAACCCTAAGTACTTAGCAGTCGGTAAGCGCTGTATAAGGAATCCAGTCGGAAGCTCGAAGAATAGATATATCATATAGAACGCAAGCGTGAGGTTGGAGAATTGATCAGTGTATATGTTTGTGTCGCTGAGTAAGTCTATGACGGATGCATAGTTGACTATAAACACGATAATTAGCATATTCTCTTACTAGTTCTAAAGTTCTACTTACTAAGCACCTTGTCAAGATATTAAAGATTATACGCTCCCCATATTAATGGCATGATCATCTAGTCAATCTTTCGCACGAGTACCTTTTCATCTACCTCTGTTATAACTGCGATATCTTCCGTACGTAGGAACTCCAGGGCGCTATCTGCTTTTCCGGTCGCTATAATTCTATTTTTGGTTTCTATATTGAGGTTTCTACCGACAGACTGTATATGTCTTTCTGAAGATTCTGACCCTATTGTGAATTTTGAATGTCGATTCGGTGGTTGGGTTGGTTCGTCTAGGGGTCTACATAGGTATAGCACACCGAGAACGTAGGACACGTAGCACGGCAATAGCAAAGCAAAAAGAGGGAAGAAGCGAGGGTGAAAATATTCAACTACAACTTCTAATATGTCCACACTCCCTCTAGTAATACAGCATTTTAGCAAACATTGCCTCCTATCTGACCCCTCTCTTCCACCTCGGCCAAGGGAGATAACCAGAGCATCAAGCCCAATAGGAAGCTATCAAGCCCGGCAATAGATATGACTGCGCACTAACCTTCCTGAAGAAGCTTGTCAACCCAAGACACTAATCACAGCGTACGGAGTTATGAGAGGCGCGGCATATACCGCCTAGGTTGATAATAAGAACCAAAACAAGCCTAGAACCCAGCACCAGCATCATTTATGGTTGGCTAGTGATTCGTTTATCTATGATACAGCCGAGGGGTGCACGGCAAGAGAGATCAGTGCTAGCGCAACAGTCGCATTACTCCTAGATAGTTAGAAAGGGTAGAGCACGGTCAGATAAACATTGCTCTAGTCATCTTATTCTAATAGGTCGCTTTGCCGATGCTCTTAGACGTTTCTAAGCCGGTGTAGGAAGGTGCTCGCTGTTCAGAGATAAGTGTTCCGTTCTGACTTGATAGTATTCCCTTAACCCCGCACGCGAGAGCGGGAGGCACCGCTTGGAGTTGGAGTAGATAGATTGGATGGTTTGAATGGGCGAAAGGCCATATAGCTGTAATTTTGTAATTTTGCATGAAGACTGATTCTTGGGAGGACCTTGGGTTTGTGTTGGGGGGATTGTGTTAGGGTGAGGTCTGGTTTTGGTGCGCCACTAGTCAATAAAGTGAAGCTATTAGTGTCTTATCATCTCCCCCGCCATGTGAAAGTGTCTGGAAAGTATAGAGCAATATGAAGACCCGCGAGGTCGTGCATATCAAGTTAGGGTTACTCCGTACTTTCGGATTTAAGGCAACGAATTAGGGCCTTAATGCCGTAATTTAGCCTGATGTTGGCCTTAATCCTAACCACTTTTAGATCTCTAGAAGGATACAAGTGTATCCCGCCGTCTCTCTTCTTCTTCTTTCCCCCTTTATCATCATCACTTGATTATCATCGATCATCAATCTACCTTATCTTAACCTATATTCTAGCGTATATTATGGAGTGAATTGCTTCATTTATTATCGAATTTAGGTCTAAATCTAAACCGGCTCAAAATCATACGATATATAGATTTGTATAGCAGAAATAGCTTTATATTCATAGGGCTAGATACTGTCTAAGGCAGATATTTGGCATCCGCCGCGGGAAGCTATAATCGTAATTTAGGTATCTTGATTTTTCTGCCATACCAAGGCATGCATTAAATCCGAAAGTAACCCTGGCCACTACCTAGGCACCTGCGTAGGCAGTTGGGTTCAGGAAAGAGTTTCTCAGTGTATATTAGTCAAGGCGATTTCGAGGATCACTGTAGTACAGAAATTTCTAAGCAGATAATATCGACATGATGATCTATCATCTCATTGGTTTTTGCTTCGATCTATTGGTATGCTGCATTTTTCAGCTTATATAGCTGTACAACATAGTTCTGTACCTGAAAATGTGGAGCTGAATTGGGTTCCTCTGTAGGTACATGTCTAATTTCAGCTTGGGGTAGCGGTGAATGTAAAAAGCGAAGATATTTTGTGTAGGTACAGAGTAGCTGAACGATCTCCACACAACGATCAGCTGTGTTATTTGCGCCTTGCTAGTTCTTGGGTTATAAATAAGAAGCCCATCCTATCTCTGAGTACTTGTTTAATTTCAAGTTCGCATTCATCTCATTCAATATGAAATTCTCGCTCCCTTTCTGTCTTGCTCTGGTTGCATACATCACGCCTGCCTTGGCTGATGGTGTGGCTGCGGAGGTATATGAATAATTACTCTGTTACCATGGATCATCGGGACTGATAAAAGTTTAGGTGATCATCGAATACACAGATGGAGGAGAAGAGCCAATTGATATCTTGCCCGAGACTGGCTGTTACGACACTGAAAATCCGTATGACTCCTCGTCCCAGTGCACATAGCTATTGCTAATAAACATAATAGCACGACAACGGTGAGAAGCATTGATGTCGGCCAATTAGGGGACGAGCGCCCCAGATGCATCTTTTACTCGTATGTTACTATGTACTATGGGAAAAAAAATCCATGAATATGGCTAACAAGATTAGGGAGCCGGCCTGCCAAGGGGACGACTGGACTATCGAAGTCCATGAGTCTTCCGAGGATGGAAAGAAGACGCAGAGGTTCAGCAGGCCATTCTATGTGGCTAGCTTGGAGTGTGTTAATGCTGAGTAGAGAGGCTCAAGTTAGTAACCTAGGCTCATACTAGTAGTCGATGGAGAATTTTGTTTGGTATTTATGCTTAGCAATACTTCTCCCATCCCGAGGTCGTTCAGTTTCCCCCAAGGCTTCCACTTCAGTATCTCTCTCAATTCTCAATGCACGCCGCATCTTCACGCCTAAACTTAAAGTTCCAGAGTAGCTCCTTAGTCATAGGGTCCATGTTCCAACCTTGGAAGGTTGTGTGCCAGAATTGGACATCTTTTGAAACCTTGGAAGAAAATATCCCTAGGGGTTCTCCCAAAACCTCGGAATACTAGTAGTAGCAAATCTACTACTAGATATTCAATGGACACGATATCTATGGATATAAGCCCATTTCTGTACACAAATACAGTCTTAGCACGCATAACTTAGCATATTAATGGTTATATTTTACGCATATATACCAACCTATATAGTTACTTAGTACCATTATATTATCATAGTAAGAAGGAATTAAGTAGTATATGAACGTCATTGATCGACCTACTAACTATATTATATTAACCCATATACATATTTCTACCGCCCAAGCAGAAAACACACTGTTGGCAGAATACATCTAGATCATTAATCAGGATGAACTAGTTTTGTTACAGGTAAAAGGCGCAAAAAGCAAAAGATAAATTGACTTTATTTAATTTAGTAAAACCCCCATAAGTTTAAGGTAGGGGAAATTTAGCCAGGTTTCTCAGTTGAGACCGATATATTTTCTGCGGCTCGAATTTAGGGGTGCGTATTGTAGAAAATAGCAAAAAGAAATGTTGAGCCCAACCCGATTTGAACGGATGACCTTGAGGTCTGGAATCTCACGCGCTACCTGGATGATTATTAGTAATTGAATTGGAAACCTCTGAAGTGGTGATAACATACCGCTGCGCCATAGGCCCGATTTGATGTCTTTTGACAGAGTTCAAGGGATGATATAGACATAATTTAGAGTATCTATAAAACCACTTTTGATCGACTTGCTAATAGACTACTAGTTACCTAACCCTATATCTATAGCAGCATAAACGCGACTTGAGATATATATATATATATATCATTGTTCTCTATTCTAGTCACATCTTCGTACCAACCTAGTTTATCTACGCTGGTTGGCCAATCAGTGACATCGCAATCCAAGCTGGTATCACGTTTCTTGATTACTGTGCCCAACCCTTCCAAGTCACAATTGAAGGTAGTCATATAAGCAACGAAGTGAAGATATTCCTGCCCAATGTATACCTAGGTATAGTTATAACTAGTTAACTACAAAGTACAGAGTAGAGAGATGTAGTAGATCCAATGACATCACAGAACCCACCCAATCACAACACTCTTATTTTCTGCTGCCCCGCGATATTCTCCAGAAGCTCCTCCTTATTCCTATTCTCAGCATATCATCTCCGTCTGAAATTTCTGTATACACCATGTCTTGGTCCCAGAAGTCTTTTAGTCTCCCCTCTCGCAGTCGCGGCTCCTACCTTATCACCGACCATGTCCTCCAGGAGGTCCCCGAGATCCGCGACTACAAAGTCGGCATGCTGAATCTGTTCGTGCAACACACCAGCTGTGCGCTTTCGCTGAACGAGAACTGGGATGACGATGTTCGCGCCGATATGAGCGATGCGCTAGACCGCATTGCGCCTATGGATAAGAAGGGCAATCTGTATCGTCATTCTGCCGAGGGCGAGGATGATATGCCGGTATGTCTTTGGAAATAGCAGGGAATTAGAGATTTCTGGTTAGATTGCTATGCTTTTGCTTCGAAAGTCCAGCAGCTCTGACTAGCTTCCACGATTCTTTTTACTCTCTTTTCGATACCAGTCACTGATCCACCACAGGCTCACATCAAATCTGCGCTCATTGGCGCTTCGGTCAATATTCCTATCACGAATGGTCGATTGGCAACAGGAACATGGCAAGGCATTTGGTACCTGGAATTCCGGACCAGTCGGCACAGTCGCAAGGTTGTCGCGACGATCCAGGGCCAGAAGGCTTGACTCGACGGAGCTGAGCGCGGGCAATTGTGATTTATCTAGGAAGTCCCGGCTACGAGTGATGCAAGATAAAAAGAAAACACGGGTTTAGGTTGGCGAGAGAGTCGACAAATGACCCAGATTATATGAGATCATCACATGGTAGTCGAAGTAGTACACACATTTTTGAGGACAATACCATCATCACACACGATCGAAGGGCAGTACATCCATTCATCGATATTCTGTACACGGCCTCAGGCCCAAAACAAACTGAAAAACGCAAATTGTGCAACGCCGATAAAAGGAAATCTCATGCTAGCCGTCTATCGCTGTTCCAAGCCACCCTCTGTCACACGCTGAGACTCGTTGACCTCGACGGCGTCACCGGTGGGCTCGAGGGGGTAGCTGGTGGCGGGCAGGGACTTCAAGTAAGCGCGGTGCTGTTCATGGGCCTAGAGAGATGTTAGCAATGATCCAATGGTAACCGGTAGAAAGACGGTAGATATAAGTGCACATACAAAGGGAACACCGCAGTATCCGCAGGTAGCAATCTCGGGCTTGTCGGTGTTGATGAAGACCTTGGGGTGGCCGAGAGGACCACCGCCACCATCACAGCTGACAACCTTGGACTTTGTCCAGCGGACAGGCTGTCTGTGAATGAGATCGATAGCGGCATATGGTTGCGGCTAAAGCGTAGCAAGTTAGTTCTCAATCATTGATATATACATTGCCAAACAGCAATTGCATAACCACTGCTATTCTCAATGGATTCGCACCTGGGTCTCCATAATTGTCTGCTCAAAGCGAGGTCCGACCATGGCCTTCTCGCGCGGCTGCTGGCTGGCGGCCCAGGTGGTAGCGCGGTTGGGGGCTTGCATGCTCCGGATGCGCTCGCCAACCTCGGGGGCCTCCTGGAGAGTAGCGTCGTTACGCTGACGTCCAAACTCCTCGGTATTAGGCACGGCATTGGTTGCGGAGACATTCGGGGCGGGCTTCCGCGGGGTCGGGTCATTGACTTGGATAGGGTTCTCGTTCAGACGGGGCACGGTCGAGGAGTATGCGCGGACAACGAAGCGCGGGCGAACCGACGCAAAGGTCACAAGTCTGCGGCCACAAGACATCATATTGGGCAAAATTTCCCCGGGGTGGTTGGTTATGACAGAGGACAAAAAGGGCGTTTAGCAAGGGACTAGGTGCAAGTCGGCACTGAATAATCCGCGAGGTGTGGTTTGGTGGGTGCTCACCGCTTGCTGGTTCGAGATAGCTCCACCCTACACTTTGGATTTTCTGCCGCGTCATTTTATTTTGCGCCTCAGTCCAAACTGGTTTGACAGTTTGACATCTTTTTTGTCTATTGTTTTGGATTTTGGATTTCGTATCCATTGGGATTTTGATTTTAACCCATCATGTCTGGCTCCTCTTCCCCGGCTGGAAAGCCTGGAAAAGACCATGTCGTCAAATCTATTGACCATGAAGGTATGAATGACATTTTTCGGATTAACAACCATGCAAACTAACCCTATATCCCAGTTTATGCGACGCGCTGCAGCTGCAAAAGAAACTCAAAGCCCATCTTCCGATGCCAGCTCGCACAATTCGAAGCGGCCCCGTCTCTCCACCGAGGCTGAGAGCCCTCGCGCCTCGGATATGGATGCGATCACCGCTGCACTTGCCGCTGAAGAGGAAAAGCGACAGCAAGCTGTCGCACGAGCAGCTGCAGAGGCCGGTGAGACACACTGGGTTTTGGACGTTCCTGCTACACCCCAACCCACTCAGCAGCCTATGGTATTGGCTGCAGACTCCCTGGATGCAGATGACGATAGCTACTCCGGTGGTCGACGTGCGTATGGCAATTTCAAGCGCAAAGAGCGCAAGGTCAGTTTCTTTTCATCTCTCACATTTGATATTTTGCTCATTATTCTTAGCCACAAACTACACCACGAAAGGAGGGCGATGAAGATGAGGTCATAGTCAACCCATCGAACCCACAAGAAGTCAGCAAAATGATGGAAAATGCCAGACTCAAGGCAGAAGCCGACACCAGAGCAAACCCACGACAGACGAAACTGTCTGAACTCACGAGTATATCTGGTTCTGGCCGGGGGTCTTTGTTGGGAGCCCCATCCTCTGACAAGAAGAAGAAGAAGAAGCGCAAGAGCTACTAAACGAATGATCTTCCACATATCCAGCTCAGATCTTTTGATTGACGTTTTAGCATAGCATGTATGGCGTCTTGGGGTTCCATTAATCGATTCCTTTTTACTATCACCTGGTAATAAATGCCTGACCATGCCATTACGGGGTTGTTCCTCCGAACTCTAATGTATATTACGGTCATTGGCCTTTAGTTAGGTGGACTTGGATGTTTGGACGACAACTTTTCCCTCGCATATACGTCGAGTGTGTAAGTAGAGCTCTAATAGCTGCCTCTACTGGTCTTCACTGTCCAATGAACCAAGATTCGTGGAACGTGTGATGGCATTATCTGTCCTTGAGTCGGACGTAAAATTTTTTTGAAGATGTTATTACAATAATAGTTAGTTAGTAAATTGTACATTTGTATATACTAGGCCCTAGGCTCTGCTAAGGACACTGGATCTAAACTGACACTGCCCTAATAAAAATGTAAAAACGCAGCAGAAGACACTACATCGAGATACCTAAGTAGCGACTATTTCTACTCGAAAAGAAGCAAGACCCCTCTCAAAGCTTCGCCTTCTCCTCCTGCTTCTTCTTCTCCCACCCCTTCTGCGTCGCAAAATTCACAATCAAATTCCAAGCAGCAACCCCAAACCCAACCGGTGGCACAACCAGCAACGTCCACGCCCACCATCTCGGACTTGACGCCGCAATACTAGTCATAGCTCCCTTCACGGCAACCTCCAGCTCCGCCTTATCAGCATCATTCCAAACCACCACCCCACGCCCCGTCGTCGTCCCCCGGAACTCCGCCTGTGTCGCTTTCGTCCGCACATCCCCCTGGCTCCGGACCCGGTTCTCTGCATCCTCGGCTGTAAGATGGGCATCACGGGCGCGCAACCGCGCGGTTTGGATCTCAGGATCGTGAACACCGACCACGATCACTGTTCCGCAGATAAGATCCATCCCGCTCTCGAACAGGAGTGGTACATCCAGGACGACTGCCCATTGGCCCCGTAGGTAGTGGTAAATTAGAGCTTTGTAGACTTCCCACCGGACGGCGGGGTGGACGATACCGTTGAGGACTTGTCGGTCGCGTTTGCGCTCTTCCGTGCTACCGAAAACGCGCCGCCCCAGTGCTGGCCGATTCAATGGTTTCCCATTTGGATTTGCGGGCGCATCATCCAGTAATAAGTCTGGTGTGCTAGGACCGAAGTAGTTGACGATTGCTTTGTAGCCTGCGGTGCCGGGTTCGACTACTTTGCGGGCGAGAAGATCGGCATCGATTATGGGGAGGGAATAGGGTGGTGTGGAGAGGATGGATGAGACAGTTGACTTGCCCGTTGCTATTGAGCCGGTGAGCCCGATGATCAACATTTTTCGCTTTAAAGAGGGAAGAAAGAGAAGAGAGAGTAGAGATGTCAAGTAAGAAGTTGAAGTTACGAATGCGGGGAGTAGAATTAGCCTCGGCTCCGCATTAAGCACATCTTTTTTATGTACGTCGCCTACATACTGTTCAATGTATGCAAAGTACGAAGTTATATAGATTCTCCAAATTTCAATCAAGCTGCTTTCGATAACTAATTTGCTATATATTCAATTATATCGTGTTTAGGAAAGTTTTGGCAATCCTAGTTGCGACTGATATCCTCGTGCACTTATAGATGCATCATATAGCACGCCAATTTGAGAGCGCATATGCGCAGACAAAGACACTTAACACAAGGCATTAAAAAGGGAAGTCGGCTTATGATCCATCAATTCAAGTTTCCGGCAATCCATGTGAGGTGTCTTGTGCTTGGCCTTTCCATCCAATCTCCGGCCATCCCTTGGGCAGCGAGGAGAATGGTGGCAGGGCATAGCGATTATCACAGCCACCTTCCCATGGACAGGTCAACTCGCACAGTCCGAACAATTTGCAGTAACATTCCTTCGCATTGGGGCAATGCACGGGGTCCTTTCCAAATATCACTGGAGAAAAAGAATGTCAGCTTTCGATCAGAACCCAAGAGGGTTGTAAGAAAAACACATACTATGCCATGAATATTCCATAATTCGTCCACTCAAGTCATCCTCTAGTGGCGTGTCCGCTAGCCAGGTGCGGAAGCGCTCGTAGTCACTGCGCGGCCGTTCCAGCACCTTAGCGCGGGACACACCAAATTGCGCGCAGCATGACACACCTACCTCCTCCGGAACTGGGATCCCAGGGAATAGTTCCATGAATCCATTCTTGAAGTATTCACCGGCGTGTACGTTGCTGCGATGTGTGTCGGTGTGAGGACGGATTTCGATCGGACATCCGAGGGTCCAAACACATCGTAGGTTGACGTATCCTTGCTCTTGTATGTATGGGATCTGGACGTTTCGGAGCGGTGGAATACCGTCGTAGTATGGGTCATCGTTGTGCCATTGGTAGCGTTTCGAGTGGATGAAGAGCATTGTGTCTGGTAAATTATCGTAATTGTCGATTATGTATCTGGGTTCAATAGCTCGAGTCAGTATGAGGTACGAGAGATAACACACTTTGCATGTTAGATCTAGAACTCACGTCAAATACACCATTGACTCCCGACCTTTGTTTCGTGTCACCGTCAACGGCGCATTTTTGTCATCCACCACGTAGATACTTTTCGTCCAGTCGGGAAAATATTCTGATAGCCATGACGTGTCATCACTCTTCATACTAGCCACGACCATATCCTTGCGTCTCGATACAGCAGGACGAGCCAGCTCGTCTGGTTGTTTTGTTGATCCTTTCTCCGCATAGCTGCTTGTTTCGGTCTTCACGGGGGACTCCGTTGTGGAAAAGAATAAAAGGTACAAGGCGATGACGATGAAAATGGTAAGGAAGATAGCCTTCATTCGACTGCGACGTCGGGGACCTTGAGGCCCACTAGGAGCAAACAACATGTTGATGGGAGGGCACTCTGCCCATATGGTCAAGTCATTGAGGGGGGAGGGAGAAGTTGACGATCAACGGGAAATCAAGGCCCCGGGGGGAGCTCGAGAAATCCAGGGACAAGTAGAATATACTTAGAATAGTAATCAGATACTAATTCATGAAGTATCTGTGTAGGTAGCCGTAATAAATCCCTGCACTTGTCAGAGACATCTGAAGGGTTGACGTGTCGCAAGTTGAAGTTCTCCGCAGCCAAGCTCTTGTCTCCGTACGGAGTACGGGAGTACACCTAATAGCTTAGTAGCTTCATAGCTTCAATCTCACCATTACAACAATTATAACAGCTATAAAAGCTATAAATATATAAAATAAAGCTTATTTAGAAAGTAACCAAGAATAGATATGTTAATATAATAATATAAGATATATAAAATCGGATTAGTATGACCAAACTATATATACATCTCGTAGATGTCCAGGCATACTACCTATTCACATTCACTAATATATCCAAAATACCATTTATGTTCACTAACACTGGGATGCAGCGTCCCCGCATTTCCAGCCTTTGAGCCTACACCTTCAATGACATCAATATCAGACGAGGTCACTGTCACATCGCTATCAACAGTAATCCAGTACTCGGGACTGGCGTGGCTAAACCCAATATGTGAAGGTGGCACCTTAGGCACCAAATCAGATTCATGCGTCACTCGCCAGAGACTGCCCTGGTTCGTGATATATTCAGCCAGAGCCTCATTGCCCACCCGGGGCTGGCCATAGGTGTACTATGATTTGTGAGTATGTATACACTATCATATCAAGGATTGCGAAAAAAAAAAAAAAAAAAAAACAAGGGTACTTACCACGTTCGGTTTATATTTCGCATTTCGAAGTACAGTGCCTCCCAACGTGGCAAGAGCTCCGCCAAAGCTGTGGCCTGTCATGACAAGAGTGTAGCCCGGGTATGTTGTCTGTGCGGCCTCGATCTTGGATGTCAGATCATCCGCGATGACCTCCCAGGATTCCAAGAACCCGCTGTGGGCTTCGCAATCACTGCAGATACTACTGGCATCGGTGAAGCCAAAGTTGAGGTTTGCGATCCAAGTATCTAGTGTGCGGCTACCTCGGAATGAGACGACAAGTAGCTTGTTTGTTTTGTCGACTGCGAGGAAGCCGGCGACATCGCCATAGCTGGATGACCTGATAGGTGTTACTGTGTTAGCCAACGGTTTGTGAACTTGACTTTGAAGTTGGTCTCGTACTCATTAAACTCGTATAGAGTGGTTGTGTCAGCGGACTCCACCAATGGACAGTTGCCGGCCTCGCAAGATACCGCATCGCCGGCTGAGTTGTCATTGTTCATGCAGTATGACGCTGCAGCCCATTGAGAAAATAGGGTCAATTGATCAAGCACACTACTTGACACATCTGTTCGTTGCGTTAGTCTGCTACCGACATGAAGAAAGAGAGAAAAAAAAATGCGAGCGCGCGTATCTATACCTCGAGGGACAGAACGAGAAGGAGCAGCAACTGCCACTGTCGCAAGAGCAGCGATACTCCAAAGCCGGCCGAGACAGAACATTGTGGAGATCTTTGGAGAAAGGCTTTCTCAACGAGTGTGCACACACATCTGAGGCCATGCAGACACGGTTTCCTTATGTATGCTCGGCGAATCCATACAAATCCGTGTGGGTTGTAGATCAAAATCCTTCACATCCTTCACAGATAGCGACATCTTCAAGGAGCGGGGTATAGCGCCCATTCTCTCTCCTAGATTAAATCTTTTCCGGACTCAGCTATATCTCCGGCTTCGTGGCGCATATGCCACACGCATGACCGGTGGAATACCGGTGGGATCGGCATGGAATTCATGTAAGAGTTTAGTTCATCGTTCCTCACCGGGAATGCAACCCCTGGTAACTAATATGTTGAGTGGATGATAGTTAATCTGCATAGTAAGACAGCGGAGTATTCTAGGAGTAAGAAGGAGCGCTTAACTAATTTATACCTTACAGAGTTCATTCAACGGTGATCAACGGTGATCATTTCTCCATGCGGTCTTAGGTTTCCGTGAAGAGAAATATTTTTGGGCTCTTTGCATGTCGAGGAGTTGTTCATGGCTGTTGATGTTGTTGATTGGCTTCGACTTTGGCTATCTTCATCTCATGTTGATTGATCCAGGGCTGATTTTGATTGTCCGAAGAAACCCCACTCATTTTCACTCCGTCAACCTGTCTATGTTGTATATGAATCTTTCAGGGATGAATCTTTCAGGGGCAATATACAACATAAGCAATACACTGTCCCGTTACGCAGAAGTTGGCTATTTGGTTGATCCAACTGCATCTTTTCTCTGTTTTGTTTGGATCACGTGACTAATAACAAGGTAGTTATCTGCCTCTTTCGTCACCTCCAACTCTCAAGTGCACAAAATCATCTTTCTGTCTTTATGCCTCAACAATATCACCCTTTCTTTCTTGTTGTTCACCATGGCTTCTTCCCTGGTTAACCCACAGAAACGTGCTCACCTAAGAGACAAGTACAAGCAAGCAGCGCGATCCATCATCCAAGAGCTCCAGTCTCGGTCCAAGCCTGCCTACACGCACACTGAGCTCGCTCAATTCCGAGTGTCCATCCAATCCATCAACCCGGAGGATCACCGATTCACCGATTCCGAAGCTTGTCTCTTCTCGCCACTCACCAAGGAAGAGCTTAAAACATACAAAATCGACAAAAAAACACTCCCCGAGGACGAGCATCACTACATCACCGAATTCAAGGGCACTTTTCATGACCTCACAGACGAGGTTCCAGAGGATTGCCAGATGTGGGAGAGAGCTGGTCATTCTATTCTATCTTGAGCTCTTCGAGTCAAAGTCCGAGAGGAAGAGTGGGAGATCGAAATCCTCAATGCAGGACCTTTCACATTGGGATTATATCAAGTGATTCACGTTCTATGCTTAATTAATAAGTCGCTAACATAGGCCACTAGGGCCGAGAACTCTTTCTACGAGACTCCAACAGGAATGTTATGCGGTGTTAAATTTGGACATTCAAAGCCTCAGGATCTTCCGAGATGGAACGCCCATTCTACTTGCCAATGGCTTGACGATTTCGAGGATCCGAAGACCACTCGCCCTCACATCAAACTTTTGACTCTCACTGGTGCAAAGGCTAAAGGAAATGAACTACTCCATGGCGAGTTAGCGCCTATTGCAAACGTCCTCTACTGCCGTCTCGAACAGCCAGAATTCGAGGATACCTCACTCTTCCCAGTACTCGTCATCTCGCTCTTTGGGCCAAGGCACGGCCGTCTCCTACAGGCTAAATTCGATAACTCCGGTACCTTGCTTGTCAGATCCTCGCCGATCTACAATTTTATAGACAGCGATGAAAAGATAAATCTTTTCGTTCGCTACAACAATTGCAAACCCCGAGATGGTCCAGAAATCGAGCCTGTTCTAGTTGATGAGTAGTCGCTATCTCCTCGCGTTCAGCATCAGGCCTCGCTCTTCGCACCGAATAACGAAATTATTTTTCCTCAAAAATGATATTTGGCTTCTAGATAAGAAAGGCTTCCCTGGCAATACAAAGACAACTTAATCATATTACGCTATATCCATCCGTACGTAATCGAGCGTTAATGCCCAGGTGCCCAGGTGTTCTAAAGTCTAAGCGTACGATTACAATATTCGCGACTGCGCGAAGATTAGCCGCAAGGTAATCAATCGTAGGCGATCTCAGCGCTGGGTGAAAAGACCACGATTTCCCCTCAAAAGACCACAATCGTGGTCTTCTCGCCGTCACCTCGACTTATTCCGTGCAACATACGGCATTATTAAACATATGTGATCATTAGAAGCGTAAAATTGATTTGACTGGCTGGATCCATTCCATTTGCAATGGGGGTTCTGTGGTGGCTTTTTTCATCTTCTTTCTCTGCCTTGAGGTCTCGAAAAGAATCCCATTATTGGCGAATCCCGTCCTGGATGCTAGTTAGAAACCGTATCTTGTTCATCATCGCTGCCAGTAAGGAACCTTGACACCGGGACACTCGGTGCTCAAGCTCCAAGTAGGCCTGGTCAGCGTTTCGTTGTTCTTGGAATCACTCTCCACTACTGGTGAGATTCGATCCTCATTCCCTCCTCAACACCAGTCATACCGGTGTCTTGTCCGTCATCTGAACCACCATTAGCAAGAACCCTGGTAGGGATAGTGTAGCCAGGAGGCAGCGGGGTGCCAGGAGTCACAGCAACAATGTTGTCGTTCTCATCAACCATCTCGAAGTTGTATCGCGAGAGGAGATGCGGTATAGCAGAAAGTTGAGGGCCATAGCGAGCAGTGTTATCATACAGCTCGAACAGCGGCACAGCGAGAAGTTTCATGTTCTTCGGGACCGAGAGAACCTCTATAAAAAAATTGGGTAATATGTAAGCAATGTTGATTGGAAAGACATCAGGGTTGGGGTAGAACTCACTCTTCTTCGGGAGGCGAATGAAGTACAATTTCTTGCACTCCTTGGGCCGCGTGACATGCCCAGGAAGGAACGGGTACATAAAAGTCTCAAAGTTGGGTCGCCACCATTGTGCAAGTGTGTCGCTAATTTCCCAGTCATCGTTAACACCTTCGCCGGAGAACTGAGATCCTACAGGTGCGAGGCGCTCATTGAGTCGTTTCTTGAAGCCTTCAATTTCATCGTCCTCGTGGTGCAGATAATCGCCTGGCCTAAAGACGCATTAGCCGTGGATTTTGAATCTGCACAAATGAACCACAGAGAACTTACAGCTTAAAGAATGCATTGGCAATCTGCAACATCAGCACATGGGGATGGTTGTGTTCGTGGCACACCAGGATTCCCTCGCAAGTGCGTCGCATTCCATGGAGACCATAGTGTTCTTCGAGTCGCTTTAGCCGTGCCAGAACCGAGGGGTCCTCTTCTGGTTGTGTTTCCTTGGTGCCAAAGGTGTAGTTCGACAGGGGGTACAGGCGGATGGTTTCCGGCTGCTGTGCGGTGAAGTCGTTCGGGACAATGGGCCTAGAAGTTATCGGGTCAGGTCACTCTATTCAAAAATCAAATGTTCAAATGGAGTATTGATCCTAATTACTTACGGAAGTCCACTGACAGGGATATCCTGCGTGGTAGTAGCCATGCTGATAGGATGTTGGTTGTTATTGTGGTCAAATCAGTGTCACGGCAGCTCCAAGCTCCTATATCGCTTATCGCTCATCTGTGCTGACCGCCTTCCAATGTTCGCCTGATGTATAAGGATCAGCACACTGTAACTATACAGTCTTCTACTAACTGACTAGTTAACTATGTAAGTATAACGTTTGGTATTACGTTACAGGGCTAGCAGCCATGAGACTAAGCATGTTTGTATAGAAACTAGAATCTCTACGGCCTTGATGGAGAATGCAGCTCTGTAGAGGTAATATCAAACAGTCGTCGAACAGGGCGTAATTTGTTTGATTATTGTCCATCTCTGGAACGTCACTATATCTTCCAATTGACAAACACCCCAACTCTCGGATTCATGCAACCATCCAGCCTAACACCAGACCAGCCTCCACATGTATAGTATGCCATTTATAACTTGGCATCAAAATCCTCATATTCGCTCAAATCCGTGACGGGAACAGGGCCAGTGCTAACAGGCAAACGTGCCTTAAAAGTCGGGACGTCGGTGATAGCGACAGCTTTTTGAGCCTCGCCATTGCCATTAGCCGCACCCTGAGTGTCACTGCTAGAGTCAAGACCCAGCTCCTTCAACTGAGAACTGAGCTTCTCCCCCAGTGTCTCCAGGACAGGCTCGATCTTCTGCTGTGACAGGCCGTTCTCAGTCGCCAGGAAGTTCTTCACAGCAAATATAACCTGGGACTTGTCTGCCGTTGTCGCGTCAACATCATCGAATGCCGCTGTGAGGCGGGCAGAATCCACGCTGAAGTCAGCCGCTTCGAGGTGCTTCGTAACTACTTCGACAAGGCGTGTTCTCTGTTCGGCCGGTTTGGGTGCTTCAACCTGCGCGCCGGACTGGGCGTTCATGTGAATGGCCAGCTTGGCGCGTGTTGCCGAAGAGGGGTCAATGTATTGCTGGTAGAATGCAACAAGATCCGCCTTGGTCAAGGTGCCCACATTGGCCGCGTCGGTCTCGTGCTGCAGGAAATCAAAGTACTCAGACCCGACATGCGACCAGTACCGGCCAGTCTCAGAGCTTAGGTTCTTAAGTTTCTCCAGGCGCTTGTTCACGACACTGCGCTTGTGACCCTCGAATTCTTCCTCGGGCATCTTCTCGAGGATGGGGCCGAACTCGCGGAGGAAAGTCTCAATGCGCGATTCAAGGTACTGTGCCGTGCGCTCACTTTGGATAATGACCCGGTAGCCCAGGGTGGTGGCGTTGTAGCGTGCGCCACTCCACACCACATATCCGAGCTGTTCCTTGCTGCGCAGCTGGTCGAATGCAGGTTCGTCAGTCAGCTGTGCGAATAACTGAAGCTTCGACCGCAGAACGTCATCGGAGAAGAGTCCAATATAGAGGTAATACTCAATGCAGTGGTTGACGTTGGCCGGGTCTTTAAGAGATCGAGGGTACACATAGTTGGCACCGGGCGGCAGGGTCATGTTGCGGCGCAAGTACCACTGCGACGGAGGCAGAGGGCGGCCTCCCAAGATCTTCTCAATAGCATCCGTCATACGCAGGGCATCTTCCTTGTACAGGTTTCCATGGGCTAGGACTTCGATGTGGGTCTGCTCGAGCAATTGGGGGAAGAAGTTGACCACATCATCGCACTCAACATGCTCCAGCTCCTCAAGATACTGCTCGTTGACCCAGCTGCGCTCGGCAAGGAGATAGCGAGTATAATCTCCAACCTGGTAGTAAGGCTGCTGGTACTCGGCGTTGCGGAATGCCCGCGTCAAGCGTTCTTTGATAATGTGGAAGCGATCCTGGTTGATAACTAGCCCACGCATGGTGTTGAGTACTTTATCCAAAAGAACGGACATCTTGTCGTTGTAACCACTAACGGAAATATCCAAGCCCAAAATGTTCGCCGAGAGATGGTAGTCCAAACCAGCAAGCTCGGCGTCGTAGGAGTATTCATCTAGCGAATCTCGCACCAACTCGCTGTACAGCTTTGTTTTGATGAGATTGGCGGGCGTAGCCCACACCAAAGGATTACGGAGGGTTACCTCGACAGTGGCCTTGGGCACCCAGAAACGGTCATCCTTCTTGAACCACAGGCGCACCCGGTCGTCGTGGCGAATCAGTTTAGGGGTGTTGGCTGGCTCGGCAACCTCCTTCTTTTCCACCGAGAGTCTGGTAGGCACAAACTCGTTCTTGTGAGGCATGTGCACGTTGGAAGTGCGAGTGGCCTCAGTCGACTCGAGAGCCTTCTGAAGACCGCCCAAGATGTCCTGTGGGATCTTCTCGACCTTGTACTCGGTACCATACCACTTCTCCTTCTGGTCCCATGTACCCGGGAACTCCTGGGACACAACGACCAGGCGGAAGTTGTCGGCCCGCAGATAGCTCAGCGCCTTCTTGATCAGGTCAGAGTCAAATCGTCGCAACAAAGACCCGCTCAGCAGCCATTCACTAGGCAGTGACTTTTGCATAACGCTGCTCAAACGGCTGGTGAACCGACTAGCCGGGGTCTTCTGCTTGAAGCGGAAATCGACCTCGGCAAGATTCTTCATCTCGTCGAAGATCCATTGCTCCGGCTCGCGTTGCTTGATCATAGCGATATATTCGAAGATAACGTTTGCGACTTCCTGGTACTGCTTCAGACCCTCGGGGGTCAGGCGAACCGAGATGGTGAAAAATGCCGACCCGGCGCAGACAGGCATGGCACCTGCAGACAGGCCATTGGCCCACCCCTTGGCCTTGAGGTAAGAAAGAACACTGCCCGGGCCCTCATGACCAATGAGATGGCTGATGTACCGGCTAGGCTGAGTGTCATGTAAATCCTCCTCATCAATGAAGGGGAAGTACATATCCATGGATCGAGTATCCATGACCGGCTTCACGAACACCTGGGTGCACATGTCCTTCTCGGTGAAGGGCTGAACATCGTCCCAGCGGTTTTGAGCAAGGTTCTTGTTCTCGATATCAGAAAAGAGCTCAGATACCCACTGCTCCAACGTGTCCAGAGATTCCCGTCCTAGCACAACCAACTTCGCCCGGTTGGCTGAGTAGTGCTTCTCGTAAAACCGGATGAATTCACTGCGGACTTCTAGACCACGTTTCTGTGGATCTTCTTTCAAAGTCTGCAGATTACCGGTCGAGAAGTGGCTGTAAGGGTGTTTAGGGTTCGAGAGTGACTTGTTCAGTTGCATCAAACGCCACAGGTCACTTTGAAGGTTCTTTTTATTTTCCGAATCCACCGCCTGCAGCTCCCGTTCCAGGGTTGACTCTAGGAAAAGCGGAGCGACAAAGAACTGGGCAAACCGATCCAATGCACCATAGAGAGGCGACTTTCCATCTGAGCCATTCCCATTCGCCATGACACCATTGTTATCATTTGTCTCGGCAGGGGTACTGTCTCCACTGGATTTCGGGGCACTGGAGTCACCTGTGGCGGACACTTCGAAGAAGTAGTTCGTTTCGGTGGCGGCTGTGTATGCATTTGACGAACCGGAGTGGGACGCCAGGTACTGGTTGTATGCATTTTCCTTCGGGTACTAAACACCACAGACTCGGTTAGCATTGACCTCGGCTAGGATGATGATGGTAGGTTGTTCATTTACCTTTTTTGTGCCCATGAACAACAGATGTTCTACTGCATGAGCCATTCCTGGCATATCATCTTCATCGGAGAAATTGCCCACATTGACATTCACGGCCGCACTGGCCTTATCAGTGTCCGGGTCATGAACTAGGAGGGCCTCAAGCTTGTTTGGCAAACGAATCACCCGATAAGAACGGTCATCAAGCTCCGGCCTTTCCAAATTCTCTGTAATACGCTCGATTTGAGCCATGATCGGGGGTGTGGCGGTGAAGTTAGAAGTTGAATGGGAGGATGAACGGCGGGTCCAATGCACGGAAGAAAGAATCGGCAAAAGTACGGGCCGTACTGAACGAGAACTGGTCACAGTAATGCGTGACAACAAATCGGGATAAGAGCGGGTTGAGCTGCGAATGAGACCTTTGTGACACAGGTGTGCTGTAGAGGACCTTGGAGACATTCAGTTGCTAAGGGGAGAGAGGCCAATGACGTGACTGATAAGGTCAATGCACTTCGGAATTCCAGGTCAAAAACGAAGACGTGTTTATATATGTGTATGTTGTACCTATATGTACCGGATTTTCCCTGGCGGGTTGGGGATTTTCTTATTTGGACTGCCGCCGCTTCAATGAGGGTGCTCAGATTCAGGCTCTCGGAGTAGATATCTGTCAAGTCAAAGTCCAAGGTTGAATAGATGGTCGAGAGACAGGGTAATTTACCATCAAATCATGTGACAACTGGTATGGGTACACGATACGGTTAGTCATCGATGTCCGCACTGGACAGATCAGTATACAGTCAGCTTTCTATTAGTTCTAGTTCAAGTTATGTTGTAGTTGAGTTAAGATTAATTTAAATACAATGATCAACCTACTACACGCCTAATATGGCTAAACTCATGAAATGGGCCACAAAGGCGTTTCGAAGGCCCCCATCCCCTGCCATGTGTTTTCCCACCAGCGGCTTCGAAACTGTCCGTCCCTCGGAGGTGCAGCAGGTGCTTGACGAGGAACGGTTTGAGCAGTTCAAACAAGGACAATATTACCCTGCTAATATTGGCGACGTGCTTATTTCCAAATACCAGATTATTGGTAAACTTGGTTTTGGGACCACTTCTACTATATGGCTCGCTCGTGATCTTAAGTCCAGGGAGATCTAACTAACTCACTGAAACAATCAGAGGTCATCAATATGTGACACTCAAAATCTACAAGTTTTAAGTGATTTTGGCTCTGCCGTACGAGGAGACGAGAGGAATCACGATGTACAGCCAAATGTTTATAGATTGCCGGAAGTGATGCTGAAGACTTATTAGAGCTACCCGGTTGACATATGGAATGTTGGAGTTATGCTTTGCCTGTTCGCTCTTTACTCTCAATGTCATATACTAACCACTTAGGAATAATAGGTGTGGGATTTGTTTAAGGGGAGACACCTTTTCTATGGAGACGACCATAATAGTAAAGGGTATTCGACCCGGGCACATCTTGCAGAAGTCATGGGTATTCTAGGACCACCTCCTTTGGATATGCTCTAGCGTGGAAAACGAAGCCATGAATTCTTCACCAGTGATGGTAAGTATCCTTTTCTCGCTCAATGCACTTTGCAAAGGCTTACGAAGGCAATCTTATAGGGAGATAAAAGCAAGATATAGAGATTCCGACAGGAGTCAGTTTAGAGCTATCGGAAAAGTTCCTCGAGGGAAGAGATAAGGAGATATTTATAGCCTTTATAAGAGGGATACTTTAGTAGCGGCCTAAAGATAGGAAGACAGCGAAGGAATTACTCTAGGATCCGTGGCTGAATGATTAGTTGGAGTAGCTTGAGTGTTCATTATATTATTATCACCCCAAAATGCACTCCACTAAATGATACAAGGTAGACTAGAGTCTACTCAGACTAGAGTCTACTCATGTCTACCAGAATTGAACTCTTTTTAAAAAACATACTAACGCCATTCCGCATTATCATATTAGCCACATAACATCTCAGAGTCTTAACTAGTCCTATGTCGAAGGTCTTCCTCTTCCCCGTGCTAGTAGAAACTTCCCCCACCCTTATATCGAACTATCACATAAATATAGAGCCAGGGCCTGCGCTTAACACTTGGCTGCACAGAGGTTCAGGTCGATACTAGTGTCCGAGTTGCAGTTCTTAGTCTGGCTGCCACCGGGGTTGACACCGTGCGGCCAGCAGATGTTCGAGCAAGTCGTATCTGTGGGCCGCACGACAATCGTCTTGCCGGAGAATGGGTCACCGAAGACATCGGACAGGTCGTACCAAACTGTGCCTGGGTCCAGAGTGTAGGCAAAGTTGGTCTGAGGGCTGCCGTTGTACAAACCGTCGTCGACGGTGGTGATCTTCAGCGCGATCCCACCGGACGCACTGTCATGGTGCAGTACTTCGGTGTAGCTGCCACCTGCCGGGATGGTTTGCTTCGGGCCAACGCTGCCGCCAACGGACCACAGGTAGACTGGGAAGTCGCACTGGTTGGTCACGATAGCGTTGCCAACGGCGCTGGCAAGAGGTGCCAGAGTGGCAACAGAGGCAATAACTGCAGTAGAGAAGTGCATTTCGTAGGCAGATGGAGTTGGTTTGGTATCAAGTAATGTGAAGTGTGTTAGAGATGATGAGAATATCTCTCTTTGGGTAGGATTCGAGGCCACTTATATAGTTTCTCTGCTGGGGGATTGAACAATAAATTTCCACCCTATATCTAGTCCCTCTTTGATCCGAGTATAGATTCCATTCCCAAAGCAGTGTTGGCAATGGAAAGTATGACGATTTCACTCACTAAATCCAAGACATCTCATCCCAAATCAACCTATTGAAGCTCTGCCCACTGATGCAGCGGTCAGGCCATCCATTATAGGACCAAAAATAGGAACGGTTCGTAGAATTTTACAAAATCCTGACATTTGCACGGTCAAAGAGTTTTCTAAGGTTGATGTTAGTAGAGATACGAGAAATGAAAAGAATCCATGGGCGTAGGAAAAGAATACGATGTCTCAGAACGCTCCGACCCGATCATTGGATGTGTTTACTCATAGGCGAAAGCAAACCATGGTGGATTAACATGACCATTCCGATTATAACTACGGAGTAATCAAGGGTTCTTCCTGCATAACTGTGAAAGTCGCGCTGGGGTTTCTGGTTTCTGGGGTAAAAAGTGAGACATCGTTACATCCCAGGGACAGTATGCAGATCAACGCCACACTGGGACATTAGAAATTAATTATACGATGTAACTATGTAAAACTATGTATCTAGAGAGTCGACTCAAATCAAGTCATACTGGCTTCTTTGTCATGTAGACCGCTAATACCCCGAGCTATGGTTGGTGATGTATCATATCCCAGCAGTAAAGTCACAAATGTCAAATGTCTCAAATCCCAAATTCAAAAACTGTGCTGATATCACTCTTCCAAGGGTGGGGACTTGCATCTGACATCTTGACATCTTCCTTCTAAGATCGAAGAGAGACCATATGTTACTATAATAGGTTCCTAGACCTATTTTTATCTGCGGGGAACGTTGAATATAACCAAAATAGTAACTGGCAAGATAATTTCAGGTCATTACTAGGGTATGAAAAAAAAAGAGAAATTCTTCGATAATAGACAGCATAACTCCCCCTCAACCAGGAATCAGTAAAGAAATCAAGATTCTTCATCTGATTCCTCCTCCACCCGGTCAGCGCGCTCAGAGATCCACTCGTACACTTCCTCCTTATGCTCATCAAGCATCTCGTTCAGATCAAATTTCGGGGAATGAACCAGCTTTCCGTAGCGCTTAGAAGGCCGTCGGTCTTGGATATCCCAAATGCCGTGTGAGTTTGAAACAAACACGATGGAGTTCTGAAATAAGAACAATAGTGTGAGTAAAGATTTATCATTGGCAAATAGTTTGTGGGTGGCTTACCTCGCGGTACCACTTTGATAGCCAGGTCTGTGTGTGAGATGCGATCGCGCGGACTGGGTTCTCAGACACGAAGGAGACCACGCCGTTGACACGCTTGTAAAGGTTTTCTACTCGGTTATTAGCAAAGTTACCCAGCCTGATACCTGGTTGGCCTGAACATACCCCGATTAATCAACAAGTTCGCCACGCCGAGGAAAGCGTTGCCAACACCGAGCAGGAAGATGTCGGTTGCCTGGTTCGCACTTTTGATAACTTGTCAGCCCAATAATAACCAATGTTCTCGGCTGGCCATAGCTTACTCAATGTAGTTGTCCCACAAGTACCCGGCAAGCTCTTCGGTGGCAGACGGGCGGTCCTCGTCATCTGCCTCATATCGACCCACAGCCTAAAAGCCATTCAAATTAGTTCATGGCCCGTACAAAGAAGTGCACAGCTAGACTTACCCCTTCCCGAGATACGTGCTTGGGAACATTGACATCGATCACCGCATAGCCCTTATCCACGATCCATTTGACATACTCCGTGAGCGAATCAGCCTTGTGTTCTGTTAGCAGGCAATCTCAATTAATCATCTCGGATCACGTACCATCCAAACATTGTGCGCTTCCAACTTATTGGTCACGGGATGAGGCTGTCCCACAACCTCAGGTCTACATATTGTTAGCTATACATTTCGCGGTGTATTATCGAACACTTACGGATCGTGGAAGATGACAATAAGCGGCACACTTTCGTGATAGTTTTTGCTGCCAGATGGTAAGTCCTAGCTTAGAATATCGAGATCCAGTGGTGCAACCTACCTTGCAAGAACTTGTTTGTCAAATGACTTAGAAATAGCGGTGCGGTAAATGTGCAGCGGAGTGAGCTTGCAGCTTTCATACAGCTGGTTCGACTGGTGAACCCGGAGGATATCTAGGTAATTCATCAGTTCTGTCGAGTGGGAATAATCTATCATTCTTACCGTGAAGACGGTTCGCGTAGATCGGGTGAGTAGATGTCTTGGGGTAAAGGTGGCTCCAATAACGGGATTGGATGCTCCTCACCCGGCGGACCGTAGCGACTGCAGAGTCAGTCGGAGAGCTGCTAAGCAAACGGTCCGGAGGCTCCCCCATAAGGGTCTTGGTCACAGCCAGGGCCGACTTCGAGATAGACTTGAAGTTGTACCCACCCTGTTTCAAGGTCAGATCAAGCAAGCAACAATTTAAAGAGACAATCTACCTACCTCCAAGCAAACAGCGACCTTTCCATTGGCCAAAGTCATGAGCAAGTGGGTCATTTGGGCATAGCAAGCTGGCGAGACAAAGCAGCCACCCAGTACATCACCAGCGGCAGCATCAAACCCAGCAGCGACTGTCATGGTCAATAAATCTGTACCAAATAAAGAGACCGGGGTTATTCTCACCAATCACCAAATCGGGATTGAATTCCTGGGCGATGGGCATCACCACTTCCTGGAAGGCGAACATGTAGTCACCATCGCCCATACCCTGAGTGGGCCATGGAATGTTGACATTTCTAAGAAGGATGAGAACTTAGTCATTTCGTACGCTTCGAGACAAACTCACTTTCCGACTCCGGCGCTTGAGCCACAGTGATCCCAATCTCCTGCAGGGCCTCCAGGGTAGAAGCCACCGTCCTGGTAGACATGCAGGGAAATGTAAAGAACATTAGGGTCGTCGTAAAATGCTTTCTGGATGCCGTTGCCTATGATACGTGAGCTTGGATTATTTCCAAATATCGTGCTGAGGGTTAAGCGTACCATGGTGAACATCCCTAGTACAAGTCAGTATTACTGTAGTGGCCGAATGGTGATGTGGGGGGTACTGACCAGTCAAGAATCATAATCTTCCGGCACGCGTCTCCTAGTCTATTTTGACAAACGCGTGCTGCAACACACACATTATTAAATAGACAGAATCCCATCGCGGCATCATCCTCAGCATGGTGACCGGGTGGACGAATGACGGCTATGGCATTTCTCACCTGACGCTGGGCGACGGCCAAGCACGTCTCGATTGCGCCTCCAGTAGACAAAATGGCCGAAGCAAAGGTCAGATTATTAAAATAGATGGAGTCGCGATCTTTCTCCAATTGAATAAGCACCTCGTTGGACATATCTATTCATTGAGTCAGCGAGTCAATCAAGGTCGACTTTTCCGGTGGTGAAAATAACACACCTGTCGTGCTTCGAACAAATGCATAGTGGGCATCTTTATGAATGAGGGTAACTTCCTCCTCGGTTGCGTCACGGGCGTGGATCCGTTGCAAGGTATGGGGCGCCAAAGGTCTAGACGATTCTGGGTCGTCAACGAGACCGGCACGACATAGCTCCTTGTAAATGTAGTAGATGCGTCTGGGATCCTCTGGGTGGACGTCGCTCTGTGGACGAACCTCGCAGTGGTAGCGCATGCGATGATCATAACAAAGTCCTGTGGCAAGCGAGGCCAATGGGAGGCCCGATTTAGCCATGACTTCGTCGTCAGACCAGTCAGAGTCAGCCTCGACTAGGCTATCACGTTTTAACTGTTCGGCAGCAGAACTATCACCGTCACTCGTCTTAGTCAAACGTTCAGGCGGGGCCATTCCAGTGGAGGCGATGGTCTCGCGAGGTTGAGACTGCTCAGAGCCGGGTGACAGTGACGTGGGAATCGATTGGGGGAGGGAAGGAGCAAGACTTGGGGTGGGGTGATTGCTGAGATGTGTGGGAAGCGGGACTCCAGTGAAAGATGGGTTTGCAGTCAAGGTGGAAAGGGTGTGGGAATCACCCATAACTGTATCCCCGTCCTCCTCCATCACGAAAGGGGAAGCCACGGGAAGCCCTATGATTTAATTCAAACTTGGCTCTTATTGGTTCATTACCAAGCACTACCACAGAAGATGTTTTAAGCTTGTGTGGCAATCTTAGATCTGAACATCGGACTAATGGTGATTCGGTTGATGCTTCTGGTCCACGCCGTCGAATGCACCTTGGATAACAATGTTTGAAATAGACCAATCGGTCAAAAGTTCCAGCTGTTGGCCAATGATTTGACGTTCACCAAGGATTACAGGATGTCTCAGGGTGTGATGTAATTTGTCCAAGCATCCGGTGGTATACAATCGTCTCCTGCCGTAGATTGGACTGACTCTTGCAATTCACCTGCAGTGTAATGAAGCAAGAGTGACCTTCAAATGAATAATTTCCAAAGAGAAATTCAATCCAGACTTTTATGTAGCGGGTAGAAATGAAAAACAGAATAGCCAAGTCCACTGAGTGACAATGGAAATGGGTCAATGTGCATGTTGGATCCCTTTTGGGCCAGTCTTTCTTATTGCCAGACATTATTATACTCACCGCTAACCTGACCGCCACTAGGAATGGATTGGCGTGATGCATTATAATTGGCGGTGAGCATTTAACATGTGTTTTGACTTATCGACCTCTGCGGTTTAGAGGGCTTATAACTAGTTCATATCTTGACAGGTTTTCAAAGTACAAGGTAGGATGAACTGTTTGATTGTCAGACTGAAGTAACTTATGGATAATAATTGGCCACAGACTGTGGAAGCTGATAAAAAGCACCACATGTATGTATGACATGTGGTGTACCTACATATGCAGGTGGATATATGTAGTTCCTTTGGAGACATAGTTAGTTACAGTATACACCCTCAAGTCTTTCAATCAGCAACATGCAAAATCTTAATTTTGGCAAGTATGAAAATAACTTAGATATTAATACATTGGCTGTACATGGAGATAGAGGTTAAGTCATTCTACCCCGGAGGATATATAGCCTACGGCAAATTGGTGGAAAAGATGAATTGGAAATGGTTTGTTTCATTAAATGACGTTATCATCTTGTTTTTGTCAACAAGGCGGAGCCCTTATGCACCCATATTTGTAGGTTGTGCGACAAGGTACCCAGCACCTTACAGAACACTTCTGACCCCAGGACGCTGTCCTGATTCCTACTGGGAATCGACACCGGCAATGTAGGAGATGAGGTCAACAACACGGCGGGAGTAACCCCACTCGTTGTCGTACCAGGAGACAAGCTTGATGAAGTTGGCGTTAAGGGCGATACCAGCGGCGGCATCGAAGATGGAGGAGCGCTCATCACCGTTAAGATCGGTGGAGACAATCTGGTCCTCGGTGTAGCCAAGGATACCTAAAATAGTTTGTCAGTATGTTGAGTAGTGAACATGGTTGAAAAAATAAAAAAATAAAAGTAACTCACCCTTGAGCTCGCCGTTCTCGGAAGCGGCCTTGATGACGGCCTTGATCTCCTCGTAGGAAGCACCCTTCTCGATGCGGCAGGTAAGGTCGACAACGGAGACGTTAGCGGTGGGGACACGCATGGCCATACCGGTGAGCTTGCCGTTGAGCTCGGGGATAACCTTGCCGACAGCCTTGGCGGCACCGGTGGAGGAGGGGATAATGTTCTGGGCCGCAGTACGGCCACCACGCCAGTCCTTGGAGGAAGGAGCATCGACGGTCTTCTGGGTAGCGGTGTAGGAGTGGACGGTGGTCATGAGACCCTCAATGATGCCGAAGTTGTCGTTGATGACCTTGGCGAGAGGAGCCAAGCAGTTGGTGGTGCAAGAGGCGTTGGAGAGAACGTTGACATCCTTGGTGTAAGACTTGTTGTTGACACCCATGACGAACATGGGGGCATCGGCGGAGGGAGCGGAGATGATGACCTTCTTGGCACCACCCTTCAAGTGAGCAGAGGCCTTCTCCTGAGTGGTGAAGACACCGGTGGACTCGACAATGTAGGCGGCACCGGCCTTGCCCCAGGGGATGGCAGCGGGGTCACGCTCGGTGAAGAAGGTGACCTTCTTGCCGTTGACGATGAGACCGTCCTCAACGTGCTTGATCTCACCCTTGAACTGACCGTGGGTGGAGTCATACTTGAGCATGTAGGCCTATTGTCACAGATGGGAGGTTAATACTAGGCTATAAGGAAGCACTTGTTGATTTGGAAAGAAACATACAGCGTAGTGGGTCTCAATGAAGGGGTCGTTGACAGCGACAACCTCAACATCGGGGTTGTTGATACTAGAAGTATGGGTTAGAATGCTTCTCTCTCTCTTCTTCTTCTTCTTCTTCTTCTTCTTCTTTCAGTGTGCAACTTACGCATTGCGGAAGACCTATTGACGTTGTTAGTATCTGAAGCAGAAAATTGACGATGAAGAGAATAACTTACAATGCGGCCAATACGACCGAAACCGTTGATACCGACTTGGACAACCATGATTGCGGTTTACTAGAAGTTATTAGCTTGTGTAGAGTGATAGATGATAAGAGGATTACCAACTTACTGTAATAGTGAAGTAATTGATGAAAGGGGGAGAATTGGGATGGAGAAGAAAAGAGAAGAAGAAAAAAAAGAGATCTGGGGGAGGGGGAGGATTAATGAATGGATGACTGACGCAATGGACAGATCACCCCTCACCGAAGAGACGGACGGGGACTGTCCTCTCATAGTAACCCAGTTACTCTGTACAAACATATCAGACACATCAGACCGAACTAGATTTCCCGACTGTTGCCGCTTGTACATTTGCCCAGCAACGCATTTCCGGTTTCATACACCGGGGAAATCAGGAAGAGTCACGATATTGGGGCCTTCCTCTGCCCCTCGGTAGCTCCCGTCTACCAATAGGAATCCAACAAACCCCAATTGTTCTTCGGGTTGTTACTATCCTTCGCTATCCTTCGGAGCTTTCTCTTGAATATTCTGCCTATTCGGTGTCTACTCGGCTACAACAGAGATGATCACGATAATCTTAGGTACCGAATTGAAAATGATTCCCGAGGTGGTTGAGTAAAGGAACTATGACGCTGTAGTTTTTGGAGGGGCAATGGATGAGGGGCAAAACAGACCAGTATATGGGAGGTATGTGCAGTACAGAAAATCATCCAGTTAAACTGATAGAATTAATAGAATTAATATAAAATCATTATTTTATATTTCTTTAACCTTCCAACTACAAACATTGTTGTACATAAAATGTGGTATTCCTCCACTTATGCGGGCCAACTGTGTTGTTCAAACCCCTGCGGTGGACGGATTGAGTATGGTGATATAACTTGGTGGCTCCCGCCCTCAAAGGAGTCACCGGTATCTCAACAACATGGGACCACGGGATCTCGCAGATTTTTTATTTTGATTTTACTCTGTTGTGGAAATTATTTCGAAGATTGGAGCTTTGGGGGGGGTTTAAACTACTGGGGTCCCCGATATTCCAACCTTGGAAGCCCGAGAGGATTGCATTATCAATCCTTTTGTTTTTCTTCTTCTCTTTCACCTCAAATGACATTCATGGACCTCACTGATAATACCTGAGCTAGGTTTATCCTATGAGACCTTTCATCAGGCCATATCAAACATGCATCTCGGAGCCGACATATCAGTGGTGCAACTCCAGAGAGGTGCCATGACTAAACGTCCTTTTTGGTATAGGGGTTAGATCATACAATATAGGGGAAATGGCATGACCAGAGGGAATTCATACTGATTAACAATATAGTCCAGACCTTACCCAGAAAGGACGATCTGGACTTGGTAGGATTGAATTATGGATTATGGTACAATGAGGAGAAATGAACAGCGTGCTATCATTCCAAATCGGCCACCGACAACCCTTAGGGGAAATCAATTGATGGCCGAGAGCAACCCAGCATTTGAATTTATTCCTCCTTGACACCACCACGCCAGTTCTTCTCGGCAGCCTCAATGGAGGCCTTGTCACTCTTGGGTCCACCCTGGGACATGAAGCCACCGGCGGCCTTGAAGGGACGAGCGAGATCACCAGTAGCGGGCTTGCCGAAGACGTGGATCTTGGCCAGGTTGGACTCGAAGGCGCCCTTGAGGGGGATCATCGACTGGATGAGGAGGGGGTTGGTGTACTGGAAGTACAGGTGCATTACACCCATCATGCCGACTCCCATAAGCTGGCTGCGGAGTAACTGGCGCAGCTGAGCCTTGTCGTAGTCCATGTTGGTGGTGGTCACGGGCTTGGGCTCCTCGGTGCTACCCATCGCGGCGGGCTCAACATACTTGAGGGTGGTCATGTCTATAGGATAATCGCATTTAGTTTTTGGCCATTGTGGGGAGAGCACGCGATCGACATACCCTTCTTTTGATTAATCTTAAACTGGGTGTATAGGTGGACAGCCAGGATGAGGACATTGGACAAGATGTAGCATCCGCGCACCAACATCAAGACCTGAGGATCCTCAAAGGGAACCTTCTTGGCCAGTTGCATCATCACCAAGATGATGGCGAGGTTGGTACTGTGCGACCATTGTCAGTTTCTGTAAACGATAGAGTTTGTATTTAAGTCATGAAATTATTCATCAAGCATACATTTGAGGAGACACCATCTTGCCGGATACTGTTCGATATGGAGAAATCGTTGAGTATGGGGGATTATAACGCGAACAAAACTTGAAAGTCGCGGGCCACCTGGCATTTCTGGAAGGTCAGGGATCCGGAAGAAATGATATTCCGGCGCTATCTATTCGCCATCTGGTCGCCTGAGGCGTTAGGGTTTGTCGCCTGATTTATGAGGAGAGAAAGGTCATGTGACCTTCCCCCGCTGGTCATAGCTGGGAACTGTGATGGTCCAGCTTCAAACCAGACCAGATTATTGTGCAAAAGGTCAGCAACCATCACATCAGTGGACTTACATTTTAACTTGGAGTTGCACAATGGTATGGATTATGGCAACTACAGGTGTTTCATATATGAATCCTAGCCATATATGCCGGAAGCATCCATTCCCTCGCAGTTAGCTGAAGCCTCACTGTGCTTCCGTCATGGTCTCCTCGCATGCCACAGCTAACCATGGCTTCTGTCTATTTTTTTTTTTTTTTTTCAGAAGGAGAAAGGAACCAAAAGAAATTGTTAACCTCTACAGCAACTAATTTCTAGATGATTTCAATGGCCCTACAGATGGCCATATATACAGGCAAGAACCGCAACGCTGTGAGAAAGGACGCTTCCATTTTGGGACTAGCGCCAAGTGTCTTTTTGGCACACCCGGCGCCAGGCACATTCTGACTTCTCCATCCATCAACAACGCGCGTATCTTCCGCAGTCTGAATCGTCTCCACATCCACACCACTGCCAAATCGTCTTGATTTCTGCTTCTATCTGCTATACCTATCTCTGCGACCGTCTTCGCACATTTATTTCGCAATGCCTGGCGGAAAGGGAAAGTCTATCGGTGGAAAGGGCGGAAAGGGTGATGCTGCGGGGAAGGCCCAAAAGTCTCACAGCGCAAAGGCTGGTCTGCAGGTTAGTGGGATTATGACTTGTCTCATTGCTGGTTTAGGAATCGTCTCGTCCGGGAGTGGTCATGCGATACGAGCGATGAGTTACTCGATGCAAACTGCCCCTCGAAGACGCGTCGACTCGGTCCCTCGCTGCGGGTCGATAAGGGGCATTTTCTTTTGATATCTATGGAACTCATACTATATCGCATACCCTCTCTCGACCATGTTTTCCTCTAATCGCCAGCTGTCTAATATGACGCGACTGCTAACACAAAATTTACCCTCCAGTTCCCCTGCGGTCGTGTCAAGCGTTTCTTGAAGAACAACACTCAGAACAAGATGCGTGTCGGTGCTAAGGGTATGCTATGTCGCTTCAACTGATCTCTCAAACCCGTCGCTAACACTTTTCCTCCTATAGCCGCCGTCTACGTTACCGCTGTTCTTGAGTACCTCACTGCTGAAGTTCTCGAACTGGCAGGTAACGCCGCCAAGGACCTTAAGGTCAAGCGTATCACGCCTCGCCATCTCCAGCTCGCCATCCGTGGTGATGAAGAATTGGACACCCTTATCCGGGCAACTATCGCCTTCGGTGGTGTCCTGCCCCGCATCAACCGTGCACTGCTCCTGAAGGTTGAGCAAAAGAAGAAGGGTGGCAAGATCGAGCTCTGAGTCAACATCTGAAAACAGTTCCGAAAAGTTGGGCTGCCACCGCGGGAGGTACCGTCGAGACCTCAACACCTTGACTCCTAAACTACGACTAATCCCGGCGGTGCTTTTTTTCAGTCCTCTCGTCTTTGTTCTTCACGGCGCTCTACTTTGATGTATTTTTTTTTCTGATATTCCCCGGTCTTTGCTTTCAATCGTGGTTCTTTTTCATTTCGAGTTCATAGGGCGCTGTAATGGGAAAATGGGGATATCCTGGTAGTGGGAATTTTACTGATTCGATGTGCTTCACGATTCATTTACTATGTAGTAATTTTACGATTATCTAGTTGTAGGCTTTTTACCCACCAGTGTAGAAGTCTCGGAACTTGTGCTTCCGTGATTGGACTGATTGGACTGATTGTCCACATCACATTCCAGAGGGGTCAAAACATTTATATATGTATTGTATGAATACAAAGACCTTGCATACAAAATCAGGAACTTTTCTAGCTCCACGGGGGATCGGCAGGGACAAATATGCATAACTCCGAGAGATAAACAATATGGGACCGCGTCATTTGCTCTTGGCATCTAGAATTCGGGGGTTTATCCCTGAGATAGGGATCAGGGTGAAATGAGGTTCGTTCTTACTGTGGGAAATCCTTAGTGGTGAGACCTGGAAATTCAGGTTAGAAGTACGGAGTGGAAATTCTATCAGAATATTTACATACAACTATGATCTCGACTCACTTCCCAGTAGGATAGAGGTAAGGTAGAAAGTACATGGATTGAACTGTGAGAATCTGAGTACAAAGGCAAAGGCAAGAGAGAGAGATAGAGAAAGGATCCCTAGACTGCAGGATACCAAGCATGAAGAGGAATAGAAAGAACCCTTCAGAATGGCAAGTTGGGATATATATCAACATCACGGACACAGGAATGCAAAAGATGCATTTACACTGTGAAAGGTAGATCTGTAGATTCGGCACAACCCAAGGTAGCAGAATCACAATATAGCTGTTTCATTTTTGGAAGGGGAAAAAAAACAGAACAGAGTTGTGGATTCACTCTGATCACCATTTCGCGAGACGAACGACGTCCGGTCAAAAAGGGAAAGCAGTCAAAGCACGCGGAAAAGGAAAGCAAAAAGAAAAAGAGAAAAAGAAGTTAAAAAAAAGAAGAAACAGGCATGTCACAACTATCTTACCCGGACAGACCGAACATGAATTTCCCCTGTGTAGGAGAAAGCAGTTGTCGGGATCAGACGGGCCAGAAACATTAAAACAGATGCGAGTCACCCCATGTACAAACTAAAACAGACAAGAATATGCAAAATGCTGGTATTGTCGTTTCTTCTGCCGTGGGCAAAAGGTCTTTTGTGTCATTCTTCGTATGCGTCCCATATCACCAGGAGGGCGTTCGGGGTCGTGGAGTTCGTTCCGACACAGCATAAATAGAAATCCATGGATTTGCAAGGCGCCCGCAATATCAGAAAGTGTTGGAAATAAAAAAAAGGTATCAGTCCAGAAACAAGTCCAGAGTCTTCATGAAACTGTGAGTCGGGGAAATTTCAAAAGCATTCATCCAAACCGCGTGTTGGGCTGCCCCAAAAAAAAGGAAACGTCTAAAACTTGGCTAGATCAGCGAAACAAAGGATTTTCTGGTCTTTTTTTTTTTGTGTGTTGTCATCTCGTCATCCCTCATCGAATCGTAAGCCGGTAATTCGCAGAACAGGGACTCGTAATACAAGTCGTATTCGTCTCGCGGCAAATCAGTCGGATGCTGGCAATAAAAAGGGGAGTCGCCATCTTCAATAAATTCGTCCAATGTTCTACTCCACGATGATCTCTACTCCGGAGTTGGTGCGGAGCTCATCACTTCCGCGGGCTTGGTGGCCGTTCTGGCGGCGAAATCCGGTGCCCTTGTCGGGGGTCGGGCCACGGGGTTGGCGAACAGGCATGCGCTCCTGCTGGCCGTCATATCCCATACCCATACCGCGGTTGCTACCAATGGCGCCAGCGTTAGATTGTTGGGTGTCCTGTTCCCAAGAGAACATGCCTCTCAGCCGGCGGGGGCTCGAGTTGGGGCCACCAATACCGGTGCCGAGGGAAAGACCACCCAGACTGTTGACCAGCAGGTTGTCGTCACGCTGCATGCCAAGAGAGGAACCAGACTGCGCAGGGGTGAGGGTCGGGGTGTTGGAAGTAGCAGTGGGCGCGCCCTCATACTGCAGGCGGGCACCGTTGGACTGCAACGCGGCGGGGAAGCTAGCGGAGGAGGGCACGGGCGACGGAGTGTAAGATCGCAGGTCGGCGAAGGACTTGGCAGCCCGCAGGTTCTGGCCATTGGCAAAGTTGCCAGGAGAGTCCATCACGCCCAGAAAGCCCGAGTTCTGTCCACGCAAGGTGTTGAAGGCCCCAGGTCCCTCTTGGCGAGCCTCGCTGAAGTCGATGGTTGCCGCCCGGTTAAGGCCACGACGACCACTGTCCGACTGGCCAGAGGGGGAATCGAGGACGTCGGGGGGCTGACATTGGCACCTGCGGCGATCTTGAAGACTTGGACCTGGCGCTGTTCGCCGCTGCCACGTGAAGCATGACCCAAGCCCATGTTGTGGGCCAGGGTGTGGACTGTACGACGCTGGGAGGGTGTGAGGTTGTGGGGGAAGATCACGGAATCGCGAACAGTATCTTCCTTGAACAAGAGTAGTTGGGAGTAATAAGAAAGGGTCTGGGTGTCGTTCAAGTCCACATCTGTACACGTGGGGGAAAAAAAAACCTTTGGTTAGCGACAGGTCAAAATTTCCGACAACTTTACGAGTGTGTAACCTACCAATTTTTTGGCCACGTTGGGACACGGGCGAAGGGGAGGTTGCCGGGATGTGCGAGGTGAGTGAAGACATGGAGCTCTGCGTCTGGAGCTGAGGGCCTCCTCCCATCGGGCGGTGCTGTTCCTCCAGCTGGCCACGGCGTTCCCGCTTCTCGCGCTCGATCCGTTCCCGTTCCTGCAGGGGAAGCATCTTCTTGTACTCGACTCGCAATTTCCGACCCTGTAGCTCAAAGTGGTTGAGCACCTCGATCACGGTTGCTGTCTCCTCAGCGGAAGTGAAGTTGGCAAAAGCCAGACCACGGAAGACACCATTGTCAAAGTGATAGTTGAATGCATAGGGCAGAGGAAGGTTGAGCTCTGTCATCAACTGCACCAACTGCTCCTTCTTTACGGCAAAAGGGATATTCTTGATGACAATCGCGGTTGGGATCAATTCGTCATCGTCGGCAGATGAAGCGGAGGCTTCCGGTCGCATGGCGCTGCTCTGAATGGGACCAGGGCCCAGGTTCGAGAATGCCTGGGGCATGTTCGGCTGCTGATCCAACCATGTCTTAAGAAGCCTGTTAGTATTTTCCTCTCTTTTTTTTTCTTCTTCTTCTCCCCCTCATCAAGATAGGGGGAGTCATTGTTAAATAAGATGAAACATACTGTGGGAAGGCCTGCACGTCCACGGGCATTAGGCTTCAAACTGGCGGAAGCTGAGCGAATTCCTCCGAGAGTTTGTGCATTGGCAAAACCGTTGGGGTTCCAAGTCTGCGAGCCGGA